TCATCTCTTTCTACCGTGACACCCGAGCCTCCATAGGTGTAGGAACACCCGGATACAATCTTGGTGGAATCAATGGAAGTGGTCAATATCCATATACTGGATTACCGACGTTGATCGATCCTGAAACCCCGATGGATGTTTACAAACGTACTGGTTCCGATGGGGAGGAATGGAACTTAGTATTCAGTGATGAGTTTAATAAAGATGGAAGGACTTTTTATAATGGTGATGATCCGTTTTTCGAAGCTGTGGATTTACATTATTGGCCTACGAAGTGAGTGAACAAATTTCATATGTCGACTCAAAACCCTCCTGATCTTGGATCGATCGGTTCTTTTGGTACTCTAGAAGAAAGAGGTCTAGCTCCTTCTCGCTACAATAAGCCATAATCGTCACCCTGGTGGTGAGAAGGTTCATGTCGCGCCATTTAAGCTGGACTGGGCAGGTTCTTGTGAGGTGGTATTCTTCTCTTATAAAGTCGTCTTATGTGAAGATGTACTCACCATTAGTGACTTCGAATGGTATGATCCTTCCGCCATCACCACCCAAGATGGTCATCTAGTCATAACCATGACACAAGAACCCATCCATGATCTAAATTTCAAATCTGGAATGTTACAATCCTGGAATAAATTATGTTTCAATACCAACGCATATTTCGAAGTGTCCGCTTCATTACCAGGTTCACCAAACATAAACGGTTGGTGGCCAGGTATTTGGACAATGGGTAATTTAGGTAGACCAGGTTATGGTGGTACGACAGATGGAATGTGGCCATACACATACGATTCATGTGATATCGGTACACTCGCGAATCAAACTTATTTAAATGGTACAGGACCAGAAGGAGCTTTATTTTCTGGTAAAGATTCAACTTCAATTTCATATCTACCTGGACAAAGAACTTCCGCATGTACATGTAAAGGTGAAGATCATCCAGGACCAAAAGAATCGATTGGAAGAGGAATACCTGAAATTGATATGTTAGAAGCTCAAATTGATATAATGAGAGGAATAGGACAAGTTTCACAAAGTTTTCAAACCGCACCTTTTGATGATTATTATCAATTCAATAATTTAACTCCTGGTACTTTTACACATTACGATCTGAAAGTACAGTTTGGAATAATTATTTAGGTGGTGTTTATCAACAAGCTATCAGTAGTTTAACGGATATACCAAGAGATTCTTATTGGGGTACCAAAAAAGAATTTACGGTTTTCGGTTTTGAATATAAAAGTAATAAATTGAAAAGAGAAGATGGTTATGTTACTTGGTATGTTGATGGAAATGAAAGTTGGACTTTGTATGGTTCGGCTGTTGGACCAAATGATAGGATGGGGATTGGACAGAGGTTGGTCAGTGAAGAACCTATGGCTTTGGTGAGTGAATGAATTCCTCCTCGCTCATGTCTCCGGATGTACTGTACCTCCTCCCTCCTCCTCTCTCCTTCCTGTCTTCTACTTTCCGCCGATTGAATACAAAACCTTTTCGAAGCTTTCCCACCCCCTTCACATATTTCTCTGATGAATGACAACCCCTAATCCTGCGAAGCAAAATCGTACCTGACTTCTTCGCTCTCCTCGAGAGAGAGATCATATCTGTTTCACTCCTCGTCCCCTTCAATTCCCCATCCGCCTAGATGTTCACTCGATGTGATGAACTTAACCCATGGGGTAGTCACAATATGAAGAGAAACATCGCTGATATCAGGTATTCAATCTTGCAATGGTCTGTTTCCTCTTCTCATTCATCAAGTTCTAATATTCACCACAATCATTTCTGGCAACCAAGGTCTCTCCAACCGAACACATTTCCTACTCGTTGACTTCCCAACAGTATCAAGCCGAAAAAATCTTGATCCTGGAACTGCTCACCCGTCTGCTTAAAGAAAGAGAAAAGCGCGAGAGATCTCTGATCCAAAAATCTCTCTGGTGGTCTACCCCTCAATGTAACGAGAGGCAAAGAAGGGCGGGCGACAATCTGAAGAGGGATGACAAAGTGGGAAACGGTGAAGCTAATAAACAGAGTAACAACTTTGCTAATGTTGATTTTAACCATATGACCTGGCCGAATTATCTTCGAATAGATTATTTGAGAGTGTACCAGAATAAAGATGGGACCGTGGGGTGTGATCCTGCTGGTGAGTGATCCCCTCTCCTCAACCTTTTCCATAAACCGCCTCACTTGTTCCATCTAGGTCACTTGGTCGTTTCCCTTGATCTCCTTCCCATCATCCATTTCTAGGTCCTCGCATGGTTCTATTGGGACAATGAACGATCTGTCACGGGAGATCACATACCATTCCAATGTTGAATGATGATTGGGAGGGAAAGAGGCTATTTGTTTCCCATAATTTTGGAATATATATGAGAGACGACTTAATCATGGACTCTTCCACACTTCGTATGACAATAGACGAGTGTGTTGGCGAAGACCTGGAATGAAGAGACGTCGAGGGGTGATTTCTTAATGTTAGATCACCCAACGGCCGATTATATCGCAAGACATGCGGAAGTGTATAATAATCCAAATATCACCACTTGGACTGGGGCTGGTGAGTTCTTTCTCCGTCTTTATCTCATTGTCACGGTTTCTTCCCTTAGCCCTTCCTCTACGCTGTCCTCTCCCTTTCGTTCCCCTCTACCGGTAGATCTCTACTCGGAACTTTGTTCCTACCTTCCCATCTCTCAACTTATCTCTCCCATGTCAAATTCTCCCCACTTCATGACCCTTCTCCTACACACACAACTGCCTACTCAACATATGCTTTGTCTGGTACCACAACGGTCTGGTTGATGTCCTAACGCTCAGGATACCCATTCCCAAAGAACAGACTGAAAGATGATTGTACATGATTCACTTTGTCTCTTTTCATGGCGTGGAGCGCCTAAATATGAACTTTCCCGGGACTCATACGATGGGAGTAAGTGATTAGACGGAGGGATATCTTGAAGGATATACCAAGGAGATCTAGATGGTCGTATGCTAATAGGACAATCGAAAAAGAAGAGATCTTCCATAGTTTATTGTATTTTGCTTTCCTGCATGTGTTAGTTACTTTTGCACCGTATCAATAAGGTCAATTTCATACGTAGGTACAAAGTGCCACACTGCCACTTTCCAATCTCACCTTGAACTTGACCTCGTACTTAACATCCTCCATCCTACATTCCACACATCAACACTTAAGTCACACACACCTATCAGATCCAAAAGTACCAAGAAGGAGAAAAGGGGAAAGAAAGATGACGATTCATGCTGTTTGGGTGATTAACAAAGCTGGAGGATTGGTATTTTCACGTACTTATTCAGGTAAGTACGTTTTGTATCCTTCTTATTCATCTCAATCCCTAATGTATGTTCCTCCTCTCCTCTCGGTTTTCTTCATCCCTTCATATAAATTCTCTTCGTGTATATCCCTATCTCATTACGAGATCTTTGCTTTTCCCATCGTGGGGAAGAACGCCTCATATGATTTTTCTTATCGTATATGAAGTATTGTCATGACGACGAGGGTATCATCATTTAAGAGGATAAGGTATATGTCCCATTTATTTCCCCTTTTTTTCCTCTTACCCCATAATTCTCCTCAAATTGGATATTGGGAATCTTTCCAAGACTGTCAGAATAAGTCATGAACATACAAAGATGGACAAGAAGTAAAGATGAAGATACATAGATAAAGGTACATAAATAACTCATTTACAGATACTTTACCAACACAAACTTTGAACGCTACGTTAATCCTCGCCGGGACATTACATGGTATACACGCTATAACTTCTCGGTTAAATCCAATCACGGGAAAAGGAGGTTTGGAAAGTTTTGAAGGTGAAAATTGGGGTGGAAAAATATGGATGAGTTTGACTGGTAAGTTTTTCTCCCTTCCTTTCCCCATATACTCAAATACTCAAATACTCAATCTACCTTCGTTCAGCTTTAGCTTCTATACCAACATGGATCTTTGAGGACTTTCAATTTGCGTCATCGTCTGATTTTCTCGAAATTCGTAATGTTCTCTTCATCGTGAATTTTGAGGTATCCAGGTCTACCCCTTCCATCATAGTTCTCTCCAGGGTATACAATCTCTTTATCACTTCAATTATCCGCGGAATGAGAGTATCTCATCATGTCATCTTCATCATACGTCTGTGTAATCCTCATACCTACGTCTATGTTATCATTATCAAAATACTTATCAGTATGACCCATCAGTACAGCAGAGAAGATGTTCCCTTCGATAGATAACTACAGAGGTGAGAATATGAGAGCTGATGAAAAAGGAATAAAATTCGTGGTTTTACATTCTATAGCTCATCAAGGTTTAGATGAACTGATGAGAAAGATATATGAGATATGTGAGTTAGTCCCCCCCCCCCCCCTCCACATTACCTCACTTGATTTCGATCCATCACACCTTATTCTTCTTCTCTCCTTCCCGCTTCCACTACTTCCCCCCTTTTTCACCGGCACCCATTCATTCTTCTACCCCTTCTACCCCACTATTTCTTCATTTCTTCATCTTTCAGTTCTGATGTCTATCTTCCTGTTCTTTCCCCCCTCATGTACAATCATCTTCACCCTTTTTCTCTTCCAACTCATGAAGCGAAGTAAACCATCGTATAAATATACCCATTCTCATCCTTGGTGATGGTATATCAATACAACTCATGAAGCGAAGTACCCCATCGTATAAAATATACCCATTCTCATCCTTCATAATTGTATATCAATACAACTCATGAAGCGAAGTAAACCATCGTATACAATATACCCATTCTCATCCTTCATAATGGTATATCAATACAATTCATGAAGCGAAGTACTCCATCGTATAAAAATAACCCATCCTAATTCTTCCTAATGGTATACCACTATATCCTCTTTCGTACACTCCAATTTCTGACAAGATCATATCTAATTTGGGATCGGCTTTCACCGCGGAACCTTTGAACCCTAGCTGATGTCCAGACTCAGACGCAGTGATGAAAAACCCTTTTCAAACACTTGAAATGCCGATAAATTCTTCTTTGTTCGAATCTAGGTTATTGGGATTGATACAGAGTGTCAACTAGTTCTTTCCGTTCATTCAGCCTCTTCCCTATCTATTCCAACACTGGTCTCATCGACAATAACAGTATGTCAGCGGACCCGACGAACACATATGCATTACATCCGGTACTACTTCACCTTCGACTCATCGATCCATCGATTCTCGAACACATCGGTCGAAAGCTGTGGGTTCTAGCGACCAGTCATTACAAACCAAGTTGTATACCACGAGTCACACGTGTACTTGACGAGCAGCCAACGAATGGGCGGATCACGAGAGGGATGAACACGAATGAGAGAAAAGTAGATATGCATTTGATCAATGAATGATGAATGAGATGCGAGTTATGTAATTGTTCCTTTTATCAATTTCTATTCTTCCGGTACATCTGCCGTACTTGTTTTTTCCAACAACAATTGAGCCGCCATCAGAGCTCTGAATCGACTTCCTTCTTTTCTCGACTATCCGTCAGTTCACCTTACTTACATCGCGTTCTCCCTCATTTCATTCTCAGTTGCCTAGTTTAACCCACCAGGCCTCCCATATCTTGTCCCTCTTTCATGGCGAAACCCTATCTTCACAGGAAGAAGGGTCGAGGGATGAGTGGGACCTTCTGTGGGGGAGGGGGAAAGGAAGGAGTGATTAGGTGGGGGAGGAGGAGAGGAGAGAGAGTAAGCAAGGAATAAAACAACAGAAGGACGTGCAGTGAAGAGAATCAGATAGCTGAAGGAGAAAAAAGTGAAGACTCACCAAAATATCATACCTCCCTTCCTCACTCACCCTCCCATCTTCAAGTACCACGACCCTTTCCGCTCTAGCCACACTGGACAATCTATGAGCAGCAATGATAACTGTTATATTCCTCTCGCGAATGATACCACCAATAGCGGCATTGACAGCATCTTCAGAATGAGAATCAAGAGCAGAGGTAGCTTCGTCCAATAGTAAGATGGTAGGACGACGGACCAAAGCTCTAGCTATGGAAATACGTTGACGTTGACCTCCGGAAAGTGAGGCTTTACCGACTGAACGTCAGATGGTTCGTCGTGACACTATGAGCTGACGACTTTATGTACGGTCAAAAAGATTCTTAGTGGATCACAATTCCACCAATGGGGTGAAAGACGAATGGTAGTTATTCATGTAAGCAAAATGACGATTAATATAGGGGGGGACAAGGGGGAGGGGGGGAAGAAATAAGTTTATATAACAGACGATAGGAAACACTGAATGAGAAGAGGAATGAAGAAAATTGAGGAGAAGAAGAAACACCCACTCATCGTATCTAATCCCTGAGGGAGGGAATAAACAAAATCACAATTCGCCTCCCTGGCTGCATTCTCTATATCTTCCCTCGTAGCATCAGGTGAACCATAAGCGATATTCTCCGCTACTGTCCCATTAAACAAAATAGGGTCTTGAAAAACAACACCTATTCGAGCACGCCATGATTCCGGGGTGAACGTTCTGATGTCTGACATTAGCGTTCCATCGAATAGATCCTCATTTAAAAGCCCCCAACAACCTGAGGCACGAAAAGAATTCAAAGACCATACATTCCAACATGATCGCGGATGATGCAAGTGAAGCGGACCATTATAGAGCCTGGGTGAGATGACGATATCGTGAATGAATACTATGGAAGAATGACACGATGAAGAGGATGTTGAAAGACTGAGAGTGTATATGTTATAAACTCACCCTCCCCGTCGAACGTCACCTGTCCTTCTGAAGGATCATAAAATCGTTCTATCAATTGCTGGATCGACGTTTTACCACTTCCACTTGCTCCACTGTACATTAGCCAGTATTCATTGCTTTTCACTGTCCCGTGACCAGAGACCTCATACCCTCCATATTACAGCTATGCAAACGCAGGCATTCTCGCTTTCCGTTCATGGTGTTGACCTTATGCAAGCACTTCACGCATAAACACTGGCAATACGTTGTCGGCAGTCAACAAGGAGCCGAAGTTCAAACATATTTCCCTACACAAATCGGTTCCCAGTCCTTCGTGGTCATTATTAGACATATGAATAGAGTATCGAGGAAGGTACCATAAAGAGTCACGAGGGTGGGCCGTTCATGATGACTCACACCAACGCCACACTCGTCCCTCTCCGAATGGTCAAATCTACCCCTCTCAAAACTTCCACCTCTCTCCTAGTAGGATACCTAAACCTAACACCTTCAAACCGTATATCCCCATTTCGCCAATGTTCAAGAGGTTTACCGACGTTCAAAGGTATGTGTGATTCTCTATCGAGTAACCAGAAAACTCGAGCGCCAGCACCGACACCTGTTCGTCAGCACGATCAGGAGGAACTTTAGAAAGTCGAACGGACCTCTCATGAGATCGGTGAAAAATCGTGTGAGGCCGGAGACGGAGCCGCCTACGTAGCTGCCATAAACATTTATATCAGTTTTACCTAGGAAGGAAAACTTACGCGCTGTAGACCAAGAGGGAGGTAAGATCGCCGACTGTGATTTCTCCCCGTGATACTAGAGATCCACCTGTTCTTGTCAGCAAGACCATAAGCGAAAGAGGGGGGTGACAGTATCATCGATAATCCCGAATCTCTTATGGTGGGCTTTCTTGATACGCGGGGAGTGGGAATCGAGGGCGGCAGGTTCTGGCAAGTTCGGAGGGGGTAGAAGGGTGTCAAGTCAAGAAAGTTGAAGTGTAGAAAGCTCACCATAGCCCAGCAATGACAACATGGCTAAATTACCAGTGAGACCAGAAAGGCCCCAAAAGAGACCAGTCATGTACGCTTCTTTCTTTGCCAATTGAAATATTCCGTCCACTTTGTTCTCGAACAAACGAGACTCGAGAGGTTGGGCGTTGTATGCTGTTACAGTTTTAAAAGCATTCAACTTCTCTTCTGCCGTCTGCATATTAGTATCGGTCACGTCAAAGTCTGGCCAGTGCGGGTCAAGCAATCATCGGTCACCGAGATGACAGAGCACAAGCATGGAGAGGAAGGAGATCCACACACATCAAATGAGGGACGTGTGACACACCTTTGACATCTCTCCAACAGCATCTTGAGTCATGTTGGACAATTTCCGTAGATAACGCCCATAGAATACCTACCACTCAGCGACTGTGCAATAATTCATTGAAAGACTGTACTCACAGCTCCGAGAGATACTGGCGGTACGACGCACAACATCAGAAGGGTCAATTTGGCAGAGATCCAAAGCATTGCACCGACTGTTGCTTAGCAGGGACCTCGTAGGATGAAACCATCACGACCTCTGAAGTGACATCGGAGTAGACAAGATTTAGATAGCACCGCTCACGGGAGGTGGGAATGGTGCAAAAGAAGGACAGGAGTGTGAGGTGAGGTGACTCACCGCCAACAGTAGCAGTGACCAAAGCCCTCAAACCATCACTCAAGTTATTGGTCACTGACTCTCCCAATATACCCGTGTCAACGCTGAGACGAGAGACTATATCTCCCGCACTTCGATCGGCAAATTCAGGTTCTTGTCTTAGACTAGCGGTGTAGGCGGCTGTTCTGTACGTGAGTATTTTTCGCGTTAACTCCGGCCTAAACGTGGTGTCGTAACCACAGACCGGATCAGTACAGTGTATGCCAAGGTTCACAAAGAAAAGGAGGATGCGAAGAAATTCACTCACCTCACCCTAGCAATAATCTTCTGCCCCGAAAGTCGCATCAGTATAGCCCGACCCGTGTTCGCAGTAGCGCCGATGCAGAAGACGATAGCGAGGAGGGTGGCAGCGACGGGAAAGGAAAGCCCGAAGAATGTGTTCTACGCTTCAGCAAGATTAAAAAGGCGCTCTCAGGTGAGTGCTTTTGTATGTCACTCTTTCCTCAGTCATCTAGCCTCCGGGCATTGATGAGTGGGGTTATCCGGGGTGAAGTTTTCGCAGCAAGATGGTAGATAACATCTCAAGTGAAGAAAGCAATGCCTCCCCGAGTGGACAGTAGGGCCAAAACTTGATGAAAAAGGGGTGAACTGTACTGGAGGGTATCCCTACAACAAACTAAATCTTGGAGTGGACGGTAGAATGGATCCCAGGAAAAAAAGGTAGCTCACATCGTTCGAAGAAAAGAAATCGATTAATTTTCCGATAGTAAGAGGAACGAGCATCGATACCGAGCTGGAGACCAATAGCTTTTTCATCAGCTCCAAGTTTCTATCTCTTCATCTTGTCGTCTTGCGCGTCTATACACCACTGCACCACAATTCATCAGCCGCCAGACCATCCAACCAAAAGGAAGATGACCCCCCTCCTCCCGGGATCCCGATAGCACTGGTAAAAAGTATAAACGTGATCAATCAGAGGACGTCAGAGGGTGGCTTGAAAAAGAATCAAACAACGGAGAGAACTAGAATAGAATAAGAATGATAAGAATGTCACAGAAGGGAACAAAAAATTATAACGCACCAAACCAACAGCAATACTCAAATTCTTTTTCTCCGGTCTAGCAAGCTCCACAAGTTTTCTGACAGAACCATAAGTATCCGTACTGGGAGCTTGATCACTACCAAGATCCACTAATTTACTCAAACGCGCGAATAATCCGAGTGTTGGTTCGACCTTTGTCCTATCATGTGATGTTCTACTCTGTGTCGTTGACAAGTCGAGCTGTTTTTCCTCTTGTGAGCTTGGAAGGTGCGTGATGGGTTGATTGGATTTTGTTCGATCTGAAGAATCTGATATGTCAAGAGCAAATTTGGGAGGATTTGAAAGGTCAGAGGAAGGGACAGTGGATTCCCGCTCGTTCGGAGGAGATACGGGGGTTTTGGGAGGTTTGGAATTAGAAGAATTATGTCGGACTAATAAGTGTTTGGATATAAAAATATTGGCAGGGAGAATCCGTGTTGGGATTGATTTCGAGGATGATATGAGAGGAAAGGTAGGTAATTTGGAGAAGGATGTTACGGAGGACACAGTGAAGGGTTGGGTAGTGGGATGAAGAGGTTGACAGGAAGAAGATTGTGATCTCGTTAGAGTTGGTCGTTGTCTAATTGAGACTGTCCATGATGAGGTCGACGGAGTACTACCAACGAAATTCGGGAAATTTGAAAGCTGACATTGATGAGATGATCGAGTATGATAATCACCATGCTTCTTCACTGGATACAATGGAGAAGAACCTCTTTCCGCTGAATTGTAAAATGTCTGACAACGATTTGATGATGTTTCCCGACTATGCCTTGGGACATGATACAAAACTATGAATCAACCAGAGTTTCTATACCACATTCAATCATCTACCCATAAGGATTTCGAAGTGAGAAGCATCAACTACGGGGGAAGAACAAGATGATTGATTAGGACAGGAAGAAGATTACCCACCGTCGGCCGAGGTGAGTCGCGTACATCGGTATGAAAGTGGTCGGATGAGATTATTGATTTCGGGTAAGATAGAAGGACCACTATATATTCTCGATCGAACGATAGTACCGAACATGACCTACTGATAGCTAGACAGCTGATATTTGGTGTTTTTGCTGTTACACGGGGGATGAGATTGAACAAGTACTCGTAGTGGTAGTGGGGTCGGGATAGAGAGAAGGGAGGAGGAAACTGGTATGCGGTACGTAATGTGGCAATGTGGCACCACTCCACCTCGACCTAGATCACCTAACACGGATGGGACGGAACAAGCTTACCCAGTACTCATACTCGTACAGCAATCACACGGACGAAGATAGACGGGAGGATAGAGTTCGAAGCTATCACTCGAAACATGAAGATCAAATGCATGAAATACTGTAGATATGTACTGATAAGAAGGAAAGATCATAATGTAATTTATACCGTGCGTCAATCAATCACTATCATCCACATATTGAACATTCCTTCTTTTCCCATTTTTCCCACTTATCACCTCTTCCTTTCCATTCCCACCTCTTTGAACAGGCTGTAACTTTGGAGCTACCTTCCAACCATTTTCTTCTTCCCAATCACCCCCATCTGACCATATTTCCCCTATCTCATTCACATGATCTTCATCTTGCCAATCAAATTCCTCTGCCTCTGCCATTGCCCTTGCCTCATCGTCATCGTCATGTTTCAATTTCGTCTTTTTAATCGTTTTCTTAGTAGATGGTCCAGATGTGTAAACCTTAGCCTTGCAATATGGTGGATTATCGGTATTGTTGTTCTTGTCTTGAGGACGTTTCTCAGAAGGAGGAAGGATATCATCATCTTTTTCCAAATCATCATCGGAAGGTTCGACGAGGTTCCGACTGTTTTTTTTGGAAGGTTTCCGATCTATACCTTTATGATTTAGGAATGTATATTCAATGGTTGGTCCGGAAGTTTGGACTGTTTCGTGAGAAAAACGTGATAAACGGATGGAATTGGGCCCTAAGGATATATAAACGTTGACGGTATCTGTTCATCAGCAATGTCCTCTTGCACGTCTGTATCTGCGTCTGTGGTGGAGAAGTAGATGTCCACTTAGTGATACCTCAGGAAGTAGTTGTGATAGTATGTTCCTATCAAATAGCTCATCCAGAGAAGTGAAACGAAGGTCGTGATGGAGAGTGGCAAAATGATGGGAGAGAAGAGAGTACAACGAACAAGCTGTAGCGTGATATGCTATTTATGTGAGCTCATGATGCTTCGAGGGAGGAATCGAAAGCTCACAGTCTTGCAAATAACCTAGTAGTGTGAGATGTATCAACAAAGCTTCCGTATCCTACTAAATCAGAAAAAAAAATTCTTGACAGTAGACATGAGACGAAGAACGGTCATTCAGGACAGTCCAGATCACCGATCATCAGGAACGGTATCTAAATCATTGTATAGGCCAGATAGGGACATCGATGACAAGAGCTGACGAAGAAGTGGGTATCTGAAGATGATAATGTACCAAAAGCACCGGTCAGGGTAAGGATCTCAGGAAGAGAACAGGAACTCGCCTCTTTACTCAATCCTACCTTCCCCCCCGCAACCTCATTCAGGTCCAATTTCTCCTTTTCCCCACCCATCCTCCTCTTCCCTTTCTTACCCTGTATCATGATACCAAAAGAACCTCCACCCAGACCTCTCACCAAATCCGCAAGATTCGAAAGGGTGACCCTTCCTCCTTGAGCGGTGACTTCATCTAAGACTTTGATAATTTGCCAAGTCTCCAATGTGACATTACGAGTGAAAATGGAAGAGGTAGGACGGGAACAATTGTCGCATACTCCACAAGGAGATACGGAAGATGTTGAAGTTGAGTTAGAAATGGAAGAAGGATGATCCCATGCCGATGTGGAGAGGGAAGAGGAAGTGGCGAAGTACTGTTATGTTCATCAGCGTCACTTAAATAGAGAGAAGATGATAGGGACAGACTTTTGCAAATGCCACCTGGATATCAGTATACCTTCTCACGAATAGCGAGATAAAAGTCACATCCGAAAATGATCACAGTGGGGGATGGCATGCAGATGTTCAGAGGATGTAGTGTGTCAGAAAATAGAAATGGGGCGTACCTTTCGACATGTCTTGAGATCTTGAGCGAATCGAAGCATTTCATGTACTGTCCGTCAGACTTGATTGATGTGGTGTGACCTACATTTGGCAGTACCATCTACGTCCCCGTAGATTAATGACGATAGACGGGAAGCATCTTGACCACGATAAAATAGTACACAATCACTATCTTTTCCATCTCGACCCGCACGCCCAGTCTCTTGGTAATACCCATCCAAAGATTTGGACATCTACTCATCAGTCCTGCTTGAGAGTATCGGTACTTCGCTCACGGAATGATCTGATTGTCAGCCCATGTGCAGCTTTGGCTCTATAAAGTCATTGACACCCCGCTTGTGTAACGGAGATAGGGACGTATTCATGAGGTGCACCGTAACAGAGACGCGTATATGGGAAGCGGTATCACTAGATAGGTGTGGGGAGAAGGTGAGGATCGAGCGAGGAAAGAAATGGACTAACGAATAACATATCTGACATCGCCCTTGTCTATGCCCAAACCGAAAGCTATGGTGGCACAGATACAGCTATACGTTAATGAGGGATCAGCAGTGGATGTAGAAACCCACTTTATACGGCCTTTCCTCCAATCAAGGTGTATTCCCTCTTTAGCTGCATCATCCACCCCTGCATGATATACACCCGTCTGTCACATCAGCTACGTTGATCTTCTCCTCGACAAGGAGCCTGACCTTGATTTGCCCTCTGGACCATTCACGGAGCTCATCAGCGACTGTCTCAGTATCCTTTTGGTAAATACATTACAGCGATCACATGGATCCACTCACTTTCTTGCTGAGACAGTAGATTATCCCGCTATCCCCTCTACTAGTCAGCTAGGTGGTCAAACTGTATCTCCCGTGCGATGGTATGATCTGGTCTGCACGGGTGTAGAGCAAAGGAGAAAACCGACTGTGTGCCCACGACAAGAGTCAAAACATCAGACACTCACGGATGTTTTCTTTGTATCCAATTACCTATCCGCTCTATAGCAGCTTTGGCGGAAGAAGGCTTCGGCAGTACCTTGTAATGCAAATTGGCACGGTGGAGGGGTGCAGAGAAGAACACAGTCCCAGTGGAGTTGGCCTTGTTACCGTCGCATACTGGTGGAAGCTGCAGAATCTTCAGGAGGTCTGGAAGTGTTTTCGTACTCAGTGTCGCGGTCTGAGAATGATCAGCGACATCGTACACTTAACAAAAATACCGCATGGGACGACTGACACCGCGTGACATGAGCAAGCAATGGGACTCAAGCAGGGGTGTAAGGGAGATAGTGAAGGTAACGTACGACAGCTTGGATAGGTACACGTGGGAACAATGTCTTCAAGACTGATAACTTCTTATAGTCGGGTCGGAAATCTCTCGGTCAACTCTGACACATTTCACATCTTGTAAACATACCATGTCCAAGCTGCGAACAACAATGCGCTTCGTCTACATGTCTTTCAGCTCAACGTGAAGACTCGGATCAAGGAGCTGACCGATAACAAATCGCCCTACCTATTAGATGGGATCTCACACATTGTTGGAATACTCACGCAGACGACCCATGGCATTGGCCTTTTCCAGCGCGGACATGAACCTCTTGGACTTTGCGACTTTTTCAGGCTAAGAATTTAGAGATAGTCAAAATATATCAGATGTTCAAAAAATCTTACTGTGACATAACAAAGCTATATATGAGCGTCGCCTGGTCGCAGGAGATATGTAGCTTACACGCAGTTCTCTTCCGCCCTTCGAGCTGCCACCTTCTATCTTCTCATAAATCTGGTTTTGTTCTGCCTTCGTAGTCGCTCCAGTCATCATCTGCGAGTCAGGCATCTCATCCCTGTCTCCTACAAAAACGCGGAGATCCCCTTGGCAAAGCTTGTATGTCATTTTCAACCGTTTGTAAAGGGTCAGAATTCTAAAAAGTTACAGGATACGAAAGGCTTGTCTAGAAGTGTCATGAGGGTCAGAGAGGACATACCGCACACTCCACGCCTAGGTCTTTCAACGACCTTACTTGATCCCATATCAAAGCCAATAGAGGACTAATGACCACCGTGACTCCTCGTCCCATCATCGCTGGCAACTGATATGTTAAACTTTTACCACCGCCGGTGGGCATGACACAGACGATATTTCGATCGTCCATGGCTGCGTTGATGACACCTTCTTGGCATAAACGAAAGCCTGAGAGCTTGAAAACTTGTCGGAGAGTAGTGGCAATAGCAGGTGACCAGGGGAAGGAACAGCCTTGGTAGTCTATTCCGGAAGTGGTAGACGCTCGAGCGGATGATTTGATCTGCGAGCGATGGGTGGTACTGAGCTTTTGGAGTTGATTCTCCAGAGTATGGCGTTCGGAGATAAGATGGGCGTGTAGTTGCTGCAGGGGTTCCAGTTGGGATTTGACTGAAGCAATCTGAACCAAAATTAGCTGCTGGGCTCGTAATGTCATCTCCCTCTTCCTTCAGCTCCTCTGTCATGAGTGCGGTGAGAGTTATGGAACTGAGCACAGAGTTGCTCAGGCTTAACAGTGAGTGAGTGATTAGAGGAGGTACTGTGTAGACCTTCACATAACAAGACTCACCTCAGCGTCAAGCTCAGCTAGCTTGACCTTTAGATCATCTCTGGCTTCATGACTGAGAACAGGAGGGTCAAGTCCCCTGCCAGTCCCTGAGCTGGAAGATGTCGGTAAGCGACTGGGACCTGGAGCTGAAACAAAATCCTCATCATCGCTATCAACGACGATAGCCCCGGATACCATGAGAGTGGGTTGTGTGACCAGAGAGATGCTCAGTGATTTAGATGTACTTATGTGCTGGGAAGAGAACGCGTTGAGCAAGTCAAGTGGAGGGGAAGGAGGCAGCCACGTGGCCACCATGCGATAGTCACGTGACGTCAGATTTCCACTTTTCATGATCGTCTTCTTTGAGGGGTGTAGTTGGTTGTTCAACTTGTTTTCTAATCATCATGGCGAGACACAAACGTGGTAGAGGTGGAGCGACAAAGAAGGACACCAGGGATAGCAACAAGGGAGGGTGGTACGTTAACAGCCCGGCAGACAAGAACAACTCCGCTTTTGACGAGTATTACCAGGTGAGGTCGTCTTTCTTCCAATCGTCCGTCTCCATCAACCTTTTAGCCAGTGAACATCAGTCGTCCTCTTTTGGGCTGTCCAGAGCTTAAGCTGATGTGTAGAACCAGGGTATGGTTCCCGAAGATGAGTGGGAAGCATTCAAAGCCTGTCTACAGTCGGACCTTCCTACCACCTTTCGAGTGACGGGTTCAAGAGCGTGAGCTCGTTTCGTCCGTCAAAAAGATAAGAAAAGCTCATGTGAGAGTCATGCGGAGGCTATCAATGATTTGATAAAGTCTACACATGTGCCAAGTACTTCTAATGTGGAGCTTGATGGTGTCAAATACCCTCCTCCGATGCAGATACCTTGGTTAGTTCACATGATATACACTTCTTACCATTGCTATCATGTCACAAGGACTTGCTAATATTAGGTACCCGGGACATCTCGCATGGCAGATTTCCGCACCCAAACGGGTCATCAGGAAGTCGGAGCCGTTCAAAAAGTTTCAACGGTTCCTCGTCGGTGAGACTGAAGTCGTAAGTCCTAATAATCTCTAAGAGTGATCGTGACTCATTCCCCAGGGTAATCTAAGTCGGCAAGAAGCTGTCTCGATGATTCCTCCTCTACTCTTAGATGTTGAGTCACATCACATCGTACGTCTCTCTATCCCACTATCGTCTCCTTACGGTAGCTTGCTTGGGATTTGATTATTGATGACAGTGTCTTGACATGTGTGCGGCTCCTGGGTCCAAAGTAAGCAGGATGATCTCATCCTGGGCTTCGCTAATATGTCAGACGGCTCAAATCATCGAGGCTCTCAACCCTCATCACACATTCTCCACAGGCATGTTGATCGCCAATGATTCGGATTATAAAAGAACGCACATGCTCGTTCATCAAACGGGAAGATTACCCAGCAAAGGCCTCATTGTGACCAACTTGGATGCTGGTCAGTATCCCTCTAGCCTTCACTGCTGGCACTTTCTGACTCAACAGCTCAGTTTCCTACCATCAAGTTGTCAAACGGTCAACCATTACTCTTCGACCGCATCTTGGCCGACGTCCCGTGAGTAAACTTCACCAGTACTTCAGGCCCACTAACTCGTCAGTTGTAGCGGTGATGGTACACTTCGGAAAAACCTCGAGATTTGGAGTAAATGGGGTGCTGCCGATGCCAACTCTCTACACTCGTAAGTCTTCTCCACCTTCACACGTACTCTGGGCTGATAGTGAGACTCCAATTACGCATCCTTCTTCGAGCCATGAACCTCCTACGTCCTGGGGGTCGTCTAGTCTATTCTACTTGTTCGTTCAATCCTGTGGAAGATGAGGCCGTAGTGGCTGCGGCGCTGAACTCGAAACCTGGGTTCTCCCTGCTCGACGTCTCAACCCATCTACCGGGACTTCTTCGTCGTGCAGGCGTGTCGAGCTGGAAAGTCGCCACTCAGCCGAAATCGGGTGAAAGAAAAATTGCCTGGCATGAGAATTATGAGTCGTACAGGGAAGCTGTCGAGGCGGGAAAAGAACGGGATAAGGATATCAAAAAAGGGTTATCGAGAAGTGTGTGGCCCCCGGAAAATGTTAACGAGCTCAATTTGGAGAGATGGTGAGTCATTATCCCCTATCTTTTGCTTCACATTCATGCCTCTCGGGTCTCGTAACTAACCTCAGTCTTCGATTACTCCCCCATGATCAAGATACGGGTGGTTTCTTTGTCTGTGTCCTACAAAAGGCCGACATACCACAATCATCGACTATCCAAGTCGAAGATTCTGTCCTGCCCGACGTTTTACCCATCGAAGCGAATGTAGCCGACGAAACCGGAACTTCGTCCCTGAAACGTGCTCGGTCTCCCGTTGTCGAGGAACCAGACGCCAAAAGGAACAAATCGGACCCTCCCTCTGCTGGGTCTACGGATCCGACTGTAACTACGGGAGCGGCCTCGTCGTCTAAGGGTCAGGACCAAGGGAGAGCGAAGAAAGAGAAACGAGATTTGGGATTCAGAGAAGATCCTTATTCGTATGTCAAGGCGGATAATGTAGAAATCGGAACATTGGTGTACGTTGCTTTCTGTCTTTCACGCTCGTTCATCATCCTCCTCCTGCTGGGATAACCATGCTAAGTGCCAACGTACTGCTTGACAGGAAGCGAAACGGGCTGACAAAGAAGTGATTGGTTCAAACTCAGCGAAACTTTTCCTCGCGGGAATCTCATGGTACGGAATGAATATGGTGACCCTTTACGTACACTGTATCTGACCAATGACATTGTCAAGGTAAGTTCTTCAGTCGTAACAATTCCGGGAACCGAGGAGATCAAGATGGTCAGCATTAAGCGTTTTGCTGATGGAATAGGAAGTGTTGGAGAATAATGATTACACCCGACTACGAATCGTCTCTGCCGGGGTCAAGGCTTTCGTTCGACAAGATTCTCAAACACGTCCAGAGGTAGTATGCAAGTGGCGTGTACCTTCTGAAGGAATAGGTGAGGTGGTGCCTCATATGAACGAAGAGGAAGTGCGGGATATGGGATTGGAAGATTTGAAAGTTTTGTTAGAGGAGCAATACCCGCCTGTACGTTTCTCTCTCCAACTTGTCAACTTCACATTATCCGCACCGTTTCTTGTCCGAGTATCACTTGTAAGGAGAGACTTCTGAGGGTCTGGAATGGTCGAAGTTTTGATTACTTCACCGACTTATTTCCATTTTCGACCAGCACATTCCTGCACGTCGCAGGTCGCAGGTCGCAGGTCGCAGGATGAAGACCGGCCTGTCGGACAATGTTGAAGGTACCAGCTGATCATTTAGGTGGAACGTTTCTCCCCGATTACTCAAACTCTGGTCAATGATCTACCCCTGGGCAATATCATCGTACGATTCAAATCTGGTAGTTTACCAGATGGTGCTCAGTCAGTCGTTCAAACCTTCCATCTCACCTCTGCCATCCGCTTACCGTCCATTGATGCGTCAAAGATCCAGCTGACGTATAGTCTACCGATGGATCTCATCTCCCCCATGTGGAGAGCAAAGACTTCATTATCACTTTTAATTGATAAGCGGGAAAAGAGGTATGTCACTCCTCTCCCCGCCCCCTTCCTTGAACCATCACTAGTGACAGGTCTGTACGGAGAAGAAGTTGATGGAATAGCACCTTGTCCTTACGTACGTGGGGTGAAGATATCTGTAAACCTGGCCCACCGTTGAAGAATGGTGCACCACGGGAAGAGGAAGTAGCGGTAGAGGTTGATAAGACGCGGTCAGCGGAAGTGGATGATGTGAGGGGAGTGGTGGATGTAAAGCCAAGTCTGGCTGATGAGGGATCTTGATAACACGCAGCATCCAGATGGCAGATGAATAAGTCAGTTCATAGATGATTGTTTCGTCAACATGCTCTCTCAGGCATCTGCATTCCTCATCATTATTTAGTCACAGTGGTTGATGGAGGTTCAATCAAGAAAATATCTTAACTGTACATAGGTATGTAAGGGAACACTCAACATCTCCTTCATGTGTTACTGTTCAAGCTTTGAGCTAGGAAGGCTTGTGCACTAGGGTGCAACCTCTTACGATTTGACCAATTGAAAGTTTCCCGTGGAATGTTTGTTGATGTTGCAGAGATATTTGTCACGACTACCTTGTGACCCGCTTCAGTGATCACATCAGCTTTGATCGTCCAACGTCTTAACTGTTCCGGAGATCTTGAAGGATCTGCCTTTAACCAACTTTCGTATTCACTTTCAAATTCTGTGGTGAACATATCAACAATTCTGGTCTGTGTATCTCTTGACACCCCGGATCGCCTGAAAGCATTCTGGAGCCGTTCTTTGAACTTAGTTTGATAAAAATCTAGATTTTCGGACAAATTTGACAATGTCACATCAAGGATGATGGAGTCCGGATCTTCATCTTTGTAAGTAAAATAATTTACAATTTCCTGTGGCCAGTGCATATTGTTACCCTCTGTAGGAGATTCATTCATGGCCTCTCCAACCAAAGTGATCATGGAAGCTGTTGTTGGACTATCGGGGGGGGTCGTTTCATCAGTTGAAGATACAGAGCTGCCAATGGACAGCTGTGGGAGAGGGGGTAAGGGTCGCCTTGACATGATGTATTGAAGTTTGAATTCACAAGTTGTCTTGGTGGTATAGATAAAAAAAGATTGATCAGATTTATGAGGTTTGAAATTCTTCCACTTCCCTACACAGGTTTATATAGTTTGTTAAGGACCCAGCCGGAGACGGACCGCTCCGGAGTGGTCTGGCTAGGCAGGAGGCTTTGGGACCGGGTCAGAGATGCGTGCACCTCCGGAGCAGCATGGTCTCCCAGTGGGTCCGTAACTGCTACTCCTGGACAGACCAAGAGGGAGACTATATATGCTTCAAGAAGCTCTTGCACCCACGGAAGTTGGAAGCAGCGCTTGCATCCATATCCGACCGAAGACATGATTACCTACTTGGTTACACGTATATGCATTGTGGTTTTCAGTCACTGTGACCTGAACCTATCATTGATCTATGTACAATCTCTGTTCTACTGACCAGCACCACCTGAATATGAGAAAGAAGTCATGAGGAGAGAGAAACTCACTGTCAAATTGTAGCTCAGCTCCATACTTCTCCTTGAATACCTCTCGAGCCTGTAGGATCCGTTTCACACGTTCTTTCTGTTCTGCCGCCTCTTGCATAAACCCAGACTGATTGAGACCTCTCCGTTTACTCATGATCATGGTAGCAAGTTCATGCCAAAGCCATATCTTGTATTTCCTAGCGAGTCGGAGAAGCGGTCGAGGTAAGGACCAAACCTGCCCATCAATTTCCCAAGACTCCTCCCTCCAAAGCTCGTCGGGTGTTGCGATGTAGTTGGGGAATTCATCAAGTGGTGAGCGACCATGCCAGAAGGAAGAGGGAACACCATCTTCGTCATAGTCACTCCAGGACTCAAGGGAATGATCGTTAGCTGGCCACGGGGTATTCGCCCGTCGATGTTCTCTTCTTTGTACCGAAGTGTCGCTTTCTGAACTTGTGTCATTGTCCAAGCTTGGAGCAGCTTGTGTATAGGAGGGAGCAGTCATGGAAGTGGTAGTTGACCGATCACCTGGGATCAGTGAAGATACTCCCTTGATCAAGAACTATTTACCACTGTTTGTAGTATCACTCATATCCAAGTCTGTTTCACGCCTCACCTGCTTCTTCTCTGTCCTCCTTCTCTTCTTTTTCTGTTGTCTAGTTCTATCAGAGCTCTCAGGCAATGTAATCAAAGTACGCTCTGTAGCGGTAAGACGGGAGTAATTGTTACACTCATGCTCTGCACCATGGCAGTACAGACCGCACTTGACATTCTTTTGTCTACACCGACATCGATTTGTGGTACATTCCCCTTTACAGCGGCAATGCACTTCTACCTTCTTGATATCTGAAGTATCAGCCACATGATGATCACGGAAACTACTCACCAAAAATTTTATATGCTGCTTCTCTCAATGTAACTTGTGGGAAAGTGTTCCATTTTGACCATCCCAGATGTAGAGAAACCGGTATCTGGAGGTCATCTGCCGGATTGAGTACTTTGCTTTGATATAATCGGGTGAGGACTCCCTCAGAGCAAAGAAGTCGATATGTGTTGCTCTTCTCTGGAACTACCTCACATACCACACAAGGAATACGACTAGCAGGAGCACCTGGCCGATCTTGAGGAGGAACAAACAGTGTGACTTTATCGCCGGTTTTGTAGGTCCAGTTCTTCTGATTGCGTCCATGTTGCTCCACCATTTTGGCTCGACAGAGAGCTTGTCGTTCTCGCATCTTTGTGATGATGTGGTCACTTGCTGTTGGATTCCGACGTGCATGTTCATCCTCCATAATGAGCTGTTGAACCGGGTTGGTAGACGAAGGCTCAGCAGGAGACTGTAGAGGAGTTGTTTCTGGTTGATCAGGCAAAGTTCAAGAACATGACAGAGTAATAAATGCACTTACCAAGCGTGGTCTGCGGATTAGATCCTTGCCCTTCCTGTGGTGTTTCCGTCTCATCCTCCTGATCTTCCCAACGAAAAGGGAGTGGTGTCCCTTCATTATCCTCTTCGTCATCCTCAATTGCTGTCCTGCCATCATCCAACCTAACCTCTTCCACAATGTCTCGCCCTTCTAGAGTGTCCCACATATCAATTTCACGGGGTTTACGCCCAAAAACAGCACGATAAGGTGTGTGTAGTGTAGCACTGTGTCTTGTGAAATTGATGGAGCGGATTACATGTGGGAGTCCATCGGCCCTGATGGCAGTCAGCAACCCTCGAGCATCTCCTCATCTTGGAACATACCACGGCCGGTCTGGGTTATCCAAACACCATTTTGATAATCGGCTCTTCATGGTTGAGTTTCCCTGCTCAACAAGGCCCTGGACACGAGGTGTGCGAGGTAGCCCATGTTTTATCTTGATATCAAAGCGCTTTGCCAAATTGATGATAAGCGTGTTGCAGAATTCTCTACCATTGTCGGACTGGAGTATTTGTGGTGCTCCAAAGTGATTGATCCAGGTCATAAGATGCTGTTCAACATCTGCTGCACTTTTTTTTGGCATGGCGTACTGAGATTAGCCGGCCATACCAAGAGCAGGATAATCACCTACCATCTGTGAATACTTTGTAAAATGGTCCTTAATATGGCATATCCAGCGCATTGTTTCTGTTCCGACTTTACACTCCATTGCGCGCATATCAACAAGATCGATTTGGATACGCTCAAAGGGAAAGCTGGACGTGATGGGTTGGATTTGACCAGGATCCTTGTTGCGAGCTCTGAGAGATTTAGCACATCCTGCTCCATGTACAGGAACTTACTTCAGCATGCAGATATTGCACGATTTAATTGCTTTCACCACTTCCTTCTTCCCTACACCACGGTAGTACCTAGCAATCTCTTCATGAGTCTTGTTCTGTCCTGAGTGGGCGGTTTGTAAACAATGTACTCGTTTGATGACTGTGAGAACTTGTGAGATAGGAACAAGCTTGTACCATTGATCACCTTCAGGAGAAGGTCGATAGAGGACTTCTTCCCCATTCTCCCCAAGACGATGTTGTTTCCGGACCTTTGTAAGCCAGGAGTTATGTGGTGCTTGGAAGTGAGGGGGTGAGGCCCCATCATGTTTCAAAACCCAGCGTCGAGCTTCGATATCCTCGTCTGTGAAGGTGTAGGCAAAGTTTTCGTTCTTCACCCAGTTTACAAAAGCGTGTTCAAACTGCGGTGTGAAGGCGTCTTGAGGAAGGGAGTTGGTTGAAGGATTTGACATGGTTTACACGTGAAAGCAGTAAGAAACAATCACAAAGGGATGATACAGGTGTTAGGATGGAATGTAAACAGAAAGAGCACAAGTTCATTGGACATGTTGGGCAGGAATTATCGGAGACTTGTTGAGTGTGGCGATCTCCAGCTGGGTCTGATGGAGATTCTCCGGCTGGGTCCGCATAGAAGCATACCACTCCGGAGGGGTCCATCTCTGACCGGGTCCGATCAGATCCGTGCGACTCCGGAGTGGTCCGTCTCCGGCTGGGTCCTTAACAGTTTTTCACATCGGGTTCACTTCGGGCAGATATCACGTCATCATAACTCCGACGAAAGGATTCTCCGATCTCCGCCCGCCCAGCTTGGAAGGCTTCTCGCGGGCGGACCCGTCCGGATCAAAAAAAAAAGAGTTGATGGAAAGGGATTTTGAAGTGGGGTTGGTGTGTTCTAGAAACATCTCGGAAGTATAAATATCATAGGCCGTGTTAGCGGCGTTTGAGTTTTCCTCCGATAGATACGGTGTTTGAGAATTTGATTGTCCGTCGTTACGTCGTGAAAGTCGGATAGAGAGAAGAGTCGATAGAAGGGGGATAGTGTGTTCTAGATACACCTCGGAAGTATAAATCCCAAAAGCCGGATTGGACAAGTCGGTGTTTCAATTTCATCCCATGACTACGGTGTTCGAAAAATTAGTCGTCCGTCATTCTGTGGCTATTGGAGGATGAGTGTGTCCGAAGGGTGATTGTGCCGCATGTCGCGTGTCAAGCCTCAATGAGGTTTTGGGGCTGAATAGTGGCTCAGTGACGGGCAAGAATAAAGAGATCAAGATATCGGAGAAGGCGACAAGATCTTCAGAGATGAGGTCCCGAACGCAGGGATCATATTCCTGTTACCCAGCCGCTCCTTGGTGTCGAATGAGGAGTTCCGCCAGAAATCTCTCGAGTAGGGATCGGTGACATTCGACTCGTCACAGGGGCGTAGGACCGATGGTGTGCTTCTATCCAGACTCCTTCGTCTTGAGGAGCTCAGCAACAACCGCGCGATCGGTCCCTGTCGTCGAGTTTAATCGGACCACCCCGCTTCTTCTGAGGGATCAGCTCATCAAGCTTTCACGATCAAGAAGGCGATGTCGATTATATCAGAAACGAGCGGAACTTACCTTTCTTTCCATCTCTGACTTATTTATCCGTGTTAAAACCTCTCTTGCAGTCCACTCGAAGGCATTGACCACATTCCATCCCTCTTTGGCAGAAGTTTCCACGTACAACAATCCATTACGATTTGCAAATTCCCTGCCTTCCTTCTCAGTCACTTGTCTTGGCATTGCGCCCTCCACATTGCATTCGGAGGTTTGGGCATTCAGGTTACCATGTGGGGATGCATTGTCGCCAGAAAGGAGGCGAGATGAAGGTAATGATGACGGGGATTCCACCGGTAGACTGGTGGCCGAAGATGGAAGAGCGGAGATATGAGTAAGTGGGTCACGAGAAATAAGATCGGTCTTGTTTGCGACCACTGTATATGAGCGGAGACCATTCAACGAACCTAGAAAGGAATATTCACGGTGATGCGAAAGAAGCAACGGGAGACAGTGGACATAAGTGTGAAGGACGAAAGAACGGACGGAAAGTCCACAGGGACACGATCGGCGATCAAGAGATATGACATACGAATAATGCAAACGTTCTCATCGGCATGTTCCTGCAAGTCATGCAACCAAGAAGTTACATGTTCGAAAGCTCCCAGTCAGCCCTGTAACGTCTTTATCTGTTCCAGCCAAACGTTATAGACTGGTGGAAGGTGACACAACTCACTTTCTCGCCTAGTGACATCGTACACCAACAGCGCCCCGGCAGCTCCCCGAAAGTAAGATCTTGTGATGGATCGAAAGCTCTCCGTCCCAGCAGTGTCCCAGCCTGTCTATCAGCCGCCGTCTACGATGAATCATGACGGGGCGCGACCCACATTGAACTTTGACCCGTTTTCCTTCTTCGCCTATTGAGAGGATACGACTTCCGAACTCCACCCCCAATGTTGGCTCCGTCAAAGCAAATCGATCATCTGTCAGACGTAGGAGAAGGGCTGATTTGCCAACTGCGGCATCACCGACTATGACGTACTTTAAGATGCTATGTGTGAGTCACTGATATCTGAGAGTAGTACCTTCACATTCCCTTTGTTCTTCACATGGATGTCATGCTGATGCCCATTGAAATGAGAAAAGCTTCTGATCACTGACATCATCAAATGCGTACAGACGGGTCGGAGCGCGGAGATCTGATACACACTGGAGAAACAAGTGGGTGGGGGATAGAGCGGAATGCACCCACTAATCCCATGTCATCGGCTCCATGTTGCTGCCGTCCGATCAGTCGCAGGGGATTGATGTATCGTTTCACGGCAGGATGATTTCTGTAAAGACCGATAAGCTGGTCACGTTCAGAGCTTTCCGAGTGGAAGTGCAGGGCGATTAGGTTTGTCAGGTAGAGTACGAGTGGGAGTAGGATACTTTGCACAAGGGATTCGAGCCGGGTGGCAAAAGACGTCATGTCAGGTGTTCAGTCAGCCACGTGGCCAGCAGGGACAGGATTGTGGCAAAGTGGCACTGGACCGATTTTCATGGAGCTCACGCACGGAAATAGCCTCACACGACCTTTCACGGTTCATGTCACTTCGACATTTGCTCTCAGATGCATGGAAATGTCCTGTATGGACGCCTCTTTTGAGACTGTGTCTACTTCTCTCATAATGGCCGTCCTCGACAACATTGTCCTAGAGCAGCGGCAATGAGGCAAACACCGAGTTTTGTGGAATCACAGAGAAATCGACCCCAACGTTCCAGCCGGCATAAGAGAGAAAAACCTGAGCGGAGGGGGGAAGCGGAGGAGCCTGGGAAAGCAATTACCCTACCCTTGTCAAACTCTGCAGGTTTTGATGTGCAAGTCTATCATGGCCAACAAGTTGACTCCGCAATACCCAAGTGGAGGGGAAACATTGGGGCTCAATCCGCTGAGCTAAAAATCTTACCCTGACGTACAGCCGGGTACTGTGATTGGGAAATCTCAGGTTTAGATCCTCAGTGTTCAGCGGCCTTCAAACTTTTTGCTTTCCACCACCAGGACCCTATAACGTCTATTTCCCTCATTCTGCTCATATTTTTGTTTCATAGAAGTAGTTCCAGTCATACCAAAGTGCTGCAGGTCAAAGCGTGATAGGGAGGGATAGCAGGGATTCAGCAGGAACGCCAGCAGACGTGAGTATCTCAACGTCCGCTCAATCCTCTGTGTTTTTGCAACATAGGACAAGCTTTCTGCTTGTCTTCTCCTTTCCACCTATTTTCTAGCTGCTAGGACCACCGAGGAGTAAACGCCATTCTGATCCGCAGATGTTCTTAGCGCCTGGCACTTTTGTCACATACCACACTCACATCATGCAACACATTTTCTTCCCATCAATCCCGATTGTCATGACCCGGCAGGGAACCCTCAATCATCATACCAAATGAAACAACACAATATATGACTGGTTGTGATAGCAATATACACACTTTGTGTCAGTCGTAGGCCATGTCCAGACCTGGTGATGTATAGATATACGGGTACACGGTATGTAATACTTACTTACATTGTACACTACTATACATAAAACATGTCACATGAAGGATAAGAGGATGTATCATATCAGTGAAGCAGCCTATTGAACTCTTATTCTCTTCTGAGTCAACAGGAGGATCGATAGTAGATATTAACAGGGGAAAGTACAACATGTATGAGGAAGTGGACGGTACCAGATAAGGATGGAAGGAACCACACGGAAGTAGAAGCGACTGACTGGGTGAAGACTCGATTGATCAGTCACAAAAACGTCTCCATTGTAAAAACTCCATTGAAGAGAGGAAGATGGTTACTGTCAATTTATCTACCAATTATCATACTGAAACCTTTTCTCTTGAGTCATGTGGTCAACAATATGTTCACGGTACCACAAGTAGGTAATGACCGGTAGAATTGTAGAATGTACCCATGGTGGATTGCCGGTTTTGGAAGTCACTCGGGTTTGAGCCTCACACCCCTACCATTCTCCAGCACCTAGCTGGTTAAGCAGAGTATGCTCTGCATCTGCAATGTGTGCATACAACTACTAAGTCCCCCACAATGAGGTAGAACCACAAACACTGCTATTTATCAAGTTTCTGTGTGAGGTTTGAGCGCGGCAAATTCAGCCTGAGACGTCTCGTCCACCGTACCTCAATACACTATGTATTCCGTAGTCTCCTTCCTCCACGGTCTTGTATAATATGTTAAATGGTGATCTACCCCATTGCACTGATAGCAAACTAACGTGGGAAAGACTTATGAGTTGAGTCGATGATTATGTATCCTCACCGCTCTTATCATGAACATAATCGACCATCCGGGTGAAATCTTCTGCCAGTATACATTTGTAGGCTGTGAAACACCAGGGATGGGACAAGCATTCTAGTGTGACTGGCTTTGCTATGATGGACGCTGATACATTGCTTACAAAACTGTACCTCGTGTGGTAGGTTTTTAAAACGTATTTGACAGTGGTAATACTGAAGGTTGCCATACGAATTCTCATGACTCTGCATACTCCTCAAATCTACCTCGACCTCATCTGCAGACTCTTGCACATCTCATCATCCTGTGCTCCTTTGCACGTTTATCTCTCACAGCTTTCAAATCGGGTAGAATTGAGAAAACCAAAGTTCATCAGCTGAAACAATACTTGACACAGGGTAAAAGATCTTTCCTTATCCTACTATCCTGTGCTCAGGAGTCATTGGAAGGGGAGAGTGACATATCAAGTGCCTTGAGGACAGGAAGTCATGCAGATTGTGACTTTGAGCTATTCTGATTGGCTCACACTCTTGGCATCGGAAGGTGACCAAGTCTTCCCCCAGACTGGTATCCATTCTGTTGACACCTTCTTATTAGCCTGATTTGATCCATCTCGCAATTCCAACCTTCCCTGGGCAATGACTTTCTCTCCTTTCCTTAAAGTAGCCTCGCGAATTTGATGTAAGAACCCCTCCGGATCATCCAAGAAGAACGACACCTTCCCGGGGACTCGAGTCTCCGCCACATTGCTAACAGTAGGAGACAACCTCTGCCTCGTCGGTGTTATAGGTCTCTTGGTCCAACAGCGGTCCCCTTCCCAAGCGTTGTTCAAGCAATAACAAAATGTCCTCGTTGAGGCATTGCTGAGGGTCCATACAGACCAAACAGTGGATTCTTTGTCTCCTCCGACTCCTCTCCGTGCATAGAGGATGACATCTGGAGCCTAACTTCACTCAGTATCCTCCCTTATATACCTTACACTGTCACCATGCTCTAAGAGGAAGGTATAGGACTTACAGGATGAGAAGACAAGGAATTCGCCTTTTGTTCGAAGGATTCTGGGTCATCTATTGGCACCAGACCATCCCATCCATTTTCGAAGAGGAGACGTACTGTATTGGGTGTGGCACTATCGTTTGTTGGGTTTGACCCTGAGTTTACGGTAGGTAACGGTAACGATCCATAAGGTGTGGACATGGTGAACACAAAGACCTGGTGATGAAGTGGTGTTGTTAGCAAGTGTTTGCAGAAGTTCTGTGGATAATGGGAGAGTTGGGGTCTATGGGGTTCACTCTTTAACCCCTTAGAGAGGTTTCAATTTGGCTCGAAGGCGACGATCGGGGAAATTTCAGGCCATCGAGGACTTCCAACGATGCACGCGTTCAAGATCCACGATGAAGGGAGACGCGTGGGAAACAATATGTACAACGAATCTGTTGATGCATAATTTATCAAGGTCTAATCTTGATAAATGAATGTGGGAAAACAATCTGTGTGAGTACTGTGTGAGTGGTGGAGAAGGCAACCTGGGAATCACATTGAAATGACCACTCAAAAGAAGGAAGACTGGCATACATGTTGATGTTTTGTGTTTCATTCTCCCGGAATTGATCAACATTTTGGTCCTGGAGCTATGTATTGATCATGATATGCACAGAAGACACTGATGTACAGCACTCTGAATATGTAATTTCTACAATATTACTCACATTCTTAGATGAGACAGATGTTGTTATTGATAGTCATACAAATCGTCCTCCTCCACCCCACCACTCATTGTTGCCCACCATCATCTCTCTCATCCCACGCTCATTAATGTGTCTACCTATCCAAATCCATCTATAGTAAGGAGCAAATATTTCTTTGACTTTTGAAAAACGAAGCAGATCAGAATCCCTGACCAGTGGGTTTGAAACCGAAATCGTAAATATTGTTTTCGAATGAAGCGAGGTGTGGATCGTTGGACCATTGCACGACCTACTCATCAGTTCATTGCCTTTAGACCTCCTCTTGTCCCTCTCCACAGGGATCACATGATTAGGCAAGAGCGATAACTGAAGAAGCGAATGGGAGAGAATCAAATATGATGCGATTGTGCATCGAGGAGAATACAAAAAGTTGGGACTCACTTCAAGAGGACTTTGTCCCCAATCCGGATACACAGGCTGTTCCTCCTTCTCCCCCTCCACGACCGGTCTGTTCATAGCTACACCGGGGATAGCATCCACTCCCTCTCCCTCCATCGCTTCTAAAATTTCTCTCTGTTCGGCTTCTTCGATTTCTCTTGCTGCCGCCTCACGATCATGTCTCACCTTTTCATCTTCGTCTTTGCGTTCTTGTGGTCTTGGATCGATATAATTCAGGTCGATACTGATGGTTAGTTCTTTCTCAAAAATCGCATTTTGGGACAGATATCATGTAAATCTCTTTTTGAGGTCCACCTTCAGTGCAGTACTCCATCTAGTACAATGAAGGCTGGTGAGATGGACAACACAACGGAAGATAGAGAGGAGTTGAAGGAAATGGGGCGATAAGAAGAACTTACCAGAGAGCACTATTTCCACCCCCATGATACCACGCTCTCGCACCTCTTTCCCTCACAGCACGTCTCATAATCATCTCTTTGGCCGGGGCTCTCGCCAAGCCATATTCATCCGCATCCGCCAACATATCACAATCTACATCTCCTAATCCCCTCTTGTCATCATCCATGGGTCTTATAAGCGGTTCCCCCAATCTTGCCGTGGCGGGAGTAGCAGGAAATGTGTTGAATAACGGTAATTGTTTTGTCCGACCCCATGAAAAACCTCTACCTATTCCAGACGGAATATGTTTTAGGAGAGTGTAATGTAGGAAAAGAGGTTCACCCCAGCTGTCATATTGTAACATTGAATGAGAGCAGAATTCACCAGAGAGTGTACCCCTAGGAAGAGCCGCTGCACCTACCCATCGTCCGGGGACTGCCCATCGTTTACGGAGTGCTAGCAAGGCCCAGCGGAAGATATCTTTGTCGCCGTCGGAGTAGTGGAACCACTTTTTGTCAGTCAACATCATTGATTCCTTCTTGAAGTCCTCATCTCAACAGATCAAATGCGGAACACATTGATGTGATACTGCTACAAAAGGAACAGGAAGTGATAGATTGTCAATTGGATAATACTGAGGTAGAATGAGTGGGACTTCAAGGGAGTATTCTGTAGGGAAGGTGATCAGAAGAAATTGCGGTGAGATGTGTTTGGGAATTAAGAGACAATAGTGATAGAATGCGCCTGGAACGATCCAAGGAGGAAAAGTGATGACAGGGTGAAGGACAAACCTTGGTATGTCTTTCTAACATATACTGAACCAAGAAGAAAACGTCCAAATGTCTTTTTTTGTCGATAAACATTTGACCAGTCTCCATCTCCCATTCGTTCCTACACTTCACACCCAAAATGGCCCAAATGGAATTATAGGCAGACGTCTTCCAGTAATCCGGCGTAGCCCAAAGCCCTAGGCGGCGGTAGTTCGGAGCGGAAAACATGTATGTTGGGTCGCGTACGGGGATAGAGTCGGAATCCTAGAATGTCAGTCACCTCCTCTCTCTGTGTGTTACTCTGATATCTGGACAACCATGTATGAGAGGTAAGATGACGAGGCCGTAAGCCAGAGTTGATCATTATCATGAGGATGACAAGTAGGACGACACCCCCAGAACATCTACGGATGACACGGACATCAGAATGATGAAAATTGTCAGAAGGGTACGCTTTGAGGCAACCAAGACCCGAAAGAGGGTAGCGACGAGGAGATCAAGAAAAACAATGAGACGAAAAAGGAGTACCCACGAGATACAAAACCTCTCTCCAAGGACATTGTATGACAGAAATGGCTTTCAAATGATAATTCTTAGCCGCCCCTTCGTCCTTTTCTCGTCCCACGGCCTCGACAAGCTCAGCTCCAAGAGAGGCGAATTCCTCGCGGATGGGATCATCGTCGGGCGGACGTTCCGAAGGAAAATGATACTTTTCGTCAGTTTCGTCCCCCAAAAGCCTTGAAACCGACACGTCGCTCAAATTCAGATGAAATTGGTCGGAATGAGATGCAAGTGACTACGAAACGGTAGAAGTGACCGAGAAGGAAAGGAAAAAAAGAAAAGGGCGAGAAAGAACTCACAATCTGAACAGGTAATTGACTTCCGTAACTTCGTAACATCATCAAACTCCATTTCGCTCGTTGTAAAGTATCCGCGTTCCCAGCAACCATTACAATTCCTCTTCCTTCACCATACCTCTCCAATAATTCGGATCCGACGAGGGTGTCCATGTGATTGATCAATTCCATTCGATGTTCATGCAGGGTTGTACGGTTCATGGAGGCCCACACGTCACCGTCTTTGTTTATCATGTATGTATTATGTTGTTCTTGGATCGTGGAACATTGCTGCCGATCAGTCTCCTACTTCTAAATGGTATCAAGGAGTCCGATACCAAGGACGTATTATGTTTCCTACAGTAGGATCTTGTCATGCTGGAGAGCAGGGGAGGGGAGCGGATTGGAAGGAGAACGCACTTCAAGACTCCATTCATTAAAGACCTCCGCTTCTACTTCACCTTCGACTTCTCCCCTACCTCCTGGAGCGTTTCGCCAGACCTCTAATCTCTCTCTGAGAGAAGCTTTCAGAGGTAGTGACTCGGACGAGATGTCTATTTCGCGTAGGATTATTGGGTCGGGCTCGTATGTGATAGTAGCTGAAGAGATGGGGCTTGGGGAAGGAGGTTGCGGTTCATCGTAAGGCGGATCAAAATCGTCGAGGGAGATAGCGGAATATACCTGAAAGTCAGTAATAGTCTCAAGATATCTCGCCCCCTACTCGTAGAGGTCATCCCCGGATTAATGAGAGGGGTTCGGTGGGAAGGAAGGAGAAACTCGAACCCTTTAGTGAAAAAACTCACGCTTTTTCTTCCTCGATGTACAACGAGGATGAAGACACACAACACGAGAATGTAAAGAAATCTCCGGCCCATTCCACCCTTCTTTCCTCCTCCAGTCAAGATAAGCTTTGTCCTAGCCCATAGCCCACCTCTCAAATGAGGATGCGAGCGAGACGGTGTAAGCGGAAAATACCCTGCTTCTTCCAACCCAGCCCGCCCCATCTCTTTGGGATGTTCAGGAGGTAGTAACGGAATATCGCTTCTTACGACACCTAGATCTTCTTGGCTATTTCTGGATTGGGGTGGTTGTTCCTCTGCTATTCGCTCCCGACCTTGATCGTACGTCGGTGGCTCGAAGAGTCGTAGTGTTGCTGACTTCATGCTCGTCGATTTGAGGTTTTCTTACACGGTTGGGGAGTCCACTACCGTGCGCTATAGGTGAGTTTCAAAAGACAGCCGAGGAAAGCTTAGTGGGGAATAAACAGGTAGTCAACTTGCCGAGGGTACGAATGAGTGAGAGTTCATATATCTTGTTGAGACCGATAAGACAAAGAGATCCGCAACAAGGGGAAATGGAATGATTAAAGTCGGAGACGGACAACAAAGGACTAATTGTGAACTCGGAGCAACAAGTTAAAAAAGTCACACACGTCCTTAGTTCTCACTCCGTAGCTAGGACGACTTTGAGCATCCGGCGTTGTTCCTTTCTGTCGTAAAGCGTCTTGAGAATGGAACCAGCCGTCTTTCCCACGAAGTCGCCAGGGCTTCAAGATGTCTCCCTGCGAGACAAACGTACTGATGAGAATGGATTGGCAATCACAAGATTTTTTCCTGGCTTCTTTCTTGCAAAATCCTTGGTCGAATATTTGGCGGTTGCGTTACTGAAAAGAAAACGGTGACAAGCCCGGCGAGCGAGCGGTGTCTCGCAGCTCTCGTGAAGGTCGGGAGTGGTCGTCAAGGATACTTGCCGCTGGTGAAACAGAAGGGGCCAGTTGGATGAAATGATAATGACTTAGTTGATCTGCGTAGGATCGTCGTTGGGCTCATCGGGCTGGCTGCGCCCAACCCCCAAAGGAGCTGCGCCCAATCTATTCCCGAAGCAATCTTGATGGCCTATTGTTGTTGTTCCCGCTTTGTGGGAGACGATGTATGGTTGAGGTTGAACACTTGGGTGACTTAGAGGTCGAGGTGTGACAGAACATAGCAAATTGTAGATGAAGTGAAGAGCCACCATAATCAAGCCTCTATGCGCAGCTCCGGAATGTATAGCGTAGTCAGAAGTTTTGGGTGACGTAGATCCCCGAAAGGGTCGATCGGTGCCTGGCTGCATGGTTTCCGGATTTGTTAAGCCACCCTGAGAGCCACTCATAATGCCGAAACACCGATGAGTCGTCGACGTGGAACCTGTTCCCCCTCCTCCTCCTCTTCATCCCTTTGTTCACCCTTTCGTACTTTCTCCCTTTTTCTTTCATTTGTTTTCATTTGTTTTCATTCTTTCGGCTCGTCTACTAGTCTCACAGATCCCACTCGACGGGGAGGCGCTATACTTGAAGAACGACTTCATAAGAGAACATACCATCATGTCACCGGTGGCGAGCCCCAGTGCGAATGGACGGCCTGGTAAAAGAGCCCATCCTTACTCACGAGCCGTATCCACGGGAAGTGAGAGTCCGGAGCCAGAGTTGATGGTGGGAGAAAGTGGAGATATGGATCAGGTGATGAGGGAGAGGATAGCAAGGAAGGAAGCGAGAGTGAGTTACTTCCCCTCCCCCCCCCCTAGCTGCACCGCCACAGACCGACCTTGACAGCGGCTCCACCTCGCCTCTCGGTCGATGAAGCTCGCTTATCATGACGATGCCATCGCTGATCATCCAGATCATCCGAAATCGTCAATCCGCTCAACGATCCCGCAATCAACGCAAAGCCCACGTCACATACCTCGAAGACCGGGTCAAATATCTTGAACAAGAAAACCAACGATTACGTGGCGATTCCCCTTCCCTTCCCCAATCACCCATTTCAACTTCCTCATCTCTCTCCCCAGTCGTCCCCGCATCACCAGCGAGAAGCGTTGTTTCGCTCACAAGCGGTATCACTCTGTCCGACATCGCTCCTGCCCCAAAAGACATGGATGTGGACGTCAAACCCGTTATTCCTGTGACTTCATCTTCTGCTCAACCTACTCAGGCGTCTGGACTTGAAGAGAGTACATTGTTCAAAGCGATGCGGGAGGAGAATGCGTTGTGGCGAGAGAGGGTATCGAAATTAGAAGAGCTAGTCAAATCACTTACCGGCCTCATCCAACTCCCTACGCCCACTTCGGCAATCTCAGCTGAGATACCCGCATCCCCTTTGGTCCCCGTGGATGCTTTCGACATCACTGCATTCCTCGAACCGATTATACCTGATACTGGTGCCGCGATGGAAGTTACACCTACGCATCCTTCTGGGCTTCAAACGACTCTTTCTCCAGCTTTATCACCCCTTGAAAAGACATCGCCTTCCCTGACCGCAATCACATTCTCAAATTCGAACGTCACCGAAACCACACCATCCTCTACTTCGACCGAAATCGACACCCTCGCTCGCCACCCAGCAGAGGTGGCGACCCTCCCTCCCTTTACTGGGCTCCGGAGGGCCCCGCAGCGGGCGAGGATCATGTCGACTACGTCACGCAAGATGGTGTTGGATCTGGGAACCGAAGTGGGCAGAGCGAGGTTGGACGTGGCAGCGAGGATTATAGTGGGATTGGCCCAACTCAGAGCTTCACATCAGAAAGTGGCTTGTTGTCGTTCTCGAATCCGATACAAGGGGAAGGAGTGGCCTGGCAGGAGATGGATGGGGAGATAATGTTAAACATTCCTTGGGAGGTGACGGAGGAAGGATGGGACGAGGGCATGAGGATGTTGTTAGCTCAGATCGAGGCGCAGTCAGAGATGGAGATGGACACACCGGAAGAAAGTGGAGGTGTAGACAAGAGGGATGTCGGGGTCACGGGATGGACAGGGGCGCTTCGACTTGCCGCTTGAGCTGGGTTACTCGGAGATTTTTGACGTTTGTGGAGTATAGGGGAAGAGATGATCACCCGCTCGCCGCAAGGTTTGAGCCGTGATCTCTTATCCCTTTCTCTTGTTGTTAGGATCGAAGAGGAAACTGGCGTATAGGAGGTAGGATTATTGTGTTTCGGTCAGTCATGGCGACTTTGATGGACTTCATGTAGTGGTTTAGAGGATGGAGGATCCATGCATGGGGACGGATATGAGTTGCGTTACGCACAGTTCCTCCGAGCATAATCTCTCGTGGTCTCTCACCCGGGCATTATCCCGTCAAATACGCAGCCGTCGCAACCATCAGGGCGTCTTATAGAGATAATGACCTAACGGGCGATTTCGGCTAACGAGTAGCTTGTGGGAAGAGATTGCTGAGGGTAGCATACTCAGACTGTAGTCGTGAGAACGTGTTGCTCTGTCAAGATTGAGGGCTGTTCGGAGGGTGAAGGGGTGAATGATGCGTCATCGACTCTCCCAAGCCTTCCAACGTCTCTCCTTTCACACACTTCTGGTGAGTCTTAGAGCACTCACCGAGGAGTAGTTCGGGGGGATGAAACATTTTAGATTGGAGGAGTGATGCTATTGATGATGAATGATGAATGATTGATGGGAAAGGACTTCATCATGATGGCGGTTGTCGAGAGCGACAGACAGGCGACGTCCACTCGGGGCACTACCCTAGTCTCGTCGGGGCACTACCTGCCACAAACCCTGAGCTCAAGTTCATAGGCCCGGCGTTACTGAAATCCCGCGAGCTCTGATTGCTCACTCTTCTCTTTCATCGCCAATGTCAGTATTAGCTATACCATGTCATTTCCGGTCATTGTCCATGCATTCTCCTATCTATCAATGTCCAGGAGGATAATATGAGCCATAGGGATGTCTAGAAGACCCCTGGGATGGATAGGGAGGCCAATATTGAGAGGGAAGAGGAGGGAGAGTAGGTGGAAGAGGGGGGGGTGGTAGGTACCTCTCCTCAGGAGGATAAATGTCGAAAAATGGGGGTACCTGTTCATTAGAGACCCCCCATCGGATACAGCCGAAAATGCAGTATTAGAGACTCACATTCGGTTGATATTGGCCATTTCCTGGTGTCTCCTGGACCAATCAGCTTGCAGGAAACTTTTAGAAGTAAGAGACTAAGAGAAGAGTGAAAATTTTCGAGATCGTGAGGCCATTATAGAGAGAGACAGAGCAATATAGCCAGGAATGACTGCAGGACAGAGAGGGGGAGAAGGAGGGAAGGAGAAATGTGATTATCATATGAGAAACCCACCGAATAACCTGTCCTAGTGATCATTTCTCCTGTCCTCACCATCCTGTCCTCTGTCCTCACTACTACAGGCTGATTTTCCTTCTCCCTTTTATCTCTGTCCTCAATACTCTTAGCCAGGCCGGAAACCATCTCCTGAAGACTCGAGATCTTCTTCTCAAGAGCAGCATTAGTCCCCATTACTGATCCCTCTGTCCAGGTCGTTTCTCCAGCCCTCCAAGCAGCCATTTCGCGAATATAACGATCATTATCCCTCTCCTGTATCTCACTACCTGTCTTACACTTCTTAGCTCCATGTCCTCTTGAACCACAGAAGGGACAGGGACGATTTGCCTTCTTCTTGGTACCTAGGAATTTCTCTGACTGAGTGTGTAATCGACCGGTATGAGAGACATCATTAGACAGTTGAGAAGGGTTCGATTTTACACCCCTTTTAGGAGAAGGAGGAAGAGTAGGAGAAGGAGGTGAAAAGTAGGGGTTATCAGCAGGTAACAGGTCGTCATTATCGTCATTCGTTAAGTCGATCTGAGTGGTGGTGAGGTTCTTGAGGTTCTTCTTGGCTAATACCAACCGGTTTCTTCGAAGGTGGGGGTCACGAATCCTGTTGGTATCATTATCCACCTCCCACTCAGGTCCTAGTAGCTGATGAACTCCACTAACATCTCCACTGACTTTCGCAGTGGCCTGTTTGATCGTGTCTGGCCAGGACATGGGGTTAAGGAGACGCCAATGACGATGGAGAGGAGCAAGAGCAATGGTACCATCTCTTTCAAGTACTTCTTTTATCTGCAGGGCAGAAGGGAGGCCCATCGATGTCGAATACAGGTGGCTTTCGTCATCATTTTCGACCTGGCCAGATATTGCTCTTTTATATTGCTTCTCCATGAGGAATACTGACCACTTTGAGACTCGATTTTTCACCAGGAGAAAGATGCTGACAAGATCGGGGTTCTGAAGAAGTCGATCAAGAGCCATTTGGTGTATTATCTCTTTACATTGATCGTCGAAGAAGTCATGAGCAATGCGTAGCAAGCCGTACAGGTCGCTATACGCATTTTTAAGTCGACTCTTGAACGCTCGGTGGGTTCCTTCGAGTCGAGAGTTTGCTGTTTGACCAAGATGAGTATGTTTATCGATAAAAGCAGAGACGAAGTGTGTCTTGTGTTCATCCACCAATTGTCTCACATAAGCCCTCGCACCATCCAACTTCTCATGTCCCCACCGAGTCTGCATTGATGACAGAGCTTTCTCCAATGACTCTTCAGACTTTGCTTTACAGATATCCACCATGAAATGATTACCAAAAACAGATAACTTCTCCACCCAACCGTTTTTATAAAGGGACTGAAAATTTTTACGACAGTTCACCTTGATGTTTTCTCGGAGGTGCCATCGACAGTAATTCAGATGAGCATGAGGGAGGTGGATAGACAGAGCGTTGTGTAAAGCGATTTCACGATCACATACGATAACTTTGATGTCATTGTTGATAGGACCAATGAGTTGGAGATAGGCTTCAATGGCCAGGGAGTACCATTCAGTCACTTCTCGGCTTAAGAAGGCGATTGCAGAGGTGTAGGTTTGATTCGTAGCAGTACATCCAGCAATGTGAAGCATTGGAAGACGATATCGATTGGTTCGGTAGGTGCAATCCATAAAAAGAACGGTTGGGTACGAATGAGTCATGGCTCTGGCTGATGGAGTGGTAAAGACGAGGCCACAGAGCTCTTTATTCGTGTTGGTGAACACTTTAAAGAGATCCCCATTATCAGTTAGACGTCGAATGGCTGCTTCAGTGGCAGTGAGGCCTTGTCGAAGAAGTTTCTCATGACGATATCGAATATTTTGGACATCTTGACGTGTGAGGGCGACTTTTTCACCGAAACGATGCTGAACCGCAGAGACAATACCACGAAGGGTGTGTTCGCTCTCCAGAAGGTGTTTTATGAACTGAAGAACCTCAGGAGATCGACTAGAGTGACGAATAAACGAATAATGAAAAAGGGGGATAGGTTCATGGTTATGACGGTTTTCAATGATGTGAGGGATCCAGAGGGGCTGACGATCTTGAGCTTGAGCTATTTTCTTTGTCTCTCTTCGCCAGATGATAGAGAAGGGGCAGTTGCCTTGCTTGGTGGTTCGAGGTCGCTTTCTAACATCCTCATAGTCGTCAGTTCGATGTGAACGACCATCCCCCCCATGAGCACATTGAAGCTCCAGTTTTCCCTTCTGCTCCACACTGCGTTTGGTGACAATGCAGACAGTATGCGTGATAGCGACGTCTTGAGTATGAAGTCGAGCAGCTGCCATGGTAGGTTGAGGTTCGAGATCGAAGGGAGGGTGGATGTGATGAGCCAAAGGATCAAATCCTGGTTCTTCGCGAGGGATAAGACCGAGGTTTTCAAGCAAGTTTTCAAGGTCGTCATCATCATTGTGGTCATTAGGACGATGTTGCTGAGTCTCTGGTACGATAGAAGGAGACCGAGAGTGTCGAGGACTGAGTTTAATAGAAGGGGACCGAGAAAAACGATCCAGAATTGGTGATGACGGTGGCGACGATTGTATAAGAATCGGTGATGACATCTAACTCGTCAGAATGACCACTTCATGCAGTAAAAATGGTACTCACTCGTAGCCCAAGACCAGCAGAATACATGTCGACAAATTAGAACCCCGGGGGTGGTGTTGTTGAAGAGTAAAAAAACTTTTGGGCCGGGATGTCGGTGGCAAAAATGATGATGATGACGAGAACCTATGAAAATCAGATTTTTACATTTCTCAATGAAAAGAGTACTCACAGACTCGCAGAGGCCAGGAGAACAGCGTCGAGTTATCGATAAAGGCTGAAGATGTGTTATCGCAGGAAAAAAGATTTTTCGAAGAGTTTGTTATCGCAGGAAAAAAGATTTTTCGAAGAGTTCGGGGGCGAGGATGATGATGTTAAGTAGGCCTATTGAAGTCAGCATTTCACTTCTGATAGTAAAACAACTACTCACAGCTCAGGAAGAACCAGGGATCAGTGTCGCTGCATATGTGTTATCGCAGGAAAAAAGATTTTTCGAGGAGTTCGGTGGCCAGGATTTTGAGGTTGAGGAGGCCTATTGAGGTCAGCATTTCACTTCACTTCTGATGATAAAACAAGTACTCACAGCTCAGGACGAACAGGAGAACAGTGTCGAGTTATCGAGAAAGGCTGAAGATGTGTGGTTGAAGAGTAAAAAAAGTTTTTCACCGAGAGGGGTTCGGTGGCGAGGATGATGATGGCGAGATGGCCTATTGAAGTCAGATTTTCACTTCTGATGATGAAACAAGTACTCACGGACTCGCAGAGAGCAGTAGAACAGCTTCGAGAAGACGAGAGAATACCACGATTGCTCGGTCAGAAGTTATAGCAATTTGATGGGTGGTAGTCAGGGAGGGCGCAGTTGAAGAAGCGAAGGGCCAGAAGTGGGTGAAAAATAGTCGTAAAAGAGTGAGAAGAGTATCAAAATGATCCTTGAGACGGGTAGAGACTGTGTGTGTGAAAAAGAGCGTGAGTTTACTAATAAAATGACAATAAAGAGATTAGTGGTGGTGAGGACAGGTTGGTAGGTAGCGAGCAGACATGTCGCGTCGTTGGTGGAGTTCGGCGTTACTGAAACCCCGATCAGTGGCGAGTTCATGTCCGTCGCGTGTTCGGCGTTTCAGTAACGCCGGGCCTATGAACTTGAGCTCAGGGTTTGTGGCAGGTAGTGCCCCGACGAGACTAGGGTAGTGTCACGAACTACGTCGCGACACCTCGATTACTCCACCAACAATGACCCTCCTTTTGGCCATCAAAACCCCATCACGCCTTAACCTCTTTACTCTACACGTAACTCAGGACTTCTGACACCAAGTACGGCGAAGTTAGACGGAGTTAGGCTAAGTAGGAACAATGGGAGCAGAAGTACGGCGAAGTTAGACGGAGTTAGGCTAAGTAGGGACAATGGGAGCAGAAGTACGGCGAAGTTAGACGGAGTTAGGCTAAGTAGGGACAATGGGAGCAGAAGTGCGGCGATGTTAGGCGGAGTTAGTCTAAGTAGGGACAATGGGAGCAGAAGTACGGCGAAGTTAGACGGAGTTAGGCTAAGTAGGGACAATGGGAGCAGAAGTGCGGCGATGTTAGGCGGAGTTAGTCAAAGGAGGAAGAGGATGGCCGAGGGCTCGGGGAAGTTGGACGAAGTGCGTTGAAGTACGTCAAAGCGCGAGAGGGTTGGATGAACGTCTAGGAGGAGTAGATAATATTAGCTGAGAAGATCGCTGAAGTTCTTCAGCGATCCTTGATTGTTGTCAGTAGTGAAAGACATAGAGATAGCTATATACAATCGAGATACATCGCCATCAGTAGAACAAAACCTCAGTTAGAGTAACTACGCCGAAGTACGCCGTAGTTACACTCCTTTCGACGTCTGCGCCCTCCTGGTTGGGTGAGACATCGACTCAGAGCGTGAAGTTAGCCGAGGTTCGTCGACCGTCGGTCTATTAAGAAATAGTTGTTCGACGCCCGTGACAGGTAGTGCCCCGAGTGGACGTCCAGACAGGCACCGAAACGTGCACAAAGAACGTTCCACGTCCGTGCGGAAAGTTGTTTAAGAGTCATCATGGTCTCGGAATAGTCGCCTTCGTGGTCTCAGACCCCCTGTGAAAGTCCTCCGGCCTCGCGGCGTCCGGGCTTGAAGACGTCTGCTTTAAACTTGTTCACACGTCACCTTTGTTCATTTAGCTTATAAAACTGACTTAGTCTCACATATATCAAGCCCAGAGAGTGTGAAGCTCACCATACTCTTAGCTCTTTCCAACCATCAGACATCATCAAACGTGAGTTATTATTATGTCTTGGAATGGTCGGCCTCTGGTAATGCAAGATATGTCATCAGCTGTCATCAAAAACTTTGAATGGTCCATTTTGTCGAAAAGAATACAGGGGTCCACTGCTTATCCATCACTGAACATTGTATGGGACAGTCCCGCTGACCAGGGAAAAGATTTTGAGAAGACAAGATATGCTTATCACCTCCATTCCCACTGGAGCCTAAGAGCAGAAATCACTCAAACAGAACCAGCTAAGATCAGGGAATGTGGTGCCGCTCTTGAGGTATCCTTCTCACTACATCATCCCAACCTCCCATCAGAGTTAGATCTCAAAAAAGACCAAACTTATGCAATGAAACTACAACAGTTTGCGTTGGAGTCCTTGAGCTGCAATCCTCTTCGGCCCACTGATGCCAAAGTCTTGCAATTTGCTTCTGGAGTTTCCAGAAGTGCCCACTTTGATACTGAAGTTGAGCAGCTGGTCAAAAGCATCAATGGATCGCCCACCTGGATTGAATCTGCATGTCCAGGATATTCATTTCAGGAGTTTACCAAAGAGGAACACCTTTATGTGAAAGTAGAATTGACAGCTATCACAAATTATCTTCCCAAAGGGGTTGACAAACTGAGCAAGATTGGACATACAATGCATGAAAAGGACATCTCTGCTGGTCTTGACATTCAGCACGTCTGCTATTGGCATGACAGCCTGAAGGCAATAGTCACGGCTGCCATGAGAGAAAAGAAGGGTGCACATCTATCAGAGTTGAAGTCCTTCAGGACTATTGGCTTGATAGTTGAGAAGGGCAATTCTCTTGCCACGCCGGTGTGGCTTGATTATGGAATTGTCATAACGCTATGGACAGGCTGGGATGGCTCACAAGACATATTTCAGCAATGGAAGCCGGAGGAAGAATGTGAAGCGCAGGCTCAAAAAATACTGGCCGAGAGAGACAAGCTTGCAGAGAACAAAGACAAGCTTGAGGTTGATGAGGACATGGCACATGTTAAGACCACTACGACCAAAAGGGAAACCATACACTCAGACTATGAGGACAGCTTAGACTCACGGGGCTGGGTAGAAGTCAAAGAAGAAGACACTGATGACAACTCTTTCACTGTTATCGGATATCCTGACTGAGGACAATCAGAAACTATAGCCGGAATCTCATATAGCGGCAAGATCGTGATTGAGAGGAAAGTGAGGACGGTGTGAGATGTCAGGAACTGTGTATGTCTTATAAGTTAGCTCGAAGCTGCCGGGCAGATGTCGTATAGTGAGCCTTTCAGAGAGAGTTACGGGACCAGAATGACACTCTTCTTGTGTGCAAAGACTAAAATGACACCTGACCCTACATCAACGTTGAAGGACTAAAATGACATGGCATTTTGGAGATATGATAGTTGTTTTCCTATGTAAATGACACTATCTAGCATCCTGGTGGCCTGGAAGACTTTATAGAAGGTTTACACGTCAATTACAGCCCTTAAGGAAGGAAAAAAAATCTGATCCACAGGCCAATAAGTAGTCCATGATGGTTCCATGTTGTTTCTTCCACCCTTTTCTAGTGTCTCCCACTACATTCTAGCACTTTTCTTCTTCTAGAAAGTTCTATTGGTCCCCTTGCCTCCTTAGCAATGATTTGAAGTTAAGCCCCTGCTTGTTGAGATGTCATGCATCTTTTTTCTATTCATTTGACTTTCTAAATCGGAGCAATGTGCTCCTCATCCGGCATGGGTCTTACAACTCTAGTCTTTTCATACGGAAAAAGTGTCATTCTAGTCCTGACCTTCTGCCAAAGAGGATGTTGGGGCACAGATACCTGATATTATGCCCCACATGAGGTTGCAAAAATAGGAGACTCAATTTCAATCACTCATCTCCGCACCAAACGGAGAGACTTGCAGGCTGCTATTGTCTAAATGTCCATAGGGCGTTCAAAGAGTTTCCACCAAGGACATATGGTATTGTATTCCATGACACCTCAATGTAAGCCGCACGAGTTCAGTGATTTGCCGATTCGACATATGCTTCATCGGGTGAGATACTTATTGACTATGATTCTCCGGCAACAATCTCTGGGGAGCACTCAAGATAACCAAAAAATCGGCATATACAAACACGATTCACTAGAAGTCAATATCCCCAAATGTAGGAGCTCCAAGTTGTTGTATAGATGGGGTGAGTATCATCAGAGGAAATCAATGAATATGGTTGCGTACCCCTGTTTGGCTTCTTCTTGTCCACGGGTCTTCCATCTGTACCCACACCACGTATACCTGAGGGATTCCCTCGCGCGTCTCGGGCGTTCCACCGGGGAAGAACCATGTAGATAGTTCTAGGCCTACGAATCCTCGAAGCGTGAGAACCGGTCGGATCGGATGAATGAAAGGTACGTAAGCCCAAATCGAGGGAACACGCACGGGCCTTCCTTCCTTATCACCTCCTATGATATGTAAGAAGGTATGGTAAGATAAGCATGAGAACTGGTGAAGATGGTCTTGGAAACTATATTAGACTCATTGACCCTCTTCAGACTTCAACTTGCAGCTCAAACCACAAGTCCATCTTGACATATTTGATTATTGGAGCCATGCTTACCTCTCATTTCGGTACACGGGTTGACACCCTGTCTCACCCGAGGATCAACAACAGAGACTCATTTCCTCATACGACAAATGAATCAAGTCTGGTCTTTAATCCTCAGCATGTGCCAGAAAGCCAACTAGCTTACACTACCGCAGCACAGGGAGTGATGAAGGACTTAAGTTCTCGTTTTGTCCTGTTGAGGAGGGCAGCTGTCTCTAAGGGTTTACCATCGGACAGACTGGACGAGCTTGAGCAATTAACCTATCAAGTTGTTTTGGACGAACTGCTTATTAGAACAGGAAAATCAGTTGAAACACTCCAAAGTGTAAGAATCAGTCAATGGGGAGTGCAAATACAGTTTGTGGATGAGACTGGTGAAGGGACTTTGTCATCGGATATGTCAGTCTATGCCAAAACTGAGACAGGAGATATTTATCATGTCCAGCGCCAAGGACAGGTCCATGTTCCTTATGGATGTGGGAGTTTGATATTCAGTGTCCCGGCCGACTTCGAAAAGCAATTATCAGCACATTATCCAACTGATTTATCTGAAGGAGAATGACCGTACACCTTTAGATGGACTATGTACAGTATGTAGGTGACCAGTTTATCGGGGAACTAGACGATGAATAACGTTAGGAAGGAGCCAGTTAATAGAGAATATCGAAAGCTGATTCTACACATCTTACGTTTTGCATACATTGCGGCATTTCAGCGCTTGGTATTGGACCGCAATGACAATCTGTATATCATAAGACACCAGATGAGTCGCGGGTTTATTGTTTTGTGATTTAAAAGTTCACACAATCTGGCCCAATAGCTCTGTTGTCATTAGCCAGAGTCTATTCACCGTTCACCGTCACCATCACCAAGTAACCTCCGGAACTCGTGTGTCAAGAGTGAAATTTGATCGAATGAAGCGGCCAGAGAATCGTCCGAGACGAGGAGTTACGAGGTTAACGGTATGGTGAAGATAGGAAGAATCAGCCACTCACTCATCGCCTTCGACTCACTCTTCACTTCTTTCTCCGTTACCTCCTCCATTATTTACCCCAAAAAGTCAAATCTACGCGGAACACATAATCCCCTCCCATCTTATGTTCCCTCACGGCCGGACGGAACAAACGCCGTTGCTCCGAAAGTCGGACAACCCGTTCCGTTGAGATCGGAGGCCGACGTATGAAAATTCCCATGACATCCATACGTAGATTTACCAATATCTTAAATCGTAGAAGACCATGTCCACACACTTGAGAGGTATGGACATGAAGCTTCGATTGTCGAAAATGTATATCTCAGACATGAGCGCTAATCTAAATCACTTTCTTTTGAACCCACCTAATTTCCCTCTTCTCATTTCTCCCCTCCCCTCCCCTTTCCCCCTCCTCAGTCTTCCTTCCATTTCTCCTGGACTTCCATCGTGAAGCTCTGATTCGATTTCACTTTGAGCGTAGTAATTGAGTATAAAACCATGGCCTTCTCATTGTATTGCCAATCTAAGCTTTCCCTCTCTTTCCCACGCCACAAAAAATACGTTTCTACATGATCTCTGAATTTGGGCCTTCTTTCTGTTGGAATCACATCTATAATAAGCTACATCAATGTCTATTTCCACTCACTATTTCACCTTCTTTCGTTGAACAGACAAGACGAAACAGGATGGACTCAACCGACGTGGTAGATCTGCTGCATGGATTGTCTCTTGGCTCTACGGCGGAGCATTCCAGGACGGTTAATCCTTCATCGGATCCACCGCCCTTGTCCGTGACTTCATCTTGTCAACCCCTTGAGAAAAGCTCGATCGTGTGGCAAGCAATAAACACGCCACCCCTTTACGATTCTCATTTGGACTCGACCCTCACCTTGGACCCCTGGGAGTCATTTTTGACTGGATTTTGGGTGGCTCTCGATGGGTCTTGCTTTCGGTTAGCTGCTGTTGAGGACACGGCCGGAGACGTGCACCTCCGGAGCTGCATGGTTCAAAACCCCCCTCTTGGACCTGGCCAGAGAACCATGCAGCTCCAGAGGGGTCCAGACACGGCCAGAGCATTTTCGCTCTTATCATCCCCAAGCTCTCCACATACATGAATCACAGTACAGATATCCTGTGGTACCATCTTCTTACGGGGTAACAACGAATCGAGAGGACTCTATCGAGTTTGACGGATTAGGACAGAGGAAAGCGGGAGTTGGAGGCAGTGCTGCAGTAGGTAGGGACGGGTTTTCCCCTTTCGAGATTTCCCCACTGGGTTTGCTCAAAGCGGTTTTTCACCTGTCCGAGTATGTACGTACGTAGACGCTTGCAGCAGGAAGAGGACAAGGACGAGGATATCCGTAGACAGTATATAATACAATCAGCAAAGTACCAACTTTGCTGATTCTTCAATATCATTATTTGGCTACATCAATTGCAGAGGAGACACGATCCATCACATAGCACCAGAGACACATAGATTTCCACGAGACTTCCATCGAGTTCGACCCAACCTGCGACCTAGTCATCGTGTTTCCAGTACCGTTACACATCTCCTGGACTCTTGAAGTCATGGTGGTCTGGCCCCACAACTTGAAATCTACAAACACTGCAACAATCACCTATGATACATCACCATTGGAATCCCCCCTGGTTCAAGATATTGGCTGACCTTCTTGCCAAATACAGCATGTGATGTCGAACAGCACTGTAGTGGTTACCTCTTAGACTTGTCTTAATAGAGCATCTGCCCTTTGGAGCTACCAACACTGTCTTGTATGGCGTGGAGGATCTGTTATTGATGTTTCTCTGAATGGGAATGGCTAAAGGGAGTGTTCCGCTCCGGAGTGGTACATCTCTGGCCGGGAACGATCAGGTCCGTGCAGCTCCGGAGGTGCATGTCTCCGGTTGTGTCCCTAACAGCTGCTACTTATCCTCACCATGACAATTCAGAGGAGTTGAAGCAGGTGTACTCCTTGGTCGGGGACTACGTCAGGCTTAATTTCCATCAAGGCTTTCGATACAGACCAAGTGCTCAGAGGCCATGGGCATGGACAGTAGTCATTGAACTCAAGCAGTCCGCCGCTAACGAGATGAATGCTGCGGACAATGAGACGAGACTGTTTGACGTAAGCTACAGAGCCGACGCTTGGGAGGTCTCACAACTACGGAGAAGTCCAGTGGAGCTTTCACAATCGCTAGACAGTTTCCCAGATTGTGGTTACAACCCGCCAGTGTGGTCGAAGGAGATGGAAAGGATCATGGAAGTCGAATTTCGGAAGGGAGAATGGGTCAATCGGTCGGTCGATGGTCGCCAGGCGTTCCTTGGGTGGGGAACTACACAAATCTAGACGTTGAAGATGATGTACGCACATGATGGGAAGGAAGTTGAGTTTAGTGATGTCAGCCACGATTCCGCATATGCACGACTGTGTCTTCCGACCCCGCTACATTCATCAGGTTGATGGTAGCTATTTTTCAGATACATCAGTCGCTTGCTCGAAGGCGTGGGGATGATATATACGATCTTATGGGGACGTCATAAGAGAAGCCCCCTCGGGGAAGGGATTTGGTCGAACTCACCAGACGTTTCCCCAGGTTCTCACGATATTGCCTTTTCATCCCTCCATTCTCCCCGTCATCATCATGACGACGAAAATTTACCTGTGAATTGGTGATCGAACGGGCAGAGTGATGGCGACGTCAAGCGGAGTGTGACTAAGACATTTCACGTTCAGGTGGAGTATGATCGGCGATGACGTCGTGTTTAAGATGTTCATCCACCAATTTGCGTCATGTGGAAAATGTGATTGACAAGATCCACACTCGAATATCATCTAAGGTTACTGTATGTCATTCTCCCACGCTCGCGGGGTCTGTTTGGTGACATCATGTATTGGTAAGTGGCCGAGTGAGTCTTGACTCAAGCATAGTTGGAGCTGTCCGTTCACATAGAGCGTTCACGAGACCGGGTTGACCGGGTTGGCATGACGTCGTCGAAAGACCAGCCTCTAATATAGAAGCAAGAGAAAAGAAAGTCAACTTAAATGTTTTTTTCTCACACTTCACCTCATCATTCTTTCTCTTCTAACGGTATGACTGGAAACGATCTCGTGGATGCCGTGGTAAGTGATGAAAGTGAGGATTCTGACTTCGAAGCCATGGTTTCGGGGATTACCGTCCAGGGCAAACCTGTTGTTGTGACTGAAAGCTGGGAGCAGATGGCAGATATCGATAGTGGTCGTATGATGACTGCCTGGGGTCAGTCCACCACTCCAGACACGTGTGACGATCACCCACTAAGTGAAGGATTTACTCTCGCACTCGATGGCGCCCTTCTGTCGTCACCTATCGACGCGAGAGCGATGGCCTCATTGGGGATGGAGGCTCAGATGCGCATCGGCCCGTCACTCACAGAAACTAGTCCTCGCTTGTGTGCGGAAACATCTCAGAGTGAAAAGCTGCTTGCGTACGCAGCGGAATTAGGACCGGGCTCGAAGTGGTTGGTCGGACTTCATTTCTTACCCTCCGACAAGTATCTGAAGAGTGTCGAAGTCGCAATGACTGTCATGGCTTGGCCTCCACGCCTCAAACGCCCACCTGACGTCGGTCTCTGCCGGGTCGCAGAGCCGCTAGTGGATTGGACGATCGATCTGTTTGAGACTGACCCATTAGTCAATCCGAGTAGCAAATGGGACGAATGCAGGAGAATCAGCCTGTCTAACTGAGGAGTGGTGGTAGTCGTGATAGTGGTATAGTCATTACAGCAGTTGATTAGTAGCCGTGTTGAGGACGTCTCTCTCATGAGAGTCACCCATGAGAACCAGCGGTCTCGTACTTCTCATTGATGCCTTGGAAGCAATGACCATCATCGAAACACCGCATATATACGGCGGGACACCTCCTCCGGTGTAGCCCGCAAGTCTGTGTGTCAGCTCCACTGTCACCTCACACGCATGAAGGTAATCCGTGTGCAACTGAAGACATGGTTAGGGAGAGGGAGGGTGGTGGTTCCAAAATTACTCACACTTGTCCAACTGTTTTCCCTGACATCTCGTCACAAAGGTCCTGTATGCCGTCGCCACAACCTCATCCACATCGCTCGCCAATCTATCTCGTAGATCTGGATCTTGCCTTGAAAGTGGATACTGAGTGCACACCTGCTCCAACTCTGAGAGTCGGTCGAAGAACAGGGTGGCGGATTCTTTCAGGGTGTTCCGTTCTGAGCCTGATACGCCAGGTACGGACATGCCGAAACGCGGAGTGGAAGTTGGCGGGGAAGTGAGTAAGGAAGCAAGATTGGTCCACTCGGCCATGTATTGCCTGACCGTCAGGTTGCTTGTCAATGTTTGCCCTACCGACATACGTGGTTGACATGATCCATTTGCGTAGATGATTGGGAGGCGGGCACATGGAATTGTTGTGAGAAGTTCTGAGAGTGACTTACAATTTTGCATCTCTGAAAGCTTTGTTGAGCATACCTTCGGCATTAGGCCCGATGACATCAGACTTGAAACTTGATGTGGTGTTTCTAATATGTGAGACTGATTGTCAGGGCAGTGTGCGAAAATCTGAACAATCCTTACGGTTGTTCAAGAGGAAAGTAGAGCCTATGGGTTTACGCATCGGGCCTGCTCGAGTCTCCAAATGTTGTAACAAAGTTCCCAGCACATCAGCTGATGATTAGCATCACATCGTACTTCCGACGCCGACAGCTGTGGCCACAACCTTGTGACGTACAGTGCGCAGATATTTGAAATGTAAAAGACGATGATACTTGTGGTATACTTTTGACGTAAAACGGATCGGAACCTACCTACGAACAAGTTCAGTAATCCCCCTTCGTCCGCTGCACTCCTTGCGGTACTGGGTATCTCCTTACTCCCCATCAACCAGCTCCTCTCTGCGTGACTCTGGCCCAACAATCCCTCTACCACTTCATGATAAGACGGTAACATCTCTAGATAAGTTAGAGTCGTATACGTCACATCGCTGATTGTCGATTCTGGAGGTCCGCCGACCGGAGAGATCTTGATATCGACGAGACGTTCGGGGAACGAACGCATGATCAGTCCTCGAAGACCAGAGATGGGCGAGCTGAGGGGAGTGTGGAGTTCTCTGACGTCTGAAGGAGGGGCCGGAGGGAGCATAGAAAGACATTTGTGCACCGTAGATTCCCAGCGAGGCTGTAAGGAACCAAGTGCTCTGAACAGTTCGAGAGCAAAAAAGGTGTGGGAGGAGAGCGAGCGTTTGATGATATTGATATTTGGGGTGAGAGTAGACGAGATAAGCGAGACGACCGGAAGGAAGGTAGTGGGGAATAGTAGTGGTGGAGGAGATGCGGGAAAAAGAGCTGTTATGACCAGAGTTTCGGCCTGAGAAGTCAGCGGTTGCCATCGTTGGGCAAGGAGACTGGGCTATGTCGCCTCACAGGAAAGAGACAAGTTCCAAAGAGATGGTAAGGACTCACCTCCATGACAGGCAGCAGGACTTCCCAGAGCTTGACCAAGGCCCCTACTTTCTCCTTACCCACTTCCCATATGCCATCTCCATCAACTTCCTCAACTTTGGCAAGCATAGCAGACAGAGAACGTCGTATCCAATCCACTCTGATTTCTGCAAAAGATCTGACTGTGTTCTCCATCACCCCTAGAGCAATCTCCCGCGTTCTAGTAGGGATGGGTGAGATGGCCGCTTGGAGATATTTAGTGATAGGAGAGACGGTGTTCAGGGGAGGAAAGAAGTTGGGAGGAGTCGGTGGACCTATTTCTCAGTTGCGTCACATGGCCAAATTCGGAAGACTGAGAGCCAGAGACGAGGAATGTTGCAGATGAATGACACACCTGATGTCAAGAGAGCGGCAGGGTCAAAAGTCCTCGCTGTACCCTCCCTAGCAATCTTGAGTAACAACTGGCTCAATCCCTCGAACCCTACCTGTACCAGCTTACTCTGACCTGTCAGCTCCATCTTGCACAGTCCGCCATGGACGGAAGTAATCCATTTCATAGTCCCGAGATAGTGTTACAAGGACACTATACAGGGAGACTCACCATGTCTTTCACGCCTGCCTCTCTTGTACCTCCTTTGCCCTCTCTTAGACCTTTCCACATCCTTTCCAAATCTCCCCGCACGGAATCAAGAGCAGAGAAGTACTCATTCAGGGACACAATGTCAGGACCACGAGTGACTATGGCTGTCTCATCCGCTGGAGTACCAGTGGGAATGCCTGGGGAGGGTATAACAGGTGTAAGAGGCGGTGGTTCGAGCGTGTAGCCTCTCGGAGGCTGCTGAGGTACCGAGCGAGAAGTAGTTGATGAAGCGGTGGTGGGTCTGGTAGGAGCTGCTGTTTGGATGGACAGAGGAGGTTTAGGGGTCAGAAGAGAGAGAAGAGCGTCTATATCTATATTTTAGCATATGATCCAATGGGGATAACTGATCGTCTTCTCCCTCCCTTCAACTTGCGAAGACCGAGCAGAAAATTATCTTCCGAGATAGGATGGAAGGGAAGTGTGAAATGCCAGACTCACTATTTGCTTTGATGGTCAACGGCTGAAGACCCAGAGGGGTAATGGTCTTGTCCAGTCTGGAAAGGCGAGCATCGAGCTGAGCTAGTATAGCTGATGTTTGTGAGCCAGCTTGCAAGGTGATACTCCAAAACAAGATGAAAAAGACAGCTTCACTCACCTGTCATGCGTTGACTGAGGAGATTTGTCTTCTGTAGGTGCTGTTCCTGACCCGTCAGTATTGGAACAGATTTGAGATGTGATATGTAGCCATAAGAAGACTCACGAGCAAGGCTATATCAGCTTGCTCGTCCATGGTGTATGTTCATAGCAGTAGGCCGGGTGAGTGCTTAAGAGTGTGGGGAAAGTGAGTCAACGTCATTTGTGGCAGATGTGAGGCACCGTGTGCCACATTCCGCCACTCCGCCGTTTCCGGCCGGCGATATAAAAAAGTCGCGCCATGGTCCCTCACCCACTCACCCACTCACTCACTACCCTCACATTCCTCATCCCTACTACCTCGGTTTTCCTACTCCTCAAAGGTCATAATCAGTCAAGCATAATGGTAAGTCTATATCTCTTGGACACAACCTGTGATCTTCCCGCATCACCCTCATTCTTCCTTTACAAGGGCAGCCTTCCCATGATCAGATGGAGAGTCATCCGAGATTCACACGTTTCTTTTCTGTTAGCTGTCTCCGCTGGGCTCATGAGTTGCCGCGACCTTCTCTCCCATGCCTTCACGTTCCATCTATGATAGAGAGAACAGTGGCTACCGACTCTGCTCGTTGACCAAAATCATGCGTGTCACCATAGCCCCTTGTCATATCATACGTTCTGGTGCAGGGAAGTACAATGGGGTCTCGCTGACGTTTAGTCCACATACAAAGTCGCTGACATCTCCCTCGCCGCGTTCGGCAGGAAAGAAATCGAACTTGCCGAACATGAAATGCCTGGTCTTATGGCTTTGAAAGAGAAACATTCGGTCACCAAGCCTCTTTCGGGCGCACGGATCGCTGGTTGTCTTCACATGTATGTGTTCCAAATCACTATCAGTCCTTCCAAACCCCGGCCAACCCCTCTGTAAGGACGCCCCTCATGGTGTTGGGACTGGCAATCATCCTAATAATAACGAGATGATTTTTTTTTTGCTGGTGGCTGACAAATAAGGACCATTCAAACCGCTGTGCTCATCGAAACTCTTGTCGCCCTTGGCGCCCAGGTTACCTGGTCCTCATGCAACATTTTCTCCACCCAAGACCATGCCGCCGCTGCCATTGCCGCAACTGGTGTTCCCGTCTTCGCTTGGAAAGGTGAGACTGAGGAGGAGTACATCTGGTGTATCGAACAACAATTGGCCGCCTTCCCCAACGGCGAACCTCTGAACATGATCCTTGACGACGGCGGTGATCTCACTGCTCTCGTTCACGAAAAGTACCCTCAATACCTACCCGCCATCAAAGGTATCAGCGAGGAAACCACGACCGGCGTTCACCACTTGTACAAGATGTTCCGTGAAGGTAAACTCAAGGTACCCGCCATTAACGTGAATGACTCCGTCACCAAGAGCAAATTCGACAACTTGGTTGGTGATATTTTACTCGTGTGGTGCTCGAGCTCATTTCTAGTACGGCTGCCGAGAGTCGCTTGTCGATGGTATCAAGCGCGCCACCGACGTCATGCTGGCTGGCAAAGTGGCCGTTGTCGCCGGCTACGGTGATGTGGGCAAAGGAGTGAGTCACCTGGCTCAGTTGCCGTGCGAGGAGCATTGGCTTATGAGCGCAGTGTGCCGAATCGCTCCGCTCGTACGGATCCCGTGTCTTGGTCACCGAGATTGACCCTATCAACGCTCTCCAGGCTGCTATGGCCGGCTACCAGGTAGTGACCATGGACGAGGCCGCTCCTCAAGCGAACATCTTCGTTACGACCACTGGAAACCGGGACATCATCGTTGGCAAGCACTTTGAGGTGATGCCTGAGGATGCTATCGTGTGCAAGTGAGTCACCTTCTACCTTGGTGCTTATGCAAATCGCCCAGGGGAACGTGCTGACAATCAGCATTGGTCATTTTGATGTCGAGATTGACGTCGCATGGCTCAAGAAGAACGCTGTTAAATGTGTCAACATTAAACCCCAGGTCGACAGGTTCACTATGGCCAGTGGTAGACATCTTATTCTCCTCGCCGAGGGTCGTCTCGTCAACTTAGGTTGTGGAACGGGACACCCTTCTTTCGGTGAGTCTGACCTTACTTCGAAGGATGTGTGATGACATCTACCAGTCATGTCGTGTTCTTTCACTAACCAGGTCTTGGCTCAAATCGCCCTATGGACCGACAGCAAATCATACCCTCTTGGTGTGCAGTGAGTTAAGCCGACCGCTCTTTTGCATATTATATACTGATCGACAGCATCCTACCCAAGACGCTCGATGAGGAAGTCGCTCGTGCCCATCTGGGTAACCTCAATGTCAAGCTCACGACCTTGACCAAAGAACAATCCGACTACCTTGGCATTCCCGTCGGTGGACCTTACAAGTCGGACCACTACGTACGTCATTGTTGATTCGGACATTCCCAATCATCTGCTCTTCCTCAAGTACCCCATGCCGTGGTAGATTTCTTCATGTGTCGAAGTAAGCTGACCTGTGACAGAGATACTAAGCGATCCTCGCTCTGGCCTCAACTGCCTTAGAGAACTAGCTTCGCGTACCTGCCCCCAGTACCGTCATCAACTCTTTATCCTCGACATCCCGGATCCCTCACCCCATCATCTGCTCTCTGCCATTTCATATTCCCCGAGATTGTGATTACTCGCTATAACGATACCCTCATTGGATTCTTTTGCACAGGCATCAACTGCCGCGTCTCGTCGCATCATAACATAGCATCTGTCATGAACAAAGTTTGGAACAAAGTATGCCGGAATGCATGGAGCTGAACGTGAACTTTACTGATTTGATTTCTGACCTGCCAATTCGGGGTGAGGGATGCACCTTTCAAACTTCTCTCATGATTCCTTACTCACTTACAAAGTATTCCTGGGATACAAGCGTTCCCCAATACAATCCGATAAGCTGAATGCTCACGATCTGCATGGGTAAGTGAGGCTCGCTCGACACCTAGTACAGAATTCTGGACCCGTCTCGATGCTATTTCTTGTCGAGAAGATACATATTCTAGAAGTGCCCGGGGGCTTGAGACCTGGACTCAATCAATACGGGGAAATGTGTCCAGTAGAGTAGTGGATGATGTAAGGCAGAGGAACTGAAGAGGAGGCAACTTAGCAAGATGGTACATGGTACAGGTGAGTGACATCCTTTCGGACAATGGGGACAGGGAAAAGAACCATGGTGGACAGTCATGTGATGCGTACCAACCAACCTCAAGCATGGTCTATCATTACGAGTACGAATTGACAAATCCCGTACAGTACTTGTCACTTCTCATCTTCATGACTGACCCTAGACACATGCCCTTCCTCCTGATTGCAACACATCAACCTCCTGTCAGCAACAACTGCCTGATGTATGCTCTACTAGCTCCGCCCCAGCGCAAGTATCCCTCCCGAAGACGATAAAACCTACCGTTTGGCCAATAAAGATGATGATCAAAACGGCAGCATTAAAGTACATGCCAAGAAGCATCCTAGCGGTTAGCCTTGTCTTCCCATTACGGCTCCAGGTCTTCTTACGAAGCAATCACATAGATCCCTTCTTCAATCCACTCAGGGGTCAATAGGAAGAGAATGTAATTGACTTACACCATGAAGGCCGCAGTGAACTGGGAGCCATAGCAGAGTCCACGGATAAGTTGTTGAAACCATGAAGGGGTGAATCTACTGTTTCATCAGCTTAATCTTTGGTACACTTTCGGATTGGTTGGCTTCCGCGGTATCCCCACTATTCCACACCATCACCCAATATAGGTCTTCTCTGGCTTGAACGAAATGGGAATCAGTGATCGAAGAAGTGTGAAAAACCTACCCGGACGATACGACGCTCTCGCAAGTCACCACCTGTTTCTCTCCGCCTTTCAACGAGCCTTGAAGCTAGACCATCAGTATCAACAATCCTTCCGATATCAGATAGAAGGATTCGACTTACTTTCGTGGATAGAATGAGCTTTCGATCATACTCTCTTCCCAATCTTCTAACACCTTCAATAGCCATACACAGAAAGAAGATGCCGACCAACGAGCCTGCGAATTCGGATCTCGAACTAATGTGCCATGAAGATGAGAGGAAGCATGCATCGACCGAATACCAGTTTAGAAGCATTGAGACTGATCATTAGTTCATCACTTCCCATTGACTTATGATCACTGAGAACCCCATGAGGATGACATACAGTTGGACGTGTAGAAAGGAAAGCTTGGACCTACTTTTACATGCCGCAGGACCCGACATGCTTTCTGAACCCATATCCATCTTGGGTGCTGAGTATAGTGTCGGTAGCTTCAAAATTGACTAGGCGTAAGTAAGATGATGAGGATGGCCGGTGTCGATACATACCTCTTGTACCCGACTGGAGACATCGAAGAGTCCGATGGGATTGACTGTCCCCACCAATGGGTAAAAGGACTCGCACGGATGAGGCATTTGTTTTGGTCAACGATCTTCCCATCAGATCTGCTTCCATCGATGCCAAGCCTCGAGTAAATGGTGTATTGTATCTTTACCATCCCTTTCTTCATGCATTTGATAGGTCCAGACTATCATTCACACTATAAGAACCGAAGAGGGCCTGGAACGTCGGAGCGCCCGGAAAGAGAGATCGTCCATGCCAAGTAGTGCATATCCCTTTGCCCTGCACCGTCCTAATCATGTTTATCATCTTACATTTCTCCCCTGATGACATCCTTCTACGGCGTCTCAGACCTCCTGGAGACCTCAATCAGTCTATCCGTTGATCGTGGTTCAAGCCGACCTGATGGGTGGTCCTGGAAGTGGATGTTACTGGACGCACGGATTGCAGGTAAACCTATCATATAAAGGCCTCGTCAATTGCGCCCTTTTTTTCGTCCAACGGATTTTCTTATAGAGAAGCGGGATCACTGATGTTTTCGAATTCCCGTGGTACGGGAAGCTTAGATCTCTGGGATACGACTGGTTCAAGAGAGAGAGGGGAACAAGACTCCCCTCACGTTCATCTATCAATACTTTTGACTATCCATTTCTGACTTCCTCTTCAGCCTGTACACTTACTCATTCAATATGGACATGGGAGATGATATGACCTCTATACGTCCTCAGCCTACTACCACACTCTCTGCTCTGGCTGCCGGTCAAACCGACTTCACCCCGGGTTATATCGATTCCAAAGGTGACTACGTACCTCTGGACGATGAACTGACAGCGTACCAAGCAGCAAGAATCCCTTGGGCGGATGAGGTCAGATACGGTCACTATGCTCTCTTCTTCCTTGGAGCTATACTGGCCATTTATACTCTTCTTCATCTCTACTCCCTCATTCGAGCACGTTTTCTCCCCGATTCCACTTCCAAGCTCCTCACCGGCCGATTGGGGAATGTCAAAACGAGAATATTGGCTGTCGCCAGAATCCTCACGTATCCTCAGCTCCCCTACTCCGACAGACTCGCCCTGATTTGGACTATTGGACCTTTAGGACCCAATCTGCTTTTGGCGGGGGGACTTGTGCTGGTATCACTCTTGACTTGGGTTAATAAATACTATTACTACGCCCCTTTCTACGGTAGCGCCCCCCTTTATCTCAGATCGGAATGGATCGCTATGGCTACTCTTCCATTTGTCTAGTGAGTTCTCCGCTTCCCCCAGGGTACTCCCGATAGTCAAAACGTATCTCAATCCCGGATGTAAGTGTTTGAATTCCGAACCACAAGTGTGATGACTGCAAGATACACTTACTGACTTTCAGTGTATTGGGAACCAAACGAAATTTCATCACTCTGCTCACCGGAGTATCCCATGACAAACTTCAAGTGTTCCATCAAGGAGTTGCCTTCAACTTCGTATACATGTCGCTCGTCCACACCATCACTGCTATTATTCGTGCCTACCGTGATTATGGTTTTGTCAAGGAAGTCATGTATAACCCAATCTATGTGAGCGGGTTTGTAGCACTTGCACCTCTTTGTGTCTTGTTTTTAGGAGCGTTGCCGCCTGTTCGGTGAGCTTTTGTCTCTTTCTTGTCACACTTCCCTCAATATCTCCTTCTGCTTCTTCTGTCAACCGTGGAAATCCAGTGCGGGTAGGATATTTGGAAGGTTGTAGATGCGTGAAAAGTTGCGTGCTGGAGATCAACTCATTCCCAGACGATGGACGTATGAGGTGTTCTATTACGTTCACATCGTGATGGCTCTCTTCTTTATGGGTGCATTGTGGTGGCATGGATATCAACTTCTAGATAGCGAGTGAGTGTCCAGATTTCACTCTTTTCCCATGTGTGAAGCAGGAATCTCCAATACCCTAGGTTCTCTGGAAAGAATGAGGACGGAAGAAAGCGACTGACGGATAGCAAGTACATGATTGCTACGGCTGTCCTCTTCTTCTCCAGTGTTCTATGGCGCCTAGTCATGATAGCCTTCAACAACCCGACGTTCCATAGCTGCACCGCAACACTTCTCTCTTCAGACACTCTTAAACTCACCATTCCTACCACTATCCACTGGGGTCCAGGACAACACGTCTTTCTTCGGTTCATCGGACTTCGAACATTGGAATCACATCCCTTCTCCATTGCAACTCTTCCCATCTCTTTCACAGTCTCTGGTCCCAATTTGGACAGACCAAGTCTCATCGTCTCTGAGTCTATAAGTCGCTGTCATCCTACCGTACTTGCAAGTGAAACACTACCTGTGTCGAAGAAGAGGCGTGCAGGTGAAGTGGCGGAAATGAACTTCCTTGTTCGGGTCCGTTCCGGGTTCACTCAGGCTCTCGCAAATCGAATTACCGCTCAAGGGGGACAAGGGAAGATCAAATGTGTCGTAGATGGTCCGTATGGACATTGTGATCTGGGTGAATATCCAGAGATCTTCATCGCCGTTGGTGGAAGTGGTATCAGTTGGGGTTTGGGGGTCTTGCAACATGTGGCAGTAAGGAAAGGAGGAAAGGTGAAAATGGTGTGGGCCATAAGACATGCCGGTTCGGTTTTTTTTTTCATGTCCCACACAATATTCACTCCCAAATACCCCATGTCGACTCGGATTCAGGATAAGAACGGCATGATCTACGGTGCTGACTAGACAGATGCGCTTGAGTGGTTCTCGGAAGAACTACAGATCTTGGCCAAGAACCCCGGAGTCGACATTCACATATATCTCACTGATCAAGCTACTCAAGCATCTGACTTACAAAGTAAGGAAGATACGACCGACGACAAATTGGGGACCATGGAGGCTACGGACGGACATACGGTCACTACCGCTCTTTCTCAACAGGTGTACTCCAGGGGCAATAGCGAACTGTCGGCTCCAGGTACGAAAAAGGACATGACCTTACATTCTGGAAGACCTGATCTCCCGTTGCTGATAGAAGAGTTTGTGCGGCAAAATACCAGTGGATCATGTGCAGTTGCTGGTATGTCTTCAATCCTTCTCATTCCGCATTCTACACCAAGAGGGAAGGAAGTAAGAGGAAATGGAGCTAACTCATAGCTTGTGGACCAGGAAGGTTCATCACCGACTGCGCGAACGCTGTGAGCAAGGCGGAGGTGGGGATCTTACTAGGAACATTGAAGGTGGAAGAGGTTTTCTTCAAATCAGAGCAATACACATGGTAGTGAGACACTTGTACGGACCAGGTCTTCGCTTATAGTGGGTTGATTATCTAGAGAAATGAAATAATCTTGTGGCCACTATCCTGAAACCCCTGGCGCACGGAATGCATCGCGCAAGAAATTAGTCTCCATTATCTCAATATCTCCCACTTCATCTCAGTAGCTATGTAGGTATGAGCTGTTGTTACTGTTGGTAATCTGGGTCAAATTCAATGTCTTCCTTGCCCATTTGATCTCCTTGCCCGTCCAAGAGACGTACAGAGATACTTCCCACCTTCTGCTCCCTTCCGGCCAGCAATGAGAACACATCCTTCCCAGCTGCTTCCTCATCCAAACCCTCATATTGAATGAACCAGAACCTCTCAACACGGCTTTGTTTCTTTCTTGAGCCTTTGCCTGACCTTCTTGACGCTTTCATCAGGGTAGAGTCACCTCCCACTTCACCATATGCCAAACAATATTGCCTCGCTATTTCCTTAGTAGCCGATAAAATATTGGTCCATTCTTCGGAGTTGAGGGTGTCCAAACACTTCCCAGCCTGTTCTGTTCTAATTGCTGCTTGTATAACATCAGGAATGCTGTCCATCCACGTTGGCTTTGGATCTAAATTGGTTCTATAGGCAGTGAGTGAGGCAGAGACCAGATCTGCAACTTTGGATAGTTTTGTATGGTCCACAGCCAGTAAATGGACAGCTTCTAGCAAGCTCTTGGAGTATTTTTGCAAGTCATATGGTATATTGCTTCCCATTCCTTCATGGTCATCCTCTCCATGACCGCCATCAGTACCTTGTGATCCCTCCATTGCTCGGGTAAGAGCTCGGCTTTGTAACAAAATATTGTTAGTCTGGGAGACAAGAAACCCTGTGTTACGGGGTAACAACGAATCGAGGGAACTCTATCGAGTTCGACGGATTAGGATGGAGGAAAGCGGGAGTTGGAGGCAGTGCTGCAGTAGGTAGGGACGGGTTTTCCCCTTTCGAGATTTTCCCCACTGGGTTTGCTCAAAGCGGTTTTTCACCTGTCCGAGTATGTACATGAACGCTTGCAGTAGGACTGAGAAGAGGAGACGGATACCTGTAGACAGTATATAGTACAATCAGCAAAGTACCAACTTTGCTGATTCTTCAATATCATTCTTTGGCTACATCGATTGCAGAGGAGACACGATCCATTAGCACCAGAGCCCCTAGATTTCCACGAGACATCCATCGAGTTCGACCCAACCTGCGACCTAGTCGTCGTGTTTCCAGTACCGTTACACCCTGCTGTAGCAGTCATGAATGTGTTGGCGGTGACATCCTCCTTGAATTGTGCAAGTCTGGTGTCTTGTGTCTGGGTTAATGTGATCTGGTTTGTTTCTTTGGTGGAAGAGGAATGAGACTCAGATTGGTTGACACTATAGTATGGCACAGTTGAGATATCTAGCATGATAAGGTTGTGAGCTTGTTACTCTGATTATGGATGATATCACAGTCAATGGTTTGCAAGAGGAATTTGCTGGTCCAGGCAGTTACTTGGCCAGTGTATATTGTGATGTTGTGCGGAGACAACTGACAGTCAAACATGTCAAGAGCATTGATGAAAGGATCACCCCTCCTTCAGGGGCAATCTGATCATGACACGTGTATGGAATATGAGCTGAAAGGAGCTGGTATAGAAGGACATCCATCACAATGTTCAGACTGCTCTGAAGCTGTGGTACTCATTTTCAAGCTGCATTGCTGAAATTTCTGAACATCTCTGTGTCAAGGCCTGTACAAAAGCACGTGTCAATGAAACAGCTTGGAAACTGGGCTTGAGGTGGGTGCAATGTGTAAGAAGTCAATGTCTGTTGCAAGTGGTGAGAGATGTCAGCTCGCAGTGCTCCTATGACAGATGATAGCCGCCTGCTATCTTTGGCGGAGCGGACAGTCCTGTACAGGGAGTCCTGGGTAGTTGTCACGCCTGCGGGTAGACTGCTGTAGCAAAGGACTGCCTTAGGAACTGAGTGTCACAGTCGTCGTTTCTTCTTCTCTACTGACCGACGGTCGACAAACCTCGGCTAACTACGTCGTGGTGGGGCGTCGTTGTCTCACTAAGACAGGGTACTCGTCGAGGAACCACGGCTAACTTCGCCGTAGTGATACGTCGAGTGGTGAAATGATAAGATGATTGTCGATGGACTGCGGCTAACTTCGCCGTAGTACGTTGAACTGCTCGGTGGTAGCTCTCCTTAACTCGAAGGTGGTAGCTACTGAATATATCTCTCGCTACTGACAACAATCAAGGATCGCTGAAGAAGTTCAGCGATCTGTAAACTATCTATACTACTCCTCTCTTCTCATAGAACGTCCCTCAACTCCTGCACTGCCTCACTGTCAAGGATACTGCCCACCCTGGGACAGAGGACAAAGGACAAGGAAGGGGACAAGGACTAGGAGTGACAAGGAATATACTTAAGTTAACAAGACTGAGTCCAACAAGGAATGGGACTGTGACCCAAGGAATGTCTCTGGCTTGTCTTACAAGGTTATAAGGAACTGGACTGGACTGGACTGGACTCCAAAAGGATGGCAATGGAAATGACTTTTGATCAAGAACTAAAGAAGAAGTATGTAAAACTATGAGGGGTTTATATCTATAAAACAGGTGTTCTACCAGGTGGAGTCGTCCTGCGTAGGAAACCGTCGCAATCCTTGCCTTCCCTACTGTTTTCTAACTAACAGCAACTGACTGCGCCCTGTTCTCGCCGTGCTGCGTATAATACGCTGTTGACCGCACGCAGAAGTACGCATGACAACGTAAACAATACGTTCGCCTAAAATCTAACTATACTAAAGTCTTGGGTCTCATGCCATACCAGGCATCATAACTGAGAATAACATAACTAACTAAAGGTTCAGGTCTCTTGCCTCAAAGGCATCAGAGCAGAACTAAAACATGCGGAAACTGATACTTGTGATTCATGACACTCACGCTCAGTCCTCTTCGTTCAACTTCGCCGTACCTCGCCATATCCCCGATATCCTACTCCGCTCACTTTGACTAACTTCGCCTACTTCCCCTGTTCTGCTCTCCCTCGGTTCCCTTCCCCTAACTTCGCCGTAGTTCTCCGCTAGGCGGGGTTATCGTGACAAATCCCCCCTTGGTTCTCGTAACTTCGCCGTAGTTGGTCTCAGTGGTTCGAGTGGAGGTTGGTGATGGTGAAAGGAGGGTCGGTGATGGTGGTTGTCAGGGATGTTACGACGTAGTTCGTGACACTGAGGGGTTTAGTCTCTGGCTCTTGGGCCTTGGTGACTGCCTTAGGTGCTGAGGGGATGGAGAGGTTGGGTTAGAACCAACTGAGTGACTTATCAAACAAGGGAAAGGGAATTGAAAAGATAAATCGCTGAAGAAGAAAACTACAATATTAGATAGGGTTTAAATAGTAAAGTCAGCCGTTTCCAAGAGGCTAGTGCAGACCTGCTGTCATGAATCAACTATCATGACTCAGAATAAGTATGGACTCAAAATATTGGTGACTCATAATTAATTAGGAATGATAAGATCAGGCCAAATGGTAAGGACAAATGGTAAGGACAAATGGTAAGGACAAATGGTAAGGACAAATGGTAAGGACAAATGGTAAGGACAAATGGTAAGGACAAATGGTCATGACAAATGGGCATACCAGATGTGTTACAACCAAGAGCTAGGCAGTGACATGACCTAACTTCAGTGGACAACGACGACAAGAGACGAAGTGATAGCGTAGAGTGGATTGAACGATAACAATAGAAAGTATCTGAGTGTAGGATCAAGGGTATGTCTGAAGTCACTTTGTCACGAGACCAACTAACCAGCATTGGGACGATATAACAGTGCCCTTCAGAGACAATGACCTAAACCACTGTGCTAAAAGGCCTATGAACCGGCGGTTACTGCAAACCGCTGGTCGCTGATTAAATACCCAACCCAAATCCAACTCTAACCAAACTGACTTGTCACTTTGTGACACACTTTGTCACGGTCCTGTCCTTGACAGATCTCTGAAGATCAAAGACAGGTGGACTGCAACTGTTTAGTTAGCTTGAACAACGACAGTCAGTATGTTGTTCGTGAACTTGTGATGTGGTCGGACGGCTAAAGTGACTTGCGAAGGATCCGAGCAAGTCGAGATGACGACAAGAGTGTGTGATATGGCGTGGACAGGGGTTTTGTCGATGGAAAGTGTGTTAAAGGTGAGTATATGTCAAGAAGAGAGATCTTTGTGAAGTGGCAAATAATATTTTGATCCTTGAGAAAAAGAAAACTACAAAGTAAATATGTGCTCCTTTTATACCTTTCAGAGAGATTCAGAATGAGCTTTTCAATGAGTCAACTCATTGACTCATTCTTGTCTCGTCTCTCCTTTTCCCCTATAACCTCATTATCTCATTGTGTCTCAATGAGTATCGATGAGTCTCAATGAGTATCAATGAGTTTTCAGGGTAACTCACTGAGTCTCATTGAATTCAGGGTAACTCAATGAGTTTTGATGAGTCATGGTGGCGCGACTTGTCCGAGTCGTGACACACTTAGACGAAGTGTGTGAGTGTAGCAAGCGCAACGATGTCACGCCTGCGGGTAGACTGCGGTAGCAAAGTACTGCCTTGGGTACTGAAGGGTTTTAGTCTCTGGCTCGTAGAGCTTGATGACTGCTTAGGTACTGAGGGTACTGAGGTGTTGGGTTAGAACCAACTAGGTGACTTTCAAAGATGAAGTTCAACTTCAAGATGAAGATACATTGCTGAAGAAAGAGGGGGGAGATGTGCTCCTTTTATACCCTTCCAAACTAAAGTAGGTGTACTAAATAAAAAGCGTGTGAGGGATTTTCTAGCCAATCACATAAATGCCTCACTGCTAAACTGCTGAACCTTCCAGCCTTCAGCCAATCACGTAAATGCCTCACTGCTGAACTGCTAAATACCATGACTCATATTTTCCTTCAATCCTTATCACAGTTCCTAGCATGAGTCATATTTCCTTATCACTAATCTGAGCGTGAGTCAGAATTCCTTATCACTATTCATGACACATCCCCTGTTTCCGAACCCCCGCCACCAAGCAACTCCTGGTCGGAGGAAGACGGAGACTCACCGGGACGGAAGGCGGGCGTCCTATGGCGAGGAGTGGAGGGAGGAGGGGAGCCTCCGGAGAGACCAGCCACAGCGACGGGAGAGTCGGCGACCTTGGGTTTGGCGGCACGAGAAGGGACGGGAGTTTGGGACGATTCCCCCAGGGAGAGAGTACCGAGACCAAGGGAGGAAACTTGACGAGATCTGTTGCCAGAGGAGACTGAATATCAGCCAAGTTCAGTGAGGTAAGTGCAGTAACAAAGACAACTCACGGGCAAATAACACAGTACCGCCAAAGTTCCTCATAGCGGTGAAGGCGTGGGGGGTGGAAGTAGCAGGGGCCATGATGTTAAGATAAATTAAAGAAATAGAAGAAGAATGGTAGGTGAAGGTATTGCATCTGTTTTCTAGTAAGAGAGGTGGAAAGTTTTGAAAGCAGATGGGGAAAAGAGAAAAAGCTTGGCGAACTACTCAGTATTTAGTATGATCAGATATAAACCCTATCTTGTACTTTGTAGTCTTCTTTAGTTCTTGATCAAAAGTCATTTCCATTGCCACCCTTTTGGAGTCCAATCCATTCCAGTCCAGTCCAGTCCATTCCAGTTCCCTCTAGTCTTGTCAGACAAGCCAGAGACCTTCCTTGGGTCACAGTCCCATTCCTTGTTGGACTCAGTCTTGTTATCTTAAGTATATTCCTTGTCACTCCTAGTACTTGTCCTTTGTCCTCTGTCCCAGGGTGGGCAGTATCCTTGACACTCACCTACAAAAGACACAGGGACTGTTACGGCAAACCTCAGCAAAGTTAGGTGTCACGCCTGCGGGTAGACTGCGGTAGCAAAGGACTGCCTTGGGAACTGAGGGGTTTAGTCTCTGGCTCGTGGACCTTGGTGACTGCCTTAGGTACTGAGGGTTCGAGAGGTTGGGTTAGAACCAACTGAGTGACTTATCAAATGAGGGGAAGGGAATTGAAAAGATACATTGCTGAAGAAGAAAACTACAGTACTAGATAGGGTTTAAATACTAAAATCAGCCTTTTCCAAGAGGCTCGTGCAGGCCTGCGGAATACGAGCGCTCTGAATCGTCCTGCACTGTCCTGCATGCATTGCCATGCATCCCACCGATTACCACTGATATCCTACGATGCCATATCTGCGTTTACCTATGTCCTACTATGTGTCACGGCCGTCGAACAACTACCTTCTGGCAGACCGACGGTCGACGAACCTCGGCTAACTCGACGCTTCTGAATCGATGTCTCACCCAACCAGGAGGGCGCAGACGTCGAAAGGAGTGTAACTACGGCGTACTTCGGTGTAGTTACTCTAACTGGGGTTTTGTTCTACTGATGGCGATGTATCTTGATTTGTATATAGCTATCTCTATCTGTCTTTCTCTACTGACAACAATCAAGGATCGCTGAAGAACTTCAGCGATCTTCTCAGCTAATATTATCTACTCCTCCTAGACGTTCATCCAACCCTCTCGCGCTTTGACGTACTTCAACGTACTTCGTCCAACTTCCCCGAGCCCTCGGCCATCCTCTTCCTCCTTCGACTAACTCCGCCTAACATCGCCGCACTTCTGCTCCCATTGTCCCTACCTAGCCTAACTCCATTTAACTTCGCTGTACTTCTGCTCCCATTGTCCCTACTTAGCCTAACCCCGTCTAACTTCGCCGTACTTCTGCTCCCACCGTCTCTACTTAGCCTAACTCCGTCTAACTTCGCCGTACTTGGTCTCAGAAGTCCTGAGTTACGTGTAGAGTAAAGAGGTTAAGGCGTGATGGGGTTTCGTGATGGGGTTTTGGAAAAATCGATGGCCAAAGGAGGGTCATTGTTGGTGGAGTAATCGAGGTGTCACGACGTAGTTCGTGACAGTCGCCCCCTTCTTTAGCCGCGAACGTCCTCGTGAGCGATTACACCTCTGCCGTGGCAAGAAAACTTAGCAGCGTAGTACCCCCATTCTCTCCCTCCCCATGACCATCCTTCACCCTTCTGCTCTTTGCGCCGCACTTCGTAGTTGGGCCTCCTTTCACTCCAAAACCCGACAATGAGACTCCCCTAACTTCGTTGAGGTTTGCCGTAAGAAGCCCTGTGTCTTTTGTAGGTGAGACACGCTTCCCGGATGGCAGCCGAACAACACCGTTGTTTGTCGAAGTAACCCTCGCTTATATTGAGATGAGACACTATAGCGTGGGAATTTTGATCGTCCCTGTGTAGCCTTTTGTTGATGAAACGCGAAATTTGCTGCATGTTGACGACGAGGGGGTAGGTTTGATTATACTAAATTCTGAGCAGTTCGTCGAGCTTCTCTCTTTTCCCCATCTGCTTTCAAAACTTTCTATCTTTCTTACCTAGAAAACAGATTTGTTACCTTGAATAATCGCCTCGAGTTTTATTTCTCTTTTAAATATCTTAACGTCATGGCCCCCTCTACTCCCACTCCCAGCCCTTTCGCCGCCATGGGGAACTTTGGTGGTATGGTGTCATCTGCTCGTGAGTTTTCGTCGATACTCACCCCACCTCGCCGAACTTGGCTGATGTTCAGTTTCTTTTGGCGACAGATCTTGCCAAGTCTCCTCCCTCGGCCTCGGCACTCTCTCTCTGGGGGAGCCGTCTGGCGCTGCCTCGCCCCCTCGCTCCGCCTCTCCTTCTGCTGGTTCTCCCTCCCCCGTGTCTGGTTCTCCCGTCCCCGTAACGGGTTCTCCTGGAGGGCCTCCTCCTGCCGCCACTCCTCGCCGTAGGACGCCCGCCTTTCGTCCTGGTGAGTCTCCGTCCTCCTCCGACCAGGACTCGCTCAGTGGGGGCTCGGAGTCGAGTGATCGACCCGACACCGAAGAAAGTGAGGATGATGATGATCGGGAGGGTAGGATCGATAGTGAGGGTGAAAGCGAGTTAGAAGAATACCCGGATGATGATGTGGAGGTGATTAGTGTAGAGGACAACAACGTAGATAGTCCTGAGCGTGAGTCCTTTGTCCAACCTCTCACACCTTTGCCGAACTTGGCCTTGTTTATCTGTTCTTTAGCTCTCCAAGACATTGCTAACTCGCAGCCGTTCCTGCCCCTCCCCCTGCTCAAATTGTGGGCCAGAAACGACGCCGTTCCCTCTCCTCTTCTTCTTCTTCCTCTTCTTCTTCCTCTTCCGGGGTTCTCCCCCCCGCCAACGCCATCGCCGCTGCCGCCGCCGCCCCCGTCGCTGCTCCCCCCCCCTTCCCCCAGAGGGGAGCCTTCGCCCAAACGGGTGAAGAGATCACTGCGGGAAGAAGAGTACTTGTGGGAGAAGATGAAGTCCGAGCCTGGTCGTTGGGTCGCGGTTGGTGTTGACGAAGCGTGTGATCGTTGCCGGTGAGTCCACCTATTCGTACTACGCCGAAGTTACTCCTGCTAATTAGTAGACGTGAGATTATCACGTATAATCGTCCAAACTGGCCCTGCCTCAAGGCAGTCAGGCCACATAACAAGGCTCTCCGTTGTGCTTCATGCACATCTGGCCCCTGCTCCTTCTGTCCCGTTTCCTCTGCCTGGGACATCCCGCCCCGTCCCTTCAACGCTTCCCCTTTCCCCCCTCCCCAGACTCCAGCGTCTGTCCCCCGTTCGCGGGTACCGTCTTCGTCTCTCCGGTCGGCTCGCCGAACTTCGCCGTCCTCCCGCTCGTCTCCTCCCTCGCCGTCGCCCTTCGCTCCTGTGGCCGGCCCATCACGTCTCCCGCCTGCTCCTCCGTCGGCCTCCCGTTGCCCTTCGGCCTCTCGTCCCTCGGTCTCTCGTTCTTCGGTCCCTCGTCCGTCCTCTCCCGTGGCGCCCTCTCCTCCGGCCCAGGGCACCCAAAGTCGTCGTCCTTCTGCTCCTCGGGCTACCCCAGTGGCCGCCCCTGTCACCGCGTCCCCCGCTTCCCAGAAGACTCCAAAGTCTTCTTTAAAGAAATCAAAAGGGAAAAGGGTGGAGAAAGAGGTCGTCTTTGAAGCTGGTGATGTGGAAGATGAAGCTACTCAGCGTGCTGGGCCCTCTGCTCCTCGGTTGTCCTTCGTCCACCCTCGCATCTCTCTGGAACCTCGTATCCCAGAGGATGAAAAGGAATTTGCTACGTATCGTTCTCTCGTTCTTGGCCTCACCACTCAGCTTGACGTCGCTCGACGTGATACATCTCTCTTGCTCGACTTCTCCACTCGTCAAGCCAACGCCTTGAATAACCTTACTGCGGCGTTAGTAGATGTAGTCAACGGTGGGAATCTGAACGAGGAAGCAAGGACGAGGTTAGCGGACGTCTCTCGCCGAAGCCTTACTGAGATAGCCGATGTTCGCCGAAGACTTTACGACACCCCCTTCCTCGTTACTCCCATGGCGTACGAGCCACCACCGTCCATTGGCTGGTTAGGCCCCCGGAGTAGTTCTCGAGTCCCTGCTTCTGCTCAGACTGCTCTCGATCTCCTCAGTCTTCCTTCCGAGTGTCTTAAGACCATACGTTCCCTGTGGAGGACTCCGAGCATGCAAGCTGCTCGGGATGTCCAGGACTTTGGTGATTTCTTTGGGGCTATGAATCGGGCATGGAATGCTTCTCTCTCGACTGTTTTCCCCCCTGACAGTCTCGATCTACCTTCGGCCATCGGTACTCTCCACACCAATCTCGCGGGACCGAGTAGCGCGAAGGAGAAAGGAAAAGGAAAGGGTAAGGGTAAGGGCAAGTGAGCGGTACGTAGCTGTAATCCTATGTTGTATGCAGTACGTTCTACCTCCTAGCCCTCCGCAGTCGCCCTTCCTTCGGCTTAGTAGGATGAAGTTCGTGGAACTTCGCCAATATGTCATCAGCTCCATCGACGTTCTCTACCGGTTCTCATGATACCGAATCGTCTGTTCCTTCGTAACCTAACCACTCTACTAAGTACTCTAACTTTCCTGATCTTTTATTTACTCTAGAGTCCACGATGTCCTTTACTTCCCACAATTCTCCTACGTTATCTACTTCTACTGGGCCAGGTGGTTCAGCTTGCTGACCAGGGAATACTGGAGGATGATAGGGGCGAAGCAACGAAACATGGAATACATCATGGATACCTGCCATCGTTCCTGGTAATTCCAATTTACAAGCATGAGAACCTACCTGCCGTACTACCTTGTACGGCCCACTTTGCTTCACATCTAACTTCTTCATTGGTCTTTTAGTCTTGATGTTCTCTAACGACAGCATTACTAGGTCACCTTCCACGAAGTTCGGCGTAGTCCGGTGTTTTCTATTGTATCCTTCGGCGTACTTCTCGTTAGCTCTCTCAATTCCCTCAATACATTCTTTATGTATTTCGGTTAGGTCTTTTACCACCACTGTAGCAGCAGGTGCCTCGACCTCACTGGCCTTAATCTCTTCAGCCCACCGAGGGTGGTACCCGTAGTTCGCATAGAATGGGCTCTTGTTTATCGCTGAATGATGGGTGTTGTTGTAAGCAAAGCTAGCTCGAGCAAGCAGCTTCGACCAGTCGTTCTGCTGGTAGGAAGTGAAGATTCGAAGGTATAATTCGAGGGACTGGTTGGTTCGTTCGGTCTGTCCATCAGTCTGTGGATGATACGCGGTAGAAAGATGTAGTCTTATGCCGAGACTATCGGTCAAGTTCTTCCAAAACTTCGAAGTAAACTTCAATCCTCTGTCCGATACTATACTCTCTGGTAACCCATGCTGGGCCACCACATAGTCCATTATCAGCTCAGATAGTCCAGCTGCGGTTAGCTTCGTCGTGGTTGGGATAAAAATGCCCCATTTGGTCAATCGGTCCACCACTACCAGGATGGAATTATATCCATGGGAATTCGGAAGCTCTTCAATGAAATCCATCGAGATGCTTGACCAGGGTTTAGTAGCCACTTGCAATGGTTTAAGCTCTCCATGGGGTTTCTGTCTGTTAGTCTTTGCTCTCTGACATACCGCACAGCCAGCGATATAATCTTCGACATCCTTCCTTACTCCAACCCAAACGTAATCCCTCAGGACAAGCTCGAGGGTCTTTGCTGAGCCTGGATGACCAGCTAGGGCCGAATCGTGTCGCATCTTCATGATCTTTAGTCGAGCATCGGCGTAGTTTGGCACATAAGTGCGATCGCCGAACGTGAGGAAACCCCTAGAGTTCCATCCTCCACGAAGTATTAGAGGGGATCGCGAACTACGGCGTAGTTCGGTGATTGATTCTGGTTCCTGTATGTCATCGTGACACGTTGGATGGGAACACTCAGCGCAAATGACTCCTAACAGCTCTTTTCTAACCCCCTCCACTTCTTCATCTTCCTGTATCCCAACAATCAGATCCATGGGATCAATAAGGTCATTCTCCCTTACTTCCTTTGTTCCTTGCAAGGCACGAAGTAGGTGTTGTAACCCAGAGTTAGTGCCGTCGAGTTTGTCGAACTTCGGCAACCCTTGAATAAGGTTGCTCTCTTGCACCATTGTACTTCCCTTTCCCGAGTGGTAGTCTGCTCTTCTCGATAGCCCGTCCGGTAGCGTAGCTTGTTTCCCAGGTCGATACACCATCTTAAACCTAAAGTTAGAAAGCTCTTCGACCCACCTGCCCTGCCTCGGGCTTAGCTGCTTCGGTTCCATCCAGTATGTCAAGTTCAAGTGGTCCGTGAGAACTGTAGTCTCTACCTGTAACAGTAAGTGTCTCCTTCTTCTAAAAGCCTCAACGATAGCTAGTAGTTCCTTCTCGCCTACCGTATAATTTAACTGCGCCGCTTGAAACGCTCCTGACTCAATAGCTACCGGATGTTCTTGTCCTAACTCGTTCACCTGCGATATTATGAAACCCCAGCCGAAGAACGACGCATCTGTCTGTAGTAATGTTTTCAACGAGGGGTCAAAGTGAGCCAGTACTGGGGCCCTACACATTCTATCCTTCAATTCTTTAAAGGCTCTTTCCTGCTCCATTCCCCAGACAAACGGTACATCCTTCCTTGTGAGATCATTGATCGGTTTAGCAATCCTGGAGAAGTTGGGGACAAAACGCCAATAATAACTAACGACTCCCATAAATCCTCTGCTCTCTCTTAGGTTCTTGGGGCGGGGAAAGGACACAACAGCGTCGATGTACTCCGGATTACTAGAAACTCCCTCCCGTGAGACCACAAAGCCCAAGAAGACTACCGAATCTCTTTCGAACTCGCACTTACTAGCCTTGACGAACAGATTCAACCTTCGAAGAACTTCGAACACTTTCGCCGTAGTTCCTCTCAATTCTTCCAACGTTTGACCATAGATGAGTATATCATCTATGTAGACAACTACTCCTTTCCCCAACAGTTCTCGGAAACTTTCATTCAGGAAATGCTGGAATACAGCAGGAGCATTTCGCAGACCATCTCGAACAACAAGAGACTCGAACATACCGTACTGAGTCCTGAACGCCGTCAAGTGTTCGTGTCCTTTCTTTACTCGTAGGAGTTGATAGGCTCCAATCAGATCTAGCTTGCTGAAATACCTCGCTTTTCCCAGCTCTTCGGTTATCTGCCCGATCAGAGGCAGTGGATAGGCGTCGGGTATCGTTGCTTCGTTTAATTTTCGGTAATCAATGACCATTTGCCATTGACCCTTTGCTTTCTTTGGTACCAAGAACATCGGTGATCCGTAGGGCGAATTACTGGGTCGAATTCTTCCGGCCGATGTTTCGCAATCTAGGATGTCTCTCAGCGCACTTCTCTGATCTTCTCCGAGGGAGTAGAGTGGAGCAGCCTTCAGGTTCGCCCCCTCCTTAAGGTCAAATTCTAGATCATATTCCCTTGAGGGAGGTGATTCTTCACCTCCCTTCCTCGGGTTAAACACATCAATGAACGGGTGATATTGTTCAGGAACCACCTGATACAATTCCTCCTGTTCCTCCGGACTCAGTTCATCCTGGTCATCTTTGTCTCGGAGATCTATCGCGTCCGTCGGAGTTGGCAGCCCTATGGCTGCTAACTTCGCCGCACTCGGTGGGGTTGGGATGGGGAACTTCACCGAGTTGTCTCTTCCGTCTAGAACAACCCCTTCCTTCCTCATCCAGTCCCACCCTATCACAACATCTGCATCGCAGAGCGTTGTTACATCTAGACGAAGAGATCGCACTTCGGCGTCCTTCGTCAAACTAAAACCAACTTCGACAAACTCGGTGATAGGTCCAGCGACACTAACCGAGCCATCAAACATGTGAACAGGTACGCTCACCTGGTATCGTCTCCTTCCTACACCTATCTTTGCCGCTGCCCTAGGGCTTATATATGAACAAGTAGCCCCAGTGTCCCAGAGCGTAGTTAGCTTAATTCCATTAATAAAAATGTCCGATTTAGGTTGATCTCTAGAAGTGGAAGAGATGAGTAGATGATTATCGACATTACATGAACAGGGGGTATTGAGTGGTGTATTTTTGTATGCACAATCCTCTGGCTCCATCAGCTGTGTCTCTTTTATAGGTTTGGGAATGGTGGGCGAGAGAATATGGCGGACCCGCCGAGCCTCGCCTACTGCGACAGGTCCTCTTCTTTTCCCTGGTCCTCTTCCATCTCTCCATCCCCTCCAACTGCGTTCAAGTTCCTCCTCTGTCCCAGAGGTACTGCGTTACCCCCCGATCCTCCACCACGTTCGCCGAGCTTCTCTCCCCACGGAGGTAACCATCCGACCTTTACCTTCGCTGCCCTCACCGGGCAATCCCTCAACCAATGTCCTCTCTCCCCGCACTCAGTACACTTCCCTTCTTTCTTCCTTGCCTCCCTCAGCTCGGGAGGTGGCCTGGGCCACTGTCGGCGAAGTTCGTCAGCATTTGACGGAATGCTCTTGACCTGCGTCGACGTAATAGTCGCTTGCACCGCAGACTGCGCCGAAGTTTGCCTCCCTTCCCCTCTTTTCTCCTCTTTCCTTTCCACCCTCTGGCTATCCACCACCAACACTTCCTTTACCCCCGTCTCCCTCTTCTTCTCCGCATCCTTCTCCACTTTCCTTCTCCACAACCTGTTGTCCATGGGGATAACAAACTCCAATAACTCCTTGACAGTCCCAAAAGATTTACCATGTCTAGCAATTTCATCTAGGAGGTGTGGTTTCAACCCTTTCTTGGCTCGGTCAACCAGGTTTCCGTCATCAGACCACTTGAGTATTGCCACATGTCGTTGAAAGGCGGAGAAGTACTCCGAAGCTGACCCAGTCTGCCTTAGATCATTAAGCAGTCGGGCTGCGGTTCCTTCTTCATCCGGGTCGCCAAAGTTGGTCTTGAGATATCTAACGAATTGGTTATACTCCCTAAGATAGTCAGGAAGAGGTCGTTTAGCAAGATCGGGTTGGACGGCGAGAAGAGGTGTTTCGCGTAAATGAGAGATCATGAAGAATACTTTCTTGGTGTCGTTGGGGAAAAGATGAGAGTTCAGTTCGTAATGGATTTCACATTCCGACAGAAATGCGGTCAACTTGTTCCTCTCTCCTCTCCAGAAGTCCGGATTAGGCAGTTTTATCCCCTTCCGTTGTTCGCCAACTACGCTTGGGGTCGCCGAAGTTTGCCGTCCCATGGCGTACCTCACCCCTTCTGATATCCCTTCTGCAATACCGCCCACCGTCTCCCTTTCTCTTCTCTGCTCCCACTCCTCCCTACGCCTTCTCTCTTCCATCATGTCTTTGTTCATATTCGCCACCATCTGCATCAAGGCCAATATCACCCCTTGTGTACCTTCTTCTCCCAAGTTCGCCGTACTTCCAGTGTTTTCTGGTCGCGGGGTTTGATCCGATCCAACTGGGGATCCTATAGGTGGGAGAGCATTACCCGAAGGGGTAACGTGATTCACCTACCAACGGAACACCCCCCCCTTCGGAACATCGAAATTTTTTTCATCTCACCTATACATGATGCATTGATTTCTCCTTTCTACCTCTACATACGCAACCATGCAGACGTCAAAGACACCCATTGAGCAAGCTATTGATGCCTTTCGGTCCCAGCTACTCCTTCCGCCAGAACAACAACTCTCTATTCGACAAATTGCCACACAATTCCAGGTTCCACACACCACTCTCAACGCTAGAGCTCTCCATGGCAGAGGTGATCGCCATACATCTGCTGCTCATCTTCAATCACTCACACCCCCAGAGGAGCTCGAGCTTGTCAACTACATCAAACGAGAAGCGCTCATTGGCTATCCGCTCACACCAAAACTTGTTGTTGAGGTTGCAGAAGCACTTCGCCGGAATCGCCTCACCCTGCAAGCAACCGAGACCGACTTTCCCATTCCCCCTCTCGGTCATAACTGGATCTCCAAGTTCCGAAAGCGTCATCCTAGTGTCAATAGTGTTTGGACCCGTCAGATAGACCGATCTCGGATTGAAGGGGTTCAAGCCAATAATATTATTCCATGGTTTGCGGAAATTGGGTCTTTGATGGAGGAGCACAAGTATAAGTCGTCTAATGTCTTCAATATGGATGAGACAGGGTTTGGAATAGGCACAACACAGTCGAGACGTGTTCTTGTGGTTATTGAGAAGGGAGAGGTTAGAGGGAAGGCAACAAAAGCAATGCCTGGAAGACAGGAGTGGGTGACCTTGATTGAGTGTATCTCAGCGGACGGAATTGCCCTTCCGCCGCTAGTGATCTTCAGAGGAGAAGCAGGCTTGAACTCAGGATGGCTTCCGACCGAACAGATCGCTGGAACTGAGGATTGGAGATGGAGCGCAAGCAAGACTGGCTGGTCAAACAACACAATGGCGCTGGAATGGTTGGAACGAGTGTTCATACCCATCACCTCACCCCCTCTTCCCCTGGATCCCTCCTCCGGTCTTCCTCTTGAACGTCGACTTCTCATCCTTGATGGCCATGGTAGCCATGTACAAGCTCGATTCATCGCCCTCTGTATCCAGAATTCCATCGATCTTGTCGTTCTTCCTTCACATTCATCTCATGCAACTCAACCACTCGATAAGGCTGTATTTGGACCGTTCAAGCAAGCCCTGTGTGATCAGACGGATATGTATAGTCGGCAGAATCGAGGTGCTGTCCATAAGGGTCGATGGGCTGATGGACTGGTCCTGGCACGATCTGCAGCGATGACTTCAAAGAATATCAAAGCCGGATTTCGAGAAACAGGCCTGTGGCCGTTCAGTCCTTCTCACGCTTTTCCTGACATTTACAACATGCTTCCATCTATCCCTTCTACTCCACACCACTCTCGCACCCTTTCCCGGACTCCCCACACTTCCATTGCTCTAGATAACTCGGAATTCATGCGCCAGCACGAAGCTATCCTACAAACACCAATCAAGAAACATGTGACAAGCTTGGTGCAGGCGTTGGCGGAAGGAGAGGCAGCGAAGGCTAAAGTTGTGATCTTGGAGAAGGAGATTAAGGAACTGGAGGCTGCACAGAAGTTGGCAAGGAAGCAGAAGCGAGGGGTAACGGTGAAGGACATGAAGACACATGTATTCACTCAGACGGAGGTGCTGGAGGCGATCAAGGGAATAGAGGCAGATCGGGCCGCTAAGAAGAGGAAGGGTAAAGGGAAAGCGGTTCCGGAGGAGACCGAAGATGCCATGGAAGACAATCCTTTTGTCTCAAGTGCTTAGGAAGCCGATATGCATGGTACAGATTATATATGTGAGGTGATATAGCACAGGAGTAAGGGCTCGTTCGGAAGGGGGGGGGGTTCCGTTGGTAGGTGAATTACGTTAGGAGGATTAGAAAACACTGGTGGAACGAACTCATCTCCTTGAATTGATCCCCCCACACTATCCTCCACCCCAAGCTCCTGCCCCATCGCTCTGCTAAGCTCCTCCAGTGCCCTCCTCTCATTCTCCTCCATCCTGTCTCCGTCCCTACTCATGCCTCGCGTAACTCTCCTATCTGGTTCCATAGAATCTTTGTACTTCTCCGAGGTTCGCACGGGTCGTCGGTAAGAGCGATCCTTGATACTGTCACGGCCGTCAAACAACTACCTTCTGGCAGACCGACGGTCGACGAACCTCGGCTAACTCGACGCTTCTGAATCGATGTCTCACCCAACCAGGAGGGCGCAGACGTCGAAAGGAGTGTAACTACGGCGTACTTCGGCGTAGTTACTCTAACTGGGGTTTTGTTCTACTGATGGCGATGTATCTTGATTTGTATATAGCTATCTCTATCTGTCTTTCTCTACTGACAACAATCAAGGATCGCTGAAGAACTTCAGCGATCTTCTCAGCTGATATTATCTACTCCTCCTAGACGTTCATCCAACACTCTCGCGCTTTGACGTACTTCAACGTACTTCGTCCAACTTCCCCGAGCCCTCGGCCATCCTCTTCCTCCTTCGACTAACTCCGCCTAAGATCGCCGCACTTCTGCTCCCATTGTCCCTACCTAGCCTAACTCCATCTAACTTCGCTGTACTTCTGCTCCCATTGTCCCTACTTAGCCTAACCCCGTCTAACTTCGCCGTACTTCTGCTCCCATTGTCCCTACCTAGCCTAACTCCATCTAACTTCGCCGTACTTCTGCTCCCACCGTCTCTACTTAGCCTAACTCCGTCTAACTTCGCCGTACTTGGTCTCAGAAGTCCTGAGTTACGTGTAGAGTAAAGAGGTTAAGGCGTGATGGGGTTTTGATGGCCAAAGGAGGGTCATTGTTGGTGGAGTAATCGAGGTGTCACGACGTAGTTCGTGACACTATGATATCCTACGTGATGCGCCGGAAGTCGGTGACTTTGTCGAAGGTGGTCGATGAGGAACTATGAGGAACTATGCAGAACATAGAAGAGCTGCGAGAACAAGAGACTGAGAGATTATGCCTTACAAGGCATCAGAACAGAGGAAAGAGAAACTAGAGAAGTACTTGGGGCTTATGCCTGTCAGGCATGAGAGCACAGGAAAGATAGTCTTGGGGTTGATGCCTGATAGGCTTGAGAGCAGAGGAAGATATGAGAGTGGAGGTTTGAACTTGTGATTATGACAAGTCATTATTTGATAGTGTCATTCATGACAGGAGCTCCCCCTCTAAGGGCGAAGTCCTCTGAGCCTTGATGACCTACGCTGAGATCTTTTGTTGTTGTCTTTTGTTGCTTGATGTGTATTCTGACGGTTTGCTTTGCTTGGAGGGAAATGATGAGTGGGATCCTTAAGGTGTTGTTTACGGAAGCTTTTATATGCTGTGGTGTGGTTGACATTTTCCCAGGGTTCCCATGAGTCATGGAAGCTGGAGTAGTCTCTCCAGTTGACAAGGTAGTCATAACCATTGTCTGCACCAATACGAGAGTCGAGGATTTGATTGACAATATATTCTTCTTGACCATTGACTTCAATGCACGGTGGAGGATCTTGGGGTTGTTCAGGATGACCCTTACGCATGGGTTCAAGAACTACGGCAAAATACAGCGGGAGAATAAGGTGTACGGGCATCTGAAGCATAGGGACGGCGAAGTGTGGTGAAGTTAGACGGAGTTACGTGGACTAGGGACAATGGGAGCAGAAGTGCGGCAAAGTTAGGGGGGTTAGTCAAAGGAGGAAAAGGATGGCCGGGACTCGGGGAAGTTGGGTGAAGTGCGTTGAAGTACGTCCAAGCACAAGAGAGTCTGATGAACATCTAGGAGGAGTAGATGATAATAGCTGAGAAGATTGCTGAAATTCTTCAGCAATCCTTGATCGTTGTCAGTAGTGAAAGATTGATAGAGATAGCTACATCCAAATTGAGATGCATCGCCATCAGTGAACCCTAGTTGAAGCCAACTTTGCGCACAACACAAAATCTCTTCACGCACAACACTGTCACGTGACTGGTTGTTAGGCATGCGGCAGGGCTAAGTTAGGCGCGCTTGGCTCATGCACGGACATTCCTTCTGACCCCTCTCTGTCCTCTGGTCAAAGTGAGAAACCCGTGATGATTGATTACTCATGATTAATGCATGCAACAATCTAGATTTTTATATGAGCATGTAGAGAACGTCCCCCTCTAGTGATGTGTGAAAATTTCAGACTCAAAGATGAAGAACTGACCGAGTTGGAGTGATGTCCCTTCTACCCCTTCTCCCCATGTATGTCTAGTCGTTCCATGGCCATGAGTCGTTGTTTGCTGGACGTTGGGTTGAGCTTTCTACTTGAAGGGGGTTATCGAGGGTGCCGAGAGCGATGGTCAGTGTTTTAAGATTGTAGCTACTGTTCTCTGAGTTGCAGAAAGTGACGATGTTGAAGACCTTGGTCAAGTGTATGAGAAGAGTGGAAAGGGGGATAAGCCATGTGGTTGCCGCGCCTAATTCCTTGGCCTGTGCATGCCTAACGGCCAATCACGTGATGATGTGCGTGAAGATATTTCGTGTTGTGCGCAAAGTTGGCTTCACCCTAGTTAGAGTAACTATGTCAAAGTACGCCGTAGATACACCCCTTTCAAAGTCTGCACTCTTCTGTTTGGGTGAGACATCAAAGCCGAAGTGTCAAGTTAGCTGAGGTTCGTCGACCCTCGGTCTGTTAGAGAGAGAAGTTATTCGACAGCTGTGACACTTTTGCTGGACACTGTCATTATCAATTTGGCACATGTTGCGTCCTTTGTGACAAAGAGCTAGTTACAATTGGGTTGACCAGTCTGGACATTCTTGCTCTCAGGTTACTAATTGTGTAGCCCATTTGTCAGGCCCATCTGGTGCTGCCATCTGGTATGCCCATTTGTCATGACCATTTGTTATTACCATTTGGCCTTACCATTTGTTCTTACCATTTGGCCTGATCTTATCATTCCTAATTCTTATAAGTCACTAATACGTTGAGTCCATACTTATTCTGAGTTATGATTACTGATTCATGACAGACATAGTCAGGATCATAGGTGGTGACAATGATAGAGAAAGAGTGAGCGTGTTCGGCGAGCGCCGACATCCACGTGGCTGAGCAGTGTCTTTGACAGCATTACTGAAGCCCCCAGGCCTATGTTAGTAGGGCCACGTGCTGTGGCGGGGTGTGCCCGAAGCGGCTCTCTCATAGCAGCTTCGTAGCATTGACACATCTCATCTATCTCTCTTCAGATGTATCAAATTCTATTTTGACTTCTTTCACTACCTGATTTTGGACTGATCTTCCATGCACTTTGCAAGGAACTCTCCTTGCACCTCCACTGTATTTGGTGCGCTCACTTTACAGCTTATATGCTGAGTCAAACTCCACTTTGAGAGGCCAACATAGGTTCTCCCATCTCGAATGGTAAGAAAAACCGGGATCTCTTGGCGGCGGCCGATGTCAGATGATAACTCTGCATTGGAGAGTTGGCTCGGCCAGAGCTGCCGCCGAGGCATTGCGATACACACACAGTCCTCCAACATGGTCTTGGTTTGGCTGTACTTCTGAGACTCAGCTTCAGATGTTGTATATAGCGGAACTTCCGTGACTTCATCTTGCACTGCTGATTGGGATGGTTTTGGATAGGATCCTATGCTGTTGAGATCCCAGCGTTCAGCGTGTACAATGTGGTCATCACTGTACCAGAAATCGCAAAAAATCTCATCCAAGGGCAAAAACGTTGTTGGGCCAGGTCTATTGTAGGAGAGAACCGCTTCCCGTACCGTGTCGTCGATGTAGGGGCGTAACTCAAAATCCTGGAATATATACGAGTGAAAAAGACGAAAGGGATATCCTACTCGAGGAGCTGTGTAACTCGACATGTAACCCTTAATATCTTCCTTCTGCACGTTTGCGGGGTAAGAAACATTGAGTATCTGAACCACTTGAAGTACCGAGCTGGGGGTTGTGCACGCTGGTGGGGAAGGAGGCTCCCCACACGAGCTGACATTGTGGACATGCTCAAGACAGTGGGTTGGGTTGTCAAGGATTCGCATCTGCCATTGTTGTTCAATCTTCAAGGTGGAAGGATCAATGGGACTATTATCCAGGATCTTTGAATCTTTGGGTCCTTGCTGGTACTCAAAGCATGTTAGAAAATTGTGTTCTGTATTGAAGTTTAACCAGGCCATTGTTCAAAAATTCAGGAAAGTCTGAGGGGTTGGACCCATCCATCCTATTTATGTTTCTCACACCCAAATATGTACAGCAATAACACGTCATGGGAAGAAGGAGGTATGACGTGGTGACCCGTCGACCGCACTGGTATGTCATCATCAAGAAAGAGACGAATGTGAGCGTGGGAAAGGTCCGACTTGATCGGACAGGCTCATTTCTCAGGAGACGCCCATTAATAGGGCTTCCATATGCCCTAACTCAGCCAAGAATCCTGAGATGCACGTCAGTCCATGACGCCATTGACGCTTGTGCATGTCAGTCTCGTTTACCCGTCATTTGTCTTCACCTTCATGATCCGTGCGCGGCAAGTTTGTTCGAAAACCCAATTCCTGTTGAATGGTGACCCGCCACACTGCGGAGTTATAAGGAGTTAGAGCGTGGGAAAGATGACTAAGGACTATGTATCCCCTGGATGATATATATCTAGATAGTTCTTCTAGATAGTTCTCTATGATCTTATGAATCCATACTAGGTCGTGAATTTCAACAATTCCGTCCGTTCTCGAGAACGTCTCGGAGGGGCGATATGGCAAATAAGCTTCCCAACGCATGCTAACCATGCAAGCTGCATTGGAACGAGCCGCTCGACCCTTCATCGGTGCTTTCTCCGGAGGGACGAGGTGAAAACATATCAGCCTGGATGTCAAGTGGTCAAGTGAGAGGTCACCCCCTCCGATGCCGGACGTGAGGGTATCGTCCCAATCTTTGATAGGACGGATGGCAGCAATGGGGGTGAGGAATCGTTGAGAATACCTTAAAGGGCGACAACATTTCTGGTTCTTTATGTAGCTCTTTTTCAGATTACTCATTCAGTGATTAGATGTCATGATCCTATCATAACACCTTAGTATACTGTACCTAGTCTTAGTAGATCCTTGTAGCTAAGGGGAGTGCCACCAAAGAACCGCTCAAGAACCCAAGATCAAACCACCTCTTAGAAGGGGTTTGGCGAGCTACTCTTAAAACAGGTTCAACGAGTTGCTCTTAGAATGGGTTCTGTAAGCGAACACCGAGAAGGGGGTTCAGAGAACCTCATAGAACTGGTTCAAGACCCGTTCGGAGGTAGATTCGCCACCCAAACAGGAGTTCTTTGGAAGAGGCCGAAAAGGATAAAAGGAGCCTTCCGGCCACCTTTCTCCCAAAGGATCAAATTATCAAAAGTTACTTCACTTGAACTCAAACCAATAACTAGCTTACTTGTTTCTTCAAGAACCTTGCACAACTTACCAGGTCCTTCCAAGTAGATTCACCACCTTCGACCAATTCACAAGTAGTGACTACTTCATTCCTTGTCGTCACACCCCTTGTAAATCTTCGCTTTCCAATCTTCTTACGTCAGCGAGGTCATCGTAGGACGGTTGGTAACATTAGACGTAAAAGTAATGCTTACCTCACCCACTTTCCTCCCAACAGTAGTCATAAGTACCCAACTTACTTTCCCTCTCATACTATCCTCCACAACACTCATATACAGTGCTTCACAAATCACCTTCTAGAACTGTCACTGCCGTTGATTAATGTCACGCGGCACCGCGTGACATCATCTTTTCCCATCAACAAGGTTCCTTTGGACATCAATTCGCCATCAACGATCCAGTTCTCATGAACTTCATCAGCCACGAGGGTATTAGGAGGCTAACTTCGTTGAGGACGAAGTTAGTCATGTAGGAAGTTAGGGAGATACGAGGTTAGGGAGATACAAGGTTAGGGAGATATGAGGTTAGGGAGATACGAAGTTAGTCATGTAGGAAGTTAGGGAGGCACGAACTTCGTCAGGGACAAAGTTCGTGAGGTACGAAGCTCGGGACTTCGGGTTGAACAAAGTTCTGTGTTGAAGAAGTTAGGGAAGGACGAAGTACTTAAGGGCCAAAGTTCCCAGAGATCTTTGACGATCTCTGGTTGTTGTCTTAGCGATAGAAGTTAGTAAAGTACGAAGTTATTACACCCAGAAGATATTGTCACCTATTTCATATTTCAAACAACGAGGTTGTCAAAGGTCGAAGCCCACGAAGTTATTGGCCGTCGGTCCTAGGAAGTTAACGAAGAAACAACCCCGTGACAATTAAGTTCTCTCTGACGGACCAACGGTCGACGAACCTCGGCTAACTTGACACTTCATACTCAATGTCTCGCCCAACCAGGAGGGTGCAGATGTCAAAAGGAGTGTAACTACGGCGTACTTCGACATAGTTACTCTAACTAGGGGTTTTTACTGATGGCAATGTATCTCAATTTAAATATAGCTATCTCTATCAATCTTTCACTACTGACAACAATCAAGGATCACTGAAGAACTTCAGCGATCTTCTTGGGTAATATTATCTACTCCTCCTAGATGTTCACCCAACCCTCTTGCGCTTAGACGTACTTCGACGCAGTTCGTCCAACTTGTCATACATCACCTATCTGCCACTTATCAAAGTGCTTTTGCGCAATCAGACACTTAAAACACATACCCCTGAATACCTCCACCTCCACCTCCACATGCTGGAAACTTCCACCATTGCCTCCACCTTTACTTCCACTTGCTTATCAAGCCTCCACACTCTGGAACATTCCGTGCCTGCCTCCACCTTCCCAAAGTAGTAACTCTGGTTGATTGCTAAGCAATCATCCATAGTCCGGAATATTCAGTGCCTGCCTCCACTTTCCCAAAGTAGTAATTCAGTCTGCTTGCTGAGCAATCCTTCCCACGTTTGCGCTTTCAAGTTTATTCCGTAGACATGTTGAGCAACCCGCTTGATGGGCATGAATACCCCCTCCAAACAGGTTGTTCCCCACCTATGGATCTTGTTGAAATTCACAATCTAGTATGGATTCATAAGATCTTAGAGGACTATCTAGAAGAACTATCTAGATATATATCATCCAGGGGATACATAGTCCTTAGTCATCTTTCCCACGCTCTAACTCCTAAAAACACCGCAGTGTGGCGGGTCACCATTCAACAGATCTTGTGTCAATCCAGTCAGTCCCAGCCTGACATCTTGCAGTCCCCTCAGTCCCCTCAGTCCCTTGTCACCCTCTGTATACTCCTCAAGCTCTACGAGCCAGAGACAAGTATTGGGTTACAGCCCCATTCCAGTCACCTTGCCTACCCTCTGGGGATTAGACCCCGTCCGTGACACAACTTCCCCGAGTCCCCGGCCATCCCTCTCCTCCTTTGACTAACTCCGCCTAACATTGCCGCACTTCTGCTTCCATTGTCCCTACTCAGCCTAACTCCGTCTAACTTTGCTGTACTTCTGCTACCATTGTCCTGTCACGAACTACGTCGTGACACCTCGATTACTCCACCAACAATGACCCTCCTTTGGCCATCAAAACCCCATCACGCCTTAACCTCTTTACTCTACACGTAACTCAGGACTTCTGACACCAAGTACGGCAAAGTTAGGCGGAGTTAGGCTAAGTAGGAACAATGGGAGCAGAAGTACGGCGAAGTTAGACGGGGTTAGGCTAAGTAGGGACAATGGGAGCAGAAGTGCGGCGATGTTAGGCGGAGTTAGTCGAAGGAGGAAGAGGATGGCCGAGGGCTCGGGGAAGTTGGACGAAGTGCGTTGAAGTACGTCAAAGCGCGAGAGGGTTGGATGAACGTCTAGGAGGAGTAGATAATATTAGCTGAGAAGATCGCTGAAGTTCTTCAGCGATCCTTGATTGTTGTCAGTAGTGAAAGACAGATAGAGATAGCTATAAATCAAGATACATCGCCATCAGTAGAACAAAACCCTAGTTAGAGTAACTACGCCAAAGTACGCCGTAGTTACACCCCTTTCGACGTCTGCGCCCTCCTGGTTGGGTGAGACATCGACTCAGAGCGTGAAGTTAGCCGAGGTTCGTCGACCGTCGGTCTATTAAGAAGTAGTTGTTCGACGGCCGTGACAGTATCAAGGATCGCTCTTACCGACGACCCGTGCGAACCTCGGAGAAGTACAAAGATAATATGGAACCAGAAAGAAGAATTACACGAGGGATGAGTAGGGATGGAGACAGGATGGAGGAGAACGAGAGGAGAGCATTAGAGGAGCTTAGCAGAGCAATGGGGCAGGACCTTGGAGTGGAGGATAGTGTGGGGGGATCAATTCAAGGAGATGAGTTCGTTCCACCGGTGCCTTCTAACCCTCCTTCTCCTCCGTCTAATGCTCTCCCACCTGCGGGATCCCCACTTGGATCAGACCAAACCCCACGCCCAAGAGAAAACACTGGAAGTACGGCGAACTTGGGAGAAGAAGGAACACAAGGGGTGGTGTTGGCCTTGATGCAGATGGTGGCGAATATGAACAAAGACATGATGGAGGAGAGAAGGCGTAGGGAGGAATGGGAACAGAGAAGAGAAAGGGATACAGTGGGCGGGATTGCAGAAGGGATATCAGAAGGAGTGAGGTACGCCATGGGACGGCAAACTTCGGCGACCCCAAGCGTAGTGGGCGAACAACGGAAGGGGATAAAGCTACCTAACCCAGACCTCTGGAGAGGAGATCGGAACAAGTTAACCGCCTTTCTGTCTGAGTGCGACGTACATTTCGAATTGAACTCTCATCTTTTCCCCGACGACACTAAGAAAGTCTTTTTCATGATCTCTCATCTACGCGAAACACCTCTTCTTGCAGTGCAGCCCGATCTATCCAAAAGACCTCTTCCTGAGTACCTCACGACACACGATCAGTTCGTTAAGTACCTCAAGACTAACTTTGGTGATCCAGACGAAGAAGGAACTGCGGCCCGACAACTTAACGACCTCAAGCAAACCGGGTCTGCTTCGGACTACTTCTCCGCCTTCCAGCGACATGTTGCGATTCTTAAGTGGTCTGATGATGGAAACCTAGTTGACCGAGCCAAGAGAGGACTAAAATCGCACCTTCTAGATGAAATTGCAAGACACGGTAGATCGTTTGGGACTGTGAAAGAGCTATTGGAGTTTGTGATTCCCTTGGACAACCGCCTGTGGAGGAGACAAGTGGAGAAGGAGGCAGAGAGGAAAAGGGAAGGAGGGATAAGGACAACGACAGTGGTGGAAAGTCAGAGGACGGAGAAGAAAGAAGAGAAGAAATGGGAAAAGGGGCAACCTTCGGCGCAGGGTGGTGTCCAGGCGGCTATGATGTCGACGGTGGTAAAGAGTACACCGCCAAACATCGACGAAGTTCGCCGAAGATGGCCTAGGCCGAGCTCCGATCTGAGGGAGACAAGGAGGAAGGAGGGGAAGTGTACTGAGTGTGGTGAAGCAGGACATTGGCTGAAGGAATGCCCTGTAAGGGAGGCTAAGGTTAAGGTTGGACTGTTGCCTCCATGGGGGGAGAAGTTCGGAGAACGTGGTGGAGGATCGGGAGGGAACGCAGTACCTCTCGGACAGAGGAGGAACTTGAATGCGGTTGGAGGAGAAGTAGATTTGGAAGAGGACCAGGGAAAAGAAGAGGACCTGTCGCAGTAGGCGAGGCTCGGCGGGTCCGCCATATTCTCTCGGCCACCATTCCCAAACCCATAAAAGAAACACAGCTGATGGAGCCAGAGGATTGTGAATACAAAAATACACCACTCAGTACCCCTTGTTCATGCAATGTCGATAATCATCTCCTCATCCCTTCCGTTTCCAGAGATCAACCTAAATCGGACATTTTCATTAATGGAATAAAGCTAACTACGCTCTGGGACACTGGAGCTACTTGTTCATATATAAGCCCTAGGGCAGCAGCGAAGATAGGTGTAGAAAAGAGGCGATATCAGGTGAGCGTACCCGTTCACATGTTCGACGGCTCGGTGAGTGTCGCTGGACCCATCACCGAGTTTGTCGAAGTCGGATTTAGTTTGACGAAGGACGCCGAAGTGCGATCTGTTTGTCTCGATGTAACAACGCTCTGCGACGCAGATGTTGTGATAGGGTGGGATTGGATGAGGAAGGAAGGGGTTGTCCTTGATGGAAGAGACAACTCGGTGAAATTTCCCATCCCAACCCCACCAAGTGCGGCGAAGTTAGCGGCCATAGGGCTCAGGACCCGAACCGACGAGACAGACCTCCGAGGCGAAGATGAGCTTGAAGAGCTGAGCCCGGAGGAACAAGACGAGTTGTTCCAGGTAGTTCCTGAGCAATACCACCAGTACATTGACGTGTTTAATCCGAAGAAGGGAGGAGAGACCCTTCCCCCTCCGAGGTCCTACGATTTGAAGTTTGAGCTTAAGGAGGGGGCGAACCTGAAGGTCGCCTCCCTCTATGCTCAAGGAGAAGATCAGAGACGCGCGCTGAGAGACATACTAGATCGCGAAATCGCCGCTGGCCGAATTCGAGCAAGTAACTCGCCGTACGGCTCACCGATGTTTATGATACCGAAGAAAGCCGAGGGACAATGGCGAATGGTCATCGACTATCGAAAACTGAACGAAGCGACCATACCAGATGCCTACCCTCTCCCTCTAATAGGTCAAATTACCGAAGAACTTGGAAAAGCAAGGTATTTCAGCAAACTAGATCTAATTGGAGCATACCAATTGTTGAGGGTGACAGAGGGACATGAACACCTGACGGCGTTCAGGACACAGTATGGTATGTTTGAATCTCTGGTTGTTCGTGATGGGCTGCGAAACGCCCCCGCGGTCTTCCAACACTTCCTAAATGAGGTGTTTAGAGAGCTACTAGGGAATGGAGTCGTGGTCTACATTGACGATATCCTCATTTATGGGAATACGTTGGAGGAATTACGAGGAACTACGGCGAAGGTCTTTGAGGTACTGCGGAAGGCGAGCCTGTACGTGAAAGCTAGTAAGTGCGAGTTCGAAAGAGATTCGGTGGTGTTTCTGGGTTTCGTGGTATCCTCTAAAGGTGTATCGGTGAACCCAGAATACATTGATGCCATCACTTCCTTCCCACGTCCTAAGAATCTACGAGAGTCAAGGGGATTCATTGGAGTTGTAAGCTATTACAGGCGCTTTGTCCCCAACTTCTCGAAGATTGCTAGACCTATCAATGACTTGACAAGGAAGGAGGTACCATTTGTATGGGGAGTCGAACAGGAGTCAGCCTTCAAAGAGTTGAAGGCTAGGATGTGTACTGCGCCGGTATTAGCCCATTTTGACCCTACATTGAAGACGATATTACAGACAGATGCGTCGTTCTTCGGCTGGGGGTTCATAATTTCGCAGATCAACACGGCTGGTCAAGAACACCCGGTAGCTATTGAGTCTGGTGCTTTCAACACAGCTCAGCTGAATTATACGGTAGGAGAAAAGGAGTTCCTCGCTGTAGTGGAGGGTTTCAGAAGAAGGAGACACTTATTATTGCAGGTAGAAACCACAGTACTTACCGACCATCTAAACCTTACCTACTGGATGGAGCCGAAACAACTCAGTCCTCGGCAAGGTAGGTGGGTAGAGGAGCTAGCTAACTTCAGGTTTAAAATGGTTTATCGGCCAGGAACCCAGGCAAGTCTTCCAGATGGATTATCTAGACGGGCGGACTATCATTCCGGGAAAGGAAGTACCATGGTACAAGAGAGCAACCTTATCCAAGGTCTGCCGAAGTTCGACGAAGTTGACGCCACCACGTCGGAGTTGCGTCACCTCCTTCGAGCATTGCAAGGGACAAGGGAGGTAAAGGAAAATGATCTTGTGGACCCTATGGATCTAGTACTTGGAGTTCAGGAGGACGAAGACATAGAAGGGGTCAGAGAAGAATTATTAGGAGTTGTTTGCGCTGAGTGTTCTCATCCTACGTGTAACGATAACGTGCAGGAACCAGGATCAATCACCGAACTACGCCGTAGTTCGCGGTCTCCTCTAATCCTTCGTGGGGGGTGGAACTCAAGAGGTTTCCTCACATTCGACGATCGCATTTATGTGCCGAACTACGCCGATGCTCGGCTGAAGATCATGAAAATGCGACATGACTCGGCCTTAGCTGGTCACCCAGGTTCAGCGAAGACCCTTGAGCTAGTTCTAAGGGACTATGTCTGGATTGGAGTAAGGAAGGATGTTGAGGACTACATCGCTGGATGCGCGGTATGTCAGAGGGCAAAGACTAACAGACAGAAACCCCATGGAGAGCTTAAACCACTGGAGGTAGCTACGAAACCTTGGTCTAGCATCTCGATGGATTTTATCGAGGAGCTGCCAAATTCCCATGGATATAATTCCATCCTGGTAGTGGTGGATCGGTTGACCAAATGGGCCATTTTTATCCCGACTACGACGAAGTTAACCGCAGCCGGCCTATCAGAGTTGATATTGGACTATGTGGTGGCCCAGCATGGGTTGCCAGAGAATATAGTATCGGACAGGGGATCGAAGTTTACCTCCAAGTTCTGGAAGAATTTGACCGATAGTCTCGGAATAAGACTACATCTCTCTACTGCATATCATCCACAGACTGACGGACAGACCGAACGAACCAACCAGTCTTTGGAACTGTATCTTCGAATCTTCACCTCCTATCAGCAGAACGACTGGTCAAAGCTACTCGCTCGAGCTAGCTTTGCTTACAACAACACCCAGCACTCTGCGATAAACAAAACCCCATTCTATGCGAACTATGGGATATCACCCTCGTTGGGCTGAAGAGATAAAGGCTAGCGAGGTCGAAGTGCCCGCTGCTACGGTGGTGGTAAAGACTTGACTGAAATACACAAAGATTGTATCGAAGGAATTGAGAAAGCTAATGAGAAGTACGCCGAAGGATACAATAGGAAACACCGGACTACGCCGAACTTCGCGGAAGGAGACCTAGTGATGCTGTCGTTAGAGAATATTAAGACGAAGAGACCAATGAAGAAGTTAGATGTTAAGCAAAGTGGGCCGTACAAGGTAGTACGGCAGGTAGGTTCTCATGCTTGTAAATTGGAATTACCAGGAACGATGGCTGGTATCCATGATGTATTCCATGTCTCCTTGCTCCGTCCTTATCACCCTCCAATATTTCCTGGTCAGCAAGCTGAGCCACCTGGGCCAGTAGAAGTAGACAATGTGGGAGAGTCTTGGGAGGTAAAGGATATTGTGGACTCTAGAGTAAATAAGAGGTCAGGAAAGTTAGAGTACTTGGTGGAGTGGTTAGGTTACGAAGGAACAGACGATTCAGTATCATGGGAACCAGTGGAGAACGTCGATGGAGCTGATGACATATTGGCGAAGTTCCACGAACTTCACCCTACTAAGCCGAAAGAAGGGCGACTGCGAAGGGCTAGGAGATAGAACGTACTGCATACAACATGGGATTACAGCTACGTACCGCTCACTTGTCCTTACTCTTACCCTTATCTTTTCCTTTTCCTTTCTCCTTCGATCTACTCGGTCCCGCGGGATTGGTGTGGAGGCTACCGATGACCGAAGGTAGATCGAGAGTCTCCGACGGGAACGCAGTAGAGAGAGAAGCATTCCATGCCCGATTCATAGCCCCGAAGAAGTCACCGAAGTCCTGGACATCTCGAGCAGCTTGCATGCTCGGAGTCCTCCACAGAGAACGTATGGTCCGTAGACACTCGAAGGGAAGACTGAGGAGGTCGAGAGCAGTCTGGGCGGAAGCTGGGACACGAGAACTACTACGGCGACCTAACCAGTCAAGGGACGGTGGTGGCTCATACGCCATAGGAGTGACTAGGAAGGGGGTGTCGAACAGTCTTCGGCGAACATCGGCTATCTCAGTAAGGCTTCGGCGAGAGACGTCCGCTAACCTCGTCCTTGCTCCGTCGTCCAGAGCCCCAGTGTTGACTACATCTACTAACGCCGCAGTGAGGTTGTTTAAAGCGTTAGCTTGACGAGAAGAGAAGTCAAGCAGGAGAGATGTATCATTTCGGGCGGCCTCGAGCTGAGTAGTGAGACCGAGGACGAGAGAACGATAAGTGGCGAATTCCTTTTCGTCCTCAGGAATACGGACGTCCAGGGAGATACGAGGGTGGACGAGGGACAACCGGGGAGCAGAGGGACCAGCACGCTGAGTATCTTCACCTTCCACATCACCATCATTGAAGGCAACCTCCTTCTCTTTAGATTTCCCTTTTGATTTCTTTAAAGAAGACTTCGGTGTCTTCTGGGAAGCAGAGGGAGGGGTGACGGGAGGGGCCGCCGAAGTGGCCGGAAGAACAGAAGGACGCCGACTTCGGGTGCTGTGAGCCGGAGGAGAAGCTACCACTGGAGAGGACGGACGTGGCGCCGAAGGACGAGAGGCCGAAGGACGAGAGGCCGAAGGACGGGAGGCCGAAGGAGCAGAGGCCGAAGGACGGCGAGAAGCCGGCCACAGGAGCGAAGGGCGACGGCGACGGAGGCGACGGGCGGAGGTCCGGCGAAGTACGGCGAACCGACCGGAGAGACGAAGGAGGTACCCGCGAACGGGGGACAGACGCTGGAGTCTGAGGAGGGGGGAAGGGCGAAGAGTCGGAGGGACGGGGCGGGATGTCCCGGGCAGAGGAAACGGGACAGAAGGAGCAGGGGCCAGACGTGCATGAAGCACAACGGAGGGCCTTGTTGTGTGGCCTGACTGCCTTGAGGCAGGGCCAGTTTGGACGATTATACGTGATAATCTCACGTCTACTAATTAGCAGGAGTAACTTCGGCGTAGAACGAATAGGTGGACTCACCGACAACGATCACATGCTTCGTCAACACCAACCGCGATCCAACGACCAGGCTCGGACTTCATCTTCTCCCACAAGTACTCTTCTTCCCGCAGTGATCTCTTCACCCGTTTGGGCGAAGGCTCCCCTCTGGGAGAAGGGGGGGGAGCAGCGACGGGGGCAGCGGCAGCAGGACCGGCGGCGGCGGCGGCGGGGGCGGCAGAGCGGGCGATGGCGGCGGCAGGGCGGGCGGCGGCAGCAGCGGCGGCAGCGGCGATGGCGTTGGGGGGGGGGAGAACCCCGGAAGAGGAAGAAGAAGAGGAAGAAGAAGAAGAGGAAGAAGAAGAAGAAGAGAGGGAACGGCGTCGTTTCTGGCCCACAATTTGAGCAGGGGGAGGGGCAGGACCGGCTGCGAGTTAGCAATGTCTTGGAGAGCTAAAGAACAGATAAACAAGGCCAAGTTCGGCGAAGGTGTGAGGGGTTGGACGAAGAACTCACGCTCAGGACTATCTACGTTGTTGTCCTCTACACTAATCACCTCCACATCATCATCCGGGTATTCTTCTAACTCGCTTTCACCCTCACTATCGATCCTACCCTCCCCATCATCATCATCCTCACTTTCTTCGGTGTCGGGTCGATCACCCGACTCCGAGCCCCCACTGAGCGAGTCCTGGTCGGAGGAGGACGGATCACCAGGACGAAAGGCGGGCGTCCTACGGCGAGGAGTGGCGGCAGGAGGAGGCCCTCCAGGAGAACCCGTTACGGGGACGGGAGAACCAGACACGGGGGAGGGAGAACCAGCGGAGGGAGAGGCGGAGCGAGGGGGCGGGGCAGCGCCAGACGGCTCCCCCAGAGAGAGAGTGCCGAGGCCGAGGGAGGAGACTTGGCGAGATCTGTCGCCGAAAGAAACTGAACATCAGCCAAGTTCGGCGAGGTAGGGTGAGTATCGATGAAAACTCACGAACAGATGACACCATACCACCAAAGTTCCTCATGGCGGCGAAAGGGCTGGGTGTAGGAGTAGAAGGGGCCATGACGTTAAGATATTTAAATGAGAATAAAACTCGAGGCGATGATTCAAGGTAACAAATCTGTTTTCTAGGTAAGAGAGATAGAAAGTTTTGAAAGCAGATGGGAAAAAGAGAGAAGCTCGACGAACTGCTCAGTATTTAGTATAATCAAACCTAACCCCTCGTCGTCAACATGCAGCAAACTTCGCGTTTCATCAACAAAAGGCATCGCAGGGACGATCAAAATTCCCACGCTATAGTGTCTCATCTCAATATAAGCGAGGGTTACTTCGACAAACAACGGTGTTGTTGGGCTGCCATTCAGGAAGCGTGTCTCACTGTTACGGGGTAACAACGAATCGAGAGGACTCTATCGAGTTCGACGGATTAGGACAGAGGAAAGCGGGAGTTGGAGGCAGTGCTGCAGTAGGTAGGGACGGGTTTTCCCTTTTCGAGATTTCCCCACTGGGTTTGCTCAAAAGCGGTTTTTCACCTGTCCGAGTATGTACATAGACGCTTGCAGTAGGAACTGAGAGGAGGACACGGATACCCGTAGACAGTATATAGTACAATCAGCAAAGTACCAACTTTGCTGATTCTTCAATATCATTCTTTGGCTACATCGATTGCAGAGGAGACACGATCCATTAGCACCAGAGCCCCTAGATTTCCACGAGACCTCCATCGAGTTCGACCCAACCTGCGACCTAGTCGTCGTGTTTCCAGTACCGTTACACTCACCTACAAAAAAAAAAAAAAAAAAGACACAGGGCTTCTTACGGCAAACCTCGACGAAGTTAGGGGAGTCTCATTGTCGGGTTCTGGAGTGAAAGGAGGCCCAACTACAAAGTGCGGCGCAAAGAGCAGAAGAGTGGAGGATGGTCATGGGGAGGGAGAGAATGGGGGTACTACGCTGCTAAGTTCTCTTGCCACGACAGAGGTGTAATCGCTCACGAGGACGTTCGCGGCTAAAGAAGGGGGCAACTGTCACGAACTACGTCGTGACACCTCGATTACTCCACCAACAATGACCCTCCTTTGGCCATCAAAACCCCATCACGCCTTAACCTCTTTACTCTACACGTAACTCAGGACTTCTGACACCAAGTACGGCGAAGTTAGGCGGAGTTAGGCTAAGTAGGAACAATGGGAGCAGAAGTACGGCGAAGTTAGACGGGGTTAGGCTAAGTAGGGACAATGGGAGCAGAAGTGCGGCGATGTTAGGCGGAGTTAGTCGAAGGAGGAAGAGGATGGCCGAGGGCTCGGGGAAGTTGGACGAAGTGCGTTGAAGTACGTCAAAGCGCGAGAGGGTTGGATGAACGTCTAGGAGGAGTAGATAATATTAGCTGAGAAGATCGCTGAAGTTCTTCAGCGATCCTTGATTGTTGTCAGTAGTGAAAGACAGATAGAGATAGCTATAAATCAAGATACATCGCCATCAGTAGAACAAAACCCTAGTTAGAGTAACTACGCCAAAGTACGCCGTAGTTACACCCCTTTCGACGTCTGCGCCCTCCTGGTTGGGTGAGACATCGACTCAGAGCGTGAAGTTAGCCGAGGTTCGTCGACCGTCGGTCTATTAAGAAGTAGTTGTTCGACGGCCGTGACATGTCCCTAGTCCCCCTAACTCTGCCTAACTTTGCGGCACTTTGCCAATCTTATGCTCCAGACCCCGGTATACCTTATTCTCCCGTTGTACTTTGCGGTAGTTGGTCTCAGGTGTCCTGAGTTACGTGTAGGGTGGAGAGGTTAAGACGTGATAGGGATTTTGATGGGCAAAGGAGGGTCATTGCTGGTGGAATAATTGAGGTGTCACAACGTAGTTCGTGACAAGAACCTTCCCTTTCCATACTTCTCAGAACCACTCTTCTTATCCCCTCCTACCCCATTTTTGACCGTCCGACCTTCATTTTCCCCATGCAACCAACGGACAAACTGCATTGTCCATGCTAGTTCTTGCCCTTCATCCTGAGCATAAAATTTACTCCAATCACCTTCATCAACTTGAATGTATTCCCTTGCTTTCTTCTTGAACTGAGACAATACATCGTCACAAACCACGTCGTAACATCCCTGACAACTACCATCACCAACCCTCCTTTCACCATCACCGAACCACTATCCATCACCAACCACCACCCAAACCACTACCCATCACCAACCACCACCCAAACCACTACCCATCGCCAACCACCACCCAAACCACTGAGACTGACTACGGCAAAGTTACGAGAACCGAGAGGGTATTTGTCACGATAACCCCGCCTAGCGGAGAACTACGGCCAGGTTAGGAGAAGGGAACCGAGGGAGAGCAGAGCAGGGGAAGTGTCACAAACTACGTCGTGACACCTCGATTATTCCACCAACAATGACCCTCCTTTAACCATCAAAACCCCCATCACGCCTTAACCTCTTTACTCTACACGTAACTCAGGATATCTGAGACCAACTACGGCGAAGTACCACGGGAGAATAAGATATACGGGGGTCTGGAGCATAGGGACAACGAAGTACGGCGAAGTTAGACGGAGTTAGGCTAGGTAGGGACAAAGGGAGCAGAAGTACGGCGAAGTTAGACGGAGTTAGGCTAGGTAGGGACAATGGGAGCAGAAGTACGGCGAAGTTAGACGGAGTTAGGCTAGGTAGGGACAATGGGAGCAGAAGTGCGGTGATGTTAGGCGGAGTTAGTCGAAGGAGGAAGAGGATGGCCTGGGACTCGGGGAAGTTGGACGAAGTGCGTTGAAGTACGTCAAAGCGCGAGAGGGTTGGATGAACGTCTAGGAGGAATAGATAATATTAGCTGAGAAGATCGCTGAAGTTCTTCAGCGATCCTTGATTGTTGTCAGTAGTGAAAGACAGATAGAGATAGCTATATACAAATCGAGATACATCGCCATCAACAGAACAAAACCCCAGTTAGAGTAACTACGGCGAAGTACGCCGTAGTTACACTCCTTTCAACGTCTGCGCCCTCCTGGTTGGGTGAGACATCAACTTAGAAGCGTCAAGTTAGCCGAGGTTCGTCGACTGTCGGTCTGTTAGAAAGTAGTTGTTCGACGGCCGTGACAGTTGGTAAGTTGTTGGATCGTCTGTTTACTTGCTGTTTCTTCCCATGCAGATTCAAAGGGTCCCCAATTGTCACGAACTACGTCGTAACATCCCTGACAACCACCATCACCAACCCTCCTTTCACCATCACCGACCTTCCTTTCACCACTACCAACCTCCACTCGAACCACTGAAACCAACTACGGCTAAGTTACGAGAACCAAGAGGGGATTTGTCACGATAACCCCGCCTAGCGGGGAACTACGGCGAAGTTAGGGGAAGGGAACCGAGGGAGAGCAGAACAGGGGAAGTTAGGCGAAGTTAGTCAAAGTGAGCGGAGTAGGATATCGGGGATATGGCGAGGTACGGCAAAGTTGAACGAAGAGGACTGAGCGTGAGGCAGTGCAGGAGTTGAGGGACATTCTACGAGAAGAGAGGAGTAGTATAGATAGTTTACAGATCGCTGAACTTCTTCAGCGATCCTTGATTGTTGTCAGTAGCGAGAGATATATTCAGTAGCTACAACCTTCGAGTTAAGGAGAGCTACCACCGAGCAGTTCAACGTACTACGGCGAAGTTAGCCGTAGTTCATCGACGATCATCTTATCATTCACCACTCGACGTATTACTACGGCGAAGTTAGCCGTAGTTCCTCGACGAGTACCCTGTCTTAGTGAGACATCGACGCCCCACTACGACGTAGTTAGCCGAGGTTTGTCGACCGTCGGTCAGTAGAGAAGAAGAAACGACGATTGTGACAGTATCAAGGATCGCTGAAACCGACGACCCGTGCAAACCTCGGAGAAGTTCGAGATTGTATGCAGCCAGAGAGGAGAGTTACAAGAAGTATGAGTAGACCAGGAGAAACAGTAGAGGAGACGGAGAGGAGGATGTTGGAGGAATTAAGACAAAGCTTGGGACCATTGCCTGGTGCAATTGATACCCCCGAAGGATCAACTCAAGGCGATGATTTCTATCCACCCCTGCCTTTTGAACCACCTCCCCAACAAACCGGACTACCAGAACCACCAGCGGTGAGGACAGGTTCCGAAGATTCGGGACAGACCCCACGACCAAGGGAAGGGAACACAGGAGGTAGGCTAAGTTCGGCCGGGAGCGAAGTAGTAGGAGGAACTGAGGAGGAGGTCACAACACAGAAGATGATGCTGGCAATAATGAACATGATGATGGAGATGAATAAGGATATGATAGCAGAGAGGAAGCGTCGAGAGGGGCAGGAGAAGAAGAAGGAACAGGAGACGGTTGGGGGAATAGTCGAGGGGATCTCGGAGGGGGTACGGCTCGCCATTGGAAGGCAAGCTTCGGCGACCCCAGGAGTTGCTGAGATGAGTGGAGGGATAAAGCTTCCCCTCCCAGACCTGTGGAGGGGCGAGAGGTCAAAGCTCACAGCATTCATCTCAGAATGTGAAGTCCATTTCGAAATCAACGCCCGGAAGTTCCCCACCGACCGAGTAAAAATCTTTTTCATGATCTCCCATCTACGTGAAACTCCTCTTCTTGCTGTCCAACCGGACTTACCTAAGGACGATCCCCCCGAACACCTTCTAGACTATAAGAAGTTCATCCAATATCTCAAAACCAATTTTGGAGATCCTGACGAAGAAGGAACCGCCGCAAGGGGAATAAACGAGCTTCGGCAGAATGGGTCGGCTTCGGCGTACTTTGCCGCCTTTCAGCGATATGTAGCGGTGTTAGGATGGAGCGATGATGGAAACCTCGTGGACCGAGCGAAGAACGGACTGAAAAGCCATTTGCTGGATGAAATCGCCCGCCATGGAAAAGTTTTCAAGACCGTCCGAGAATTAATCGAGTTCGTGGTCCCCATGGACAATCGCTTGCATCAACGAAAGGTGGAGAAGGAGAATGAGAAGAAGAGGAAGGAAGTGAAGGAACAGGGGGAGAGGAGAGAGGAAGTAAATCGAGGAGGGGAACGGGGGAGCCAGGAGAAATGGCAATCTACGGCGAAGATAGAGGGCGTGCAGCCTAAGGGCACGAACGGGGGAAGGGCGATACCAACGGATGTAGACGAACTAAATCGTCGTTGGCCGAGACCCAGTGCTGATGAGGTTTTAAAGCGTCGAGAGGAAGGGAAGTGTACTGGATGTGGAGAGAGAGGGCATTATAACCAGGATTGTCCTGTAATAGCGGCGAAGGTCAAAGCAGGGATCATCCCCTTGCGATCTTTTGGACAAAATGCTGGAGGAGAAGGGAGATTTAGCACGGGGGGGAACGCCGTCCCTCTTGGGGACAGGAAGAAGATCAATGCTGTCGGAAGGGAGGAAGCATGTGTTGAAGAGCGGGGGATGGACGAGGAGGAAAAAGATGGGGACCCGTCGCGGTAGGCGAGACTTGGCGGGTCCGCACTCATATTCTCTCGGCCACTATCCCTACCCCCAGTAAAAGGAAAGAGCTGATGAGACCAGGTAAATGTGTATATAAATCCGTAAACACCACTCCGAAATGTATAAACGACTGTCATACCCTAATCCCTTCCACCTGTAACAACCAACCCAAATCTAATGTGTATGTCGACGGAGTTGAACTAACGGCCTTGTGGGACACTGGAGCGACCTGTTCGTATATAAGTCCCAAGGCGGCCAGGAAGATTAGGAAGGAGAAGAGGAAATACCCCGTGAGTGTACCAGTTCACATGTTTGATGGCTCGGTTAGTGTGGCTGGACCCATTACGGAGTTTGTCGAAGTGAGTCTGGGTGTCGAGAAGTTAGGCCAGGTTCGGCCAATTAAGCTGGATGTTACCACCCTTTGCGACGCGGATGTCGTGATAGGATGGGAATGGATGAGAGAAGAAGGGGTAATCCTGAATGGGGGAGCGAATATGATATCCTTCCCTATTCCCCAGACGAACAATAAGGAAAGCGCAGTGTCCTTTCCCCTACCCTTGCCGAGTGAAAGGGAAGAGTTATCCTCTCCCTTTCCACAGACGAAAGATGTTGCGGTCCTGGCAGCCATAGGGCTCAGGACCCGAACCGACGAGACAGACCTCCGAGGCGAAGATGAGCTTGAAGAGCTGAGCCCGGAGGAACAAGACGAGTTGTTCCAGGTAGTTCCTGAGCAATACCACCAGTACATTGACGTGTTTAATCCGAAGAAGGGAGGAGAGACCCTTCCCCCTCCGAGGTCCTACGATTTGAAGTTTGAGCTTAAGGAGGGGGCGAACCTGAAGGTCGCCTCCCTCTATGCTCAAGGAGAAGATCAGAGACGCGCGCTGAGAGACATACTAGATCGCGAAATCGCCGCTGGCCGAATTCGAGCAAGTAACTCGCCGTACGGCTCACCGATGTTTATGATACCGAAGAAAGCCGAGGGACAATGGCGAATGGTCATCGACTACAGAAAACTGAACGAAGCGACCATACCAGATGCCTACCCTCTCCCATTAATAGGCCAGATTACCGAAGAACTTGGAAAAGCAAGGTACTTCAGCAAACTAGACCTAATTGGGGCGTACCAATTGTTGAGGGTGACAGAAGGACATGAACACCTGACGGCGTTCAGGACACAGTATGGTATGTTCGAATCTCTTGTCGTTCGTGATGGGCTGCGAAACGCCCCTGCTGTCTTCCAACACTTCCTGAACGAGGTGTTTAGAGAACTGCTAGGGAATGGAGTCGTGGTCTACATTGACGATATCCTCATTTATGGGAATACATTGGAGGAATTACGAGGAACTACGGCGAAGGTCTTTGAGGTGCTACGGAAGGCGAACTTGTACGTGAAAGCTAGTAAGTGCGAGTTCGAAAGAGATTCGGTGGTATTCCTGGGTTTTGTGGTTTCCTCTCGAGGTGTATCGGTTAATCCAGAGTACATTGACGCCATCACATCCTTCCCACGTCCAAAGAATCTACGAGAGTCGAGGGGTTTCATTGGAGTCGTGAGCTATTACAGGCGTTTTGTTCCCAACTTCTCGAAGATTGCTAGACCTATCAATGATTTGACGAGGAAGGAGGTACCGTTTGTGTGGGGAGCAGAACAGGAGTCAGCCTTTAAAGAATTGAAGGCTAGGATGTGTACTGCGCCGGTGTTAGCTCACTTTGACCCCACATTGAAGACCATATTACAGACAGATGCCTCGTTCTTCGGCTGGGGTTTCATAATTTCGCAGATTAATACAGCTGGGCAAGAGCACCCAGTCGCCATCGAGTCAGGCGCGTTCAATACGGCCCAACTAAATTACACGGTAGGAGAAAAGGAGTTCCTCGCCGTAGTTGAGGGTTTCAGAAGAAGAAGACACTTACTACTGCAGGTAGAAACCACGGTCCTTACCGACCATTTAAATCTCACTTACTGGATGGAACCGAAGCAACTCAGCCCACGTCAAGGTAGGTGGGTAGAAGAGTTAGCTAACTTCAGATTTAAAATGGTTTATCGACCAGGGACTCAAGCAAGCCTTCCAGACGGGTTGTCTAGACGGGCGGATTATCACTCGGGAAAAGGAAGTACCATGATACAAGAGAGTAACCTTATTCAAGGTCTGCCGAAGTTCGACGAAGTTGACGCCACCACGTCGGAGTTGCGCCACCTCCTTCGAGCCTTGCAAGGGACAAGGGAAATGAAGGAAAAGGATCTTGTTGACCCTATGGATCTGATGCTTGGAGTACAGGAGGACGAAGACGTAGAGGAGGTTAGAGAGGAGTTATTAGGAGTTATCTGCGCTGAGTGTTCTCATCCGACGTGGCACGATGATGTACAGGAACCAGGATCAATCACCGAACTACGCCGTAGTTCGCGATCTCCTCTAATACTTCGTGGGGGGTGGACCCGGAGAGGTTTCCTCACATTCGACGATCGCACTTATGTGCCGAACTACGCCGACGCTCGACTAAAGATCATGAAGATGCGACATGACTCGGCTTTGGCTGGTCACCCAGGTTCGGCGAAGACCCTTGAACTAATCCTAAGGGATTATGTTTGGGTTGGAGTAAGGAAGGATGTAGAAGACTATGTCGCTGGTTGTGCGGTATGTCAGAGAGCTAAGACTAACAGACAGAAGCCTCATGGAGAACTTAAACCCCTACAAGTAGCGACAAAACCTTGGTCAAGTATCTCGATGGATTTCATCGAAGAGCTCCCAAATTCCCATGGATATAACTCTATCTTAGTGGTCGTGGATCGACTGACAAAATGGGCCATGTTTATCCCAACCACGACGAAGTTAACCGCAGCTGGACTATCGGAGCTGATAATGGACTATGTGGTGGCTCAGCATGGGTTACCAGAGAGTATAGTATCAGACAGAGGATCGAAGTTTACTTCGAAGTTTTGGAAGAACTTGACCGATAGTCTCGGGATAAGACTACATCTTTCTACCGCGTATCATCCACAGACTGATGGACAGACCGAACGAACGAACCAGTCCCTGGAATTATACCTTCGAATCTTCACTTCCTACCAGCAGAACGACTGGTCGAAGCTACTTGCTCGAGCTAGCTTTGCTTATAACAACACCCATCATTCCGCGATAAACAAGACCCCATTCTATGCGAACTATGGGTACCACCCTCGATGGGCTGAAGAGATTAAGGCTAGTGAAGTCGAGGTACCTGCTGCTACAATAGCAGTAAAAGACCTAACTGAAATACATAAAGAATGTATTGAGGGGATTGAGAGAGCTAATGAGAAGTACGCCGAAGGATACAATAGGAAACACCGAACTACGCCGAACTTCGTGGAAGGTGACCTAGTGATGCTGTCATTAGAAAATATCAAGACTAAGAGACCAATGAAGAAGTTGGACGTTAAGCAAAGTGGGCCGTACAAGGTAGTACGGCAAGTAGGTTCTCATGCTTGTAAACTGGAATTACCAGGAACGATGGCAGGTATCCATGATGTATTCCATGTTTCTTTACTCCGTCCCTATCACCCTCCGGTATTTCCTGGTCAGCAAGCTGAACCACCTGGCCCAGTAGAGGTAGATAACGTAGGAGAATCGTGGGAAGTAAAGGATATTGTGGACTCAAGAGTAAATAAGAGGTCAGGGAAGTTAGAATATCTAGTGGAATGGTTAGGTTACGAAGGCTCGGATGACGCAGTATCATGGGAACCAGTAGAAAATGTGGACGGAGCTAATGACATATTGGCGAAGTTCCACGAACTTCACCCGGATAAGCCGACGAAAGGACGAGTGGTGAGATCACGAACGAGGAAGTAATTCATACAACTGGTACAACATTAGCTAAGTACAACTCACTGCTGCGAACTTCCTCCCTGTTCTTCGTTTCCCGGTGCAGGACCACTCCCAGAACTACTCTCAGTAACCTTCGGTCCCACCGCCCGTCGGAGGGCCCGAGTCTCCTTCCATGCTGTATTAAAGGCGAGAATGTGAGCGGAGTGGAGAGCAGGATCACGAGCGACACTCAGACTAGGTGATTTCCACAACTGACGAAGTGTTCTAAGACAGTCTGCGGGAAGAGTTAGGATATCGAGGAAAGCACCATCCTGAGAACTGAGTCGAGCTGGTTGAGATGGTCTTAACCAGTCCAGTGTAGGGGGGAGCATATACTCAGTGGGGTTCAGGAGGTAAGGAGAGTCGAAGAGATTGCGGTAGAAGTCGCTCATGTCCGTTGTGAGCTCTCGGGAGACTCTAGCTAACTCAGTTCGCCCTAATGGCCCTATGTCGGAGGAGTTCACAAGAGTTGCCATTGTCCGAGAGAGAGTATTCATCGCAGAGACCAGCTTCACACAATATTCGACAAGCTTCGCCGTATCTCGTCTATTGGCTTGTAATTGCGTGGTTAAGCCAATAATGACGGAACGGAAGGTGGCTAATTGTTTGTCCTCCTCTGGTATCCGAGGATCGAGAGCGATAGTGGGGTGGTCGAGGGAAGGAAGGATTTCCCCCGGTAGCTGAGTACTTTCGTCTTCCACCACAGCCGGTTCGAACTGGACAGCTTTCTTATTCTTGCCTTTCCCTTTCGAAGATTTCGGAGGAGTTTTCACAGGAGGGGCAGGAGTTGAGAGCCCAGAAGCAGGAGGGACAGATGGTTGACGGCTTCGGGTCCCGAGGGCAGGAGGGAGACTTGAAGAGAAGTCCTCTTGAGTTGAGACAGGAGTAGGACGGCTCCTGCTGGGACGAGACGGAACGGCAGAAGGAGTAGCCGGGAGACGAGATGGGCCAGCCACAGGAGTGGAAGGCCGAAGAGCGGCGGAAGAAGCACGACGAGGAGTGCGACGGGATGGACCAGCCGAAGGAGTGGCAGGGAGACGTGACGGTCCGGCCACGGGAGAGTTGGGCAGGCGACGGGCGGCGGGTGACGGCGAGGTGGGGCCAGGAGAGGAGAAGTTCGCCGAAGGAGAGCGCGAAGGATATTCCCCGTCTTGGGCT